CCTTGAGGGCGGACGTGTGGGCAAGAGTGCACGAGCAGGAGCGCTTTTGCTACGATTGTAGCGCTGGTTCTGTTTTGTGTTTACGAGCCTGCTTGGGCTGAAATCGTCATCATCCTCGATAAGGAGACCCGTTTCAAAGTCATCCTCGGGGTCGGGGCTGGCAACTTTTATGCGTTGATCAGTTATTAGGACCTGCTTCTTGAGTTCCAGCATCTTTTTAAGATGCTTTGCGCTCTGGCTGGACTCGAAGAGGCCGGAGGGAACGACTAGTCCCTCAAGCTCGCTTTCGTTTTCATCGCATTCACTTTCTTCTGTTTCGTGTAAGGAAAGGGAGGATACAGAGTTTGATGATGAGGAAGCATCGGCGAGACCAAGGGAGGAATACGCATCAGAGGATTGAGATGATGAAGTGTGATCACCCCATTCCAAGGAGTTCTTCGAAGAGCGATGGCTAAGTGAGATAGGTGCGAGGGACAATTGTGTGAGGTCTGAAGGGAGAGCGAAGGCAGATTCGATGTCCTCGTCGATGGGAGAAGGAGGGGACTTGGCAACAGCCATTTGAAGAGTGGCGACCTTTATAGTAGACACACCTTCATCCTCTTCTTCATCTTCTTCCTCTTGACAAGTGAGTGGGGGACGGATTGTGATCATGTTGCCAGAGACAATTCTTGAGAAGTGCGACCTGGCAGCCATGCCGGCGACGACGGCCTTTGCCTTTGCGCCACCGGTTTTCCCTAGGTCCATTTCAATGTCCCAATCCATAGCTTCATCTTCATCTTCATCCTTGTCGGATTCAACGTCGAGAGAACGGATATGGTCGCCATCTGGTAGATCGAAGTCTGCGTCTGGCCACTCTTCACGAGCGAGTGGTAGTAAGGGAGCTGGAATGGTGGACATGCTGGATTACAGTATTTGTTGTAAATAAACTATAGAACCCCGTACGGGGCTGGCGAAGTAGGTCAGTGGTGATTAATGGTAGGGAGCGACGTAATTGGAGAGAAGGGTGATTAGAAGATATACCGGCCAGATGATTGGGACGGGTGATCTTCACATACGCGACCTATGAACGAACAATGGCCTTGGGTGTCGGTGCTTGAGCCTTGACGTCTAACGAAAACTAACGGAAGGCGAGGGAGATGTTTGTTACTATTTGTCATTCATTGTGGTGTCCTCGTTACAAATAAACCAAAACAACAACATTATTTGCACACCACTAGTACTAGTATGGCATTAGTAGTCGCCTCTGCCTCGCCTCGTGTTCGATTTCATCCTCGGAACCATCCAGACCTTCGTTATCAGAACCGCTTTCATCTCCGCCAGTCATCCTTTCAACGTATTCATCAACACCTTTCCTCATCCGAATACCCCTTTCCGCCATAATGTCAACGAACCCATCAAGCTCGCGAGCACTAAACATAGAACGCAGCGGCCCAAAAGCTATCATGTATAAATCTGCATATGAAAATTAGCTTGTACTTTCATAATCATTGCGATATACTTACCTTTGGCAAGTGGACATTCATTCACTGCTCTGTAAAGCAGTTTTTTCGCCCTTTGCAGCTCCCCTACCCGAATCTCAAATTCCAAAATGACGCGCCACAAAATAGCACTTCCCCTAGTCCTGAAAATAATGTAAACCATGATAGCCGGAAAAGGACAATCGCACAAACCTCTCACTCTCCGCAGCCGCAGAAAGTCCGCTCCTCGTCCGTTCGATCTCACTCTGCCATCGCCCTTTCTCCCACCCAGCAACCCACACTTCTGCGATACGCCGTGAAATGCTCTTTTCCCTTGGGCCCCCATCAGCCGTGTTTTGTCCTAGTTGTGCCCGTACACGACCCCAGATACCATACCCCTTTTCAGCCTCTAGAAACATTCCCAACACCAGGCTATTGTCCGGGTAAGTGTTGACGGCAATCTGCAGTCGATTCCTCAGGACAGCCGGTGGAGTAGGACTTCGTAGCATGACCGAATGATTGTACAGTAGTATAAGAGATGCCACCATCATGCTCTCTCTCGGACTACCGCTCTCATTAATGCTCGGCTGAGAGTCAAAGATTGTGAGTGCCCCATCTTGAGATGAGGTGGTAAGCAGTTCGATCAAGGCCCGCAGTTTTATCCAACCCTCCTGGTCCTTCCACTGCTCGTGAGCGCAGCTAATCGTATCGTCGAGAGCGCGTTTTACACGAAGAATCATCATACCACCCGCACCCTCGATGTTGACTGAGCGCTGTATAACACATAGTGCCGCGTCTTGGTCACCGTTGAGCCATTCCATTTCAGCCCAATCCCACCATAACTGACCAACGAAACGCTGGCTTCGCGGGTGCTGAGAGGCTACAAGTACCGTTTGATAAACCTTACGGGCATCAACCACGTGCTCGCGCAAGCGCTCAAGACGTGCGTGGGCTGCCCAGTGCGGTAGAGAATCTCGTGCTGTCAATAAAAACGTCCGCGAGTGCTTCAGAGCACTGAAGCACCAGCATAAGTGCCACTAACGCACAGATAAAGACACGGATCGCACCTTTTGATATTAAGAGCTGCCTCAAATGCTAGTGCATAAATGTCCCACTCATAGTCATCGCTACTGCATCTGAGCTGCTTGAATACAGCTCGTACGAAATCTTGGTCGATCCCTTGCAGATCCATAGCACTCCACATGCGCCACTTCTCTCGGCCTACCCACTCCAACGGTCCGAGAGCATCGCGATGCCACTCTTTGATCGGACCGAATGAGCTAGAAAATTCTCGTTCTCTCCCTATGAGCGTGCCAGCATAAGAGTCAGCGGTTAGCTGCCGCTGTCCCGCAGTAGCAGGAAAAATCGAATCCAACCGCGAGAAAGAACAGAGGCAAGTGAATGACCATCGATCATCCCAAGATCCCTGCAACAGTGTTTCCACGAGGCCAGGGATATGCAAGCCTAGAACGGATAACCAGATTAGGCGGAATGCATGCTTGGCACCTTCCGTGTGGAGGGGTAATAATAATGCCTTGATATCCAAAAGCAGAACTGTCGCGTATGGGTCAGACTTGCTCATTGTGTTCACGGAGCGGGCGGGCACACGTGACGTGCGATCGGCGCGCAACTCATCGTAATGCCATTGGATATACGGATCTTTCGATTGGATGTCGACGTCCATCTGGGGAATTGCCTTCAGCGGGGAACTGGAGTTCTCAGGTCTACCGCATAAGATCCAGTGACTCCAACCTTTCGCTCCAGGCTCGCCGACGCGCGGTACTTCGGACTCCCAAAATTCTTCGAGAGATTCAAGTTGCGATTCAAGGGGAAGTCCGTACAATGACTGGGGCACTTCGAACATTCTATCACAAGTGTGAAGATAGGACTCATTCGGAGTAGAATTCCACAAAACTCACAATTCCGCTTGTGCCTGGAATAAGGCTGTAGCACGCTCATAGTAGCCTGAAACAGATCGATAAGGAATATGAATAACGCGGCAGTAGTTCCGTACCTGCTTGTTGGAATGCGATCGCAACTCGCCACACGACTCGTAATTTATCAATTTCATGGCTTTCAGAGCTACCGAGCGCGCTTAAGACGCGCGTCGCATCCGTGACTGACGTGTCAACTCCACCGGCAGCGGTACGAATCCGCCATTCGAGCCATTCCATCCAAATTTCAATTCTGCCAAGTTTGAGGGCTTCTTCCCATTCGGCCTTAGTTTTGCTCTCGTGCCAGACTTCCTCTCCTGCCCTTAGGTATTTCAGGAATAGAATATGAGATGACCGGTTGTGTGCATGGGCAGCACGAGCACGGGTAAGAATAGCAAGCGTTATCTCTGCCCGAGATTTGGTCGCGTTTTTCGAGGTGACGGGGATGCTCGACAATGAGTGTCTCACGAGTGACAACCACGTCTCGACTGAAGATGGATCGACAGCCAACTGCTGCTCGAGTGTCTTTAAAGACAACTGATGTGATGTGAGAATGGGTCCTGACTCATCACCTGAGCTGTCATCTGAAGCAGACGACTGAGAGTCCGAATCAAGGTGTTCTTGCTGCCTGGTTACAGCGCGATAGTCTTCGGCAGCTGTCTGACCATGGTTGGAGGGCAGTCGCAAAAAACCATCCACTTCTTCATACTTGTAACCATGCCCAGGTCCAATAATGCGTCGAGACGGGGTTGCTGCCAACAATGCTGTCACGCTCGAGTCGGTCAGGGCGGGTTGCTAGAAACAAGGTCATTTGTGGATATCTGTTTGACGTAGGAATATGGTACCTTATGCCTCCTTCCTATGTTTATCTCTATACCTTTACCTCTGCGATAGATAGCCCAGTCCCCATCAAGACCAAGAATACTTCTACCCCCTTGTACATCATTTAGACATCAACAGGACATCCAATAAATGACTTACGGTTTACAATATAGTACTTGGGAATATTCCCAGCGTGAATACCGCCGTAAGTAACATTTAGCTGGTCACCTTTCCGATCAGAGAAAAATACTGGGCGAGAATCCCATTGGCTTTCTTGGATATCACTCTGAGCAAGACGTCTGTCCTCCTCGGCCTTGATTTTTTCGTCATCCGATATGCTCATTCCCTTCCATGTATGTCCGTGTTGCCTGGGAAGCACCGGCTCAAGGTCGTGGTTTGCCGTCTTATGTTTCTTGTCTTTTCGAGACTTGTCTGCCAACTTCTTGCTGCCACGTCGGTTCTTGTCCTTTTTAACCATGCCATCTTTCTCCCGAGCGTTTGTGGAGCTTTCATTTCGCGTCCGGTTCAGGGTATTCCTACTCGGACCAGGGTCAAGGTCTGGGAACGAGGCGAACGAGGGTGGAAATGACGAAAATGAGGGTGTAGACATTTCGAATGGACCTCAAGGCAGGAGCATCAAACAATTCGGTCGTTGTAGTCGAGTCAGCTGGGCCAATCTTCGTAGCTCGTGGTGCGCAAGGAGCTAGGTACTAATTACGGTGTTCTCAAATTTGTCAAAGAACTTGATCTAACCACCTGCAAAGATCTGTTTAAGTAAGCTGTGCTTTCGGACATTCCCGATGAGAAACCGAAACTTGCCCCTCACCTCGTTACTCGGAAATCTATTTATTTCAAAACTCGATTTCATTGCAAACTGCCACCTTAGCCTCATTTTTACAGTTCGCTTCAAGTAACTTCAACTTCGCAATGCGTCCCCTCACAGAAGACGAGAGCAAAGCAGTTTTCACAAAACTTGCAAACTACATCGTACGCATAATTGCCTGTGTTTTTTTATACCCCTTCTTTACTGACCCTATGAAAATCAGGGAAAGAATCTTATCCATCTCATCGACCGCAAGGATGAACCATATTGTTTCAGGCTACACAAAGATAGGGTCTACTATGTCTCAGAATCGTCGATGCGTATGAGCATATCAGTCGCTCGGCCAAATTTCGTTAGCGTTGGCACTTGTTTCGGAAAATTCAGCAAAAGTGGCAAGTTCAAGTTGCATGTAACAGCGCTTGACCATATTGCACAATATGCAAAATACAAGGTGCGCCCTATGAACTTGCTGCCCCTCTGGCAATTTTTGTAACGCAATTATCTACTTCGACGTCCGATAGGTTTGGATCAAACCAAACGGAGAAATGCCGTTCCTGTACGGCAATCATGTGGTGAAGGCGCATCTTGGCCGGATAACAGAAGATACTCCTGAACATCAAGGGGTGGTAGTCTTCAGTATGAATGATGTACCACTAGTACGTAGTCTTTTCTGATGCCTTCGGCCCAGACTCATCGTTTTTGCAGGGCTTTGGCGTCACAGCTCGGTCGACAGTAGATACCCGGAAACTAGATCCAACAGCCATAATTGTCTTTCATCAAGCGTAGGTTCCATCGATCATCACGTTTGCTGTGTCTTACGAAATATCCTTTCCTAGTGACGTTGGTGAATACCTTAGGGACGAGGTAAGCTCGTAAATCCTACATTGAAAGTTCTCATTTGTTTACATTGTTGCTTCAGGAAACCTTGTTTTGATCGCTTCGGTTTTCATTTCACTCATTCTTTTGGTATGGGAGGTTCATGGACCCACACATCTTAGATTGCCAGTTTACATGTCAGTGGTTTCGTAGCGCCTGGCCACGGGTAGATCGCATATCTCACCATCCCTTTACTCTGGTAAAAGTATCGTAGTTTCACCTTACGGATGAAAGTTCTGATTATTCATCGAGGTAAAAGCCATATGTACGGATATCATCCTACATAGCGATGTCGATGGATGTTCGTCACAAGACGTAAAGTACATAACATTATGTCCCAAAAATATGACAGTCGATGTACAATGTCGTCTCGAGATCTACGTTTGTTTCGTTTTCAGGTTTTTAAATCATTGTTGCAACAAACGGGAAATATTCAACCGTTTCTAGATCTCCCTCGCTGTCACATGCTGCATACGATACTGAGGAGACACTGTCGAATGTCTCGCCATCACTCTTTGAGTTGGGGCCTGCTGATGTTGAGTCAATGTCGGCGCCGTCTATGCTTAGAACAATTGAAGACCAGCATAAGCGGCCACATGAGATGAGACATATTCCATGTCCTGCTTCATGCTGTACCTAAACCCCTTGAAAACGTTACTCCAAGGTCTCGTGGTGCTGCACCAAGTCGAGAGGAATGACGAGGTGAGCCGCCACGGTGGCCCTGTAGCTCTGAGCAGTGCCGGATCCAATAACCTAATGGCTTGGAGTTACGGAAAGCATCGAGACTTTCATGACACCTGTATGGCATTGAGACCGGCCCCGCGGAGGGGTGCCACGTCGCCCAGATACCTATCTACCGCAAAGTCCTGTGTGACAGACACCTCCTATCCGAGGAAAGTGGTCTAGAAGAAACTGGTCATTGGGTATGCCCAGAAGGGGCTCATGGGCTGACTCTGCGAGTTCTGGAATAATGCGAGTGCTCCAAGACAGGACAGCGGCCCGGGTCTTGGGAAGACTACATCATGGTAATATGAAATTCCTGGACATGCTCGGGGGTAAGATGTTTGACACAATCCTTACCGTAGGTAGTATGAAAGCATAAAGACAAGCTGGTGAGATTTTTGCGGTGTGGAAGGGCCCGTTGGACTACTTTCGAGAGGTCATACAGGGGTATGGAGCCGATACCCACCATGCTTAGCGATCAACGTGTAGCGTTTGTGTTTACGCCTAAGATGCGTTGAAAGGCTTCATCGAACATTACAGAGTACTGGAACATGACATGACAAGACACATTGATGTCCATAATCATCTCGCCAAGTCACGTATTGCCCTGCAAAGTGCTACGGCTTGTCCGACACGGCGAAGATGTATTGCTCGGTATAACAGAGGGTGCTGCAGACAAGAACTGAGGATCTCTTTGTTCGCTGCGCCAGACACGGGCGCCACCAAGCAGACAAAGGTCCGCAAGCCAAGGATGCGTCCAGAAAGACTGAGTGGAAGTGCAAATTCTAGTATATCCAATAATATTTCCTGAGGTGGTTGCTTGAATGCAAGTGAATCACTAGAATCAGGGAATCTGTGACGGTATCATAGGATGGTTGTCTGCAGATGATTATAGAGGTGCAGTAATCGAACTTCAAAGAGTGATGTGCTCTTCATAAATATTAAGGTTTAATCATAATTTCACAAACCTCGATATAATCACACACAAGTGGTATGCACGTGGCATACTTTGCAGCAGACTGAAGCACCACTGACTCGAGGCCCTCAAGGTTGTTCCTCATATCCTCACCATCACCATGGTCTCCACTGAGTCATCATATACTCGCTGGGAAACCCTCAAGGACGAGGAAATTACAGTTAGCGATGTTCAGGACACTCTTGTCCCAGTCAACGATGACCTGTGGGTGGCAGCTGCCTGCGTCGACCGGTTCGTGAGCGACGTAGTAGTTCAACGTTCCCTCATCGAGCTTGGAATCAATCGAACGAGCGCAGCCGTGCAGAGGTGCAAAGAGATCCTTCTCCCAACCTCTAGGGCTTCTGGAAGTTCTGACGCTGTAATTGAGCCTAAAGAACTGCTTAGAGCGTACCTCACTGATACACCTGAAGATGCACAACTGTGTCTCATTCGGACTGCTCTACTTGCGCGCGTCGACAGACTGAACTCCTTTGCCGAGATATATAAGGAACTTCTGGCGAAGAAGAGAGACGAGGAAGATAATTCAGGGATTGATGAAGAATGGGAAGATGACCCTTGGAAAGAAGAAGCAGAAGCCTCCATCATTGCTCACGCAGCAACTCCTGTTCTGCTCCCTATACCGTTACAGGACTTTTTGACAGAGGACATCTTGGATATGGCATGCTTCTACGCATCGCAGGAGTGTTTCGACGCTGTACGGACACTCCTGACGTACCACCGCTCGTGTCTGTGGCCGTCCCGCTTCACCATTCTGGAAAGCATACCATGTCACTCTAACCCTTCCGACTACTGTGACTTTCTTCCAGCATATGACGGGGCCACAGACAAAGAGCTTGCAAGCCCATTACGCAGATGGCGGACGGAAGAAGATTGGGTAGAGTCAACAGAGGTTCAAGCGGCTCTTGCACAAATGAAGCTCTCAGATGAATTCGCAGCTCTGTATCCCTCTTTAGCCAACGTTGCCTCCCAAGAAAGTCAGTTGTTGTCTGCACATCAACTGACTAATTGGTACTGGAAACGTGTCGACCAGGTCATATCATCGACAGGGATGCTAGACGTAGCACTTTCCCTTGTACAGCATGGTGGCTCGCTAGGCATCCCAGACCTTGACGTGCTAGGAGAAGATCTGAGTTTGATGACTCGGCTGGTTTACGACGTTCCTCAGGCATGGGCTCAAGATGATGAAGATTGGACTTTAGCACGCTGGCGAAGCATGGAACCGTCCCAAGTTGTGGGTGCATACCTAGCTCATTCAACACCAGACAGCGTAGCTAAGGATATCTCGCGGTTAATTATGCCCTATCTCTTCGTTTTGGAGTCGCGGTCGGAACGGGCTGGTCAGCCTGATCCAGATCTTCCTGACCGTCTTCTTCATAATTACGTTCTTGATGCACCGTTGGATATCGTCGCGGCAATCATTGAAGCCTCCAAACCGACATTGCTTCCGCCCCAAAGAGTCATCAAGAATGATGAAGACGTTGCACGGCTTGCTCTGGCTTGCCTTTATGGTAGCAACAGCCTCACCGAGTGGATCACGATGAGTCGTATTTTTGAGTGCCTTCCCGCATGGGACATTGGCCCAAGTCCCGAAGACGAAGCAGACGAGGCAGACGCTACGATCGTTTCTCTTGGAGAATTCGTGACGCCATCTACAGCGCACCCTCAGTGTGGCCCTACAGATCTACTTTTCTTCTTCAAGCCTCTTCCAGTCGCCTCGCTTTCGCGCGCGCTTGACATTCTTGACGTTCATCTTGAATCCGGAGAGATATTTGCGCGGTGGAACGTTCCTGCACCATTACGCTGGTTCCTTCAGAGTGCAGGCAATGCCACAGAGCAGCGTGCTTGGGCCAACAGGATGGCTCGTCGCACTGGTGCCGTCGCCGACAAACTTGGGGAGATGGAGGACTGGGAATGGTTGCTGGATGACATGCTAAAACTTTGTGGGAAGAATGAATCTGGTGTACCAAGTGCCTTCGGACTTTTGACGGAAGAAGAGGTGTCATCCATATTCTTCAGCGGGCTTCTGAGCTCTGGTCGTGAGTATACTAGCTTTTTCTTGGCTCGATGCTCAACCGTCAATCAGGATTTGATATCGCCAAAGACCTTATTCATTCTAAGCATGGCAAGCTAGTCCTTAAATCCTCTAAAATCGAGGATCTCTGCCTTGCCGCGTCTCGCGAGTTTTATGACAACGCACGGTCTGCTAATTACAAAGTTGGCGACATGAAGCTTGCCTATGACTGGTGAGCCCTCATAATACAGCAGGATACAAGGTGCTCATGCTTTATTTAGCTTGGACGTTCCTGCGCCATCTCAGCAGTTGACAAAAGAGCGAGATTTTATCGAAGCCACATCCCGCCTCTCTTCATTCAATATTATGTCTCGACCAGGAATTCCCATCTTACCCATTGAGATACGACTCACCAAAGACCGTCTGTCCTTGATCTCCCGGGTTCTTTCGAGCAATGCAGACGCCTATAAACATACACAAGTAATGCTCGACCTCCTTCACAAACTCGGCTTCCGAGACGACGTCGTTGCAGAGGTGAAGACTCTGGCAATGGTATCTGATGCCGCATTACAAGCAGGGGATTTTATACGGGCTTTTGATACGAACCAAAAGATGATCGACGTAGTCTTCAACCTTCGTTCAGCTATTGCATCATCAGGAACAGAGGAGCCACGACTCCAGGAGGCCAGCGAAGTTTGTTGGCTCGCCTGCTTTCAGCTTGGGCGGCATCCAGAATTCCCGGACGTTGAACAGAAGCTCACGCTCATGGGTCGTGCGCTGGAGCTGTGCCCGGCAGACAAACTGAATGATATTCTGATTCCTTGGCGGCGAATAGAACAAGAGGATTTGGAGGTGCGCAAGGAACGACTTGCTGATCATTCCCCCCGTCCGAAACCTGCCGCTACAAAACCTGTCTCTTCCTTGCAATCACGATTAAAAAATATTCACGTTCCCACAACTCCTCTTCTTAATGCCGAGGATGCGGCTGCCCTCGCTGGTCGAGCCTTCAGCCGCGTGGCATCTAATTTCCCCTTCAGAGTCGGTGGACGCGAGCGTTCGGAGAGTCGTGAAGGTCAAGCTAGGTCAGGAGGTAGAGATGAAAACCACCGCAGGCTGGATGGTGAAGATGTCTCCCAACAAGCAAGCCGAGTGCTTCAACGAGGCATTGGCTGGTTGTTGGGGGCAGACGATGAGAGCTGAGCTGGTCGGATTCTTTATATACATTATGCATAGGACTTTTGGACAGCTAGATTGTTTATATATATCACATACATCTCTTCTGCGAGAAAACATAACTAGCAATATACAGTACTCAAAGAGGTATGCCGATTGAGAGGTAAATATGAACTGGAACAAATCGAAGGTATCAACAATGAACGACAATGAGGAAGGCGCCGAAAGGAATGTGGTAAGTTACTGATAAGTTTATAAGATGAATAGAATTATACCTAATTAGCCACGGGGGGGAAGAAAAACAAGAAGTTATACATAAGACAAGAGCTAGATAGATAATGTAAGCCCAAATATCAAGACGCACACGACCGACTGATTAGCAGCCATATATTTGATGTGGCCCTTTGAAGCAAGAAATAATGAGTGACAAGGCCATGATGGTGATCCAACCTTCCTAGTTAAGTGAAATAGGGTAGTCATGGTGGTGATTGGCAGACACCTGCCTAGTTTCTACTGACAAAACGAGCGGAATCGCCTGTGCGTCCCCTCGGTCTGTCGACAACCCCAATTTTCTTCGCTCCTGCATTAGAAGCTTCACGCTCCTTTCTGGGACCACCCCTACCGCAGTGTTCGCAATATCCCTTGTCTTCATCCGCAGCATGAAGGTCCTCAATTTCAGCCTGCAAGTTCCTCACTTGACCTTGCAGATCCCAGATTTGGTGCTGCCAGGCCTTCTTCGCTGCTATCATCTGCTCCCGCAAAGCCTTGATTACGAGGGATTGTTCCTCTGGCGATGATTTATCGTCGCTAGGTCGCGACCATCCAGGAGTGACGGGCGAGAGCGCTGCAACTGAACTGATTGTAGATGTCGGCGTGTCCAGTTCGAGCTCAGGGGTATGCTCTACCTCAGGGATGGCAACAATGTCAGCGAATTGAGAGCTGAACGTCGTAGATATTGGACGTAGTTTAAGAGCTTGAAAGTCAATGGCCTCAAGCTGAGGATGCCCAGGTGGTTTTTTGCCTGACTGGGGTGATTGAGCTGGGTCCATGAGTCGATGATCAGCACAGAGTGGAGAGCGGTTTGATGCGCCAGTTGATATGTACAACGAGGGCGGGGCGCGCTTCAGCGAAGGTGATGACATCTTTGGGGAAAGTCCTTCGGCATCTGATGAGGACTCGTTGAGGGCAGTGCTGCTCCTGGCATCTGAGCTCAAGGATGACAGGCGAGGTAGAATCGTTGGAAGTGACGATTTACTATCTTCGTTGCCTGCGTGAGGGTAGTCCGAGTAAACACCATGTAAAGGCGGAACTGGGGGCGGTGGACTCCTCCCCTTGTCACGACCTTTCTCCCGTTCACGCCCATTAAAGAGCCTCATAAACCCGCTTTTCTTGTGCTTCAGGGTTTGGCCACTGGAATTAATGGTGTCGGGTTCTGACCCCCTTCGCTCAGGCTTATTATGGAAAGATGCCGCAACGACTGAATGAAGGACACCTTTGGCACGAGCGCCAGCACTAGTGGAACGAGGGCGAGCTTGCTTGAAGTTGCCAGTAGCGGAAGTCTCAGTACTCGCTATACTGGCAGTGTCATCTGCATCAGGAAAAGGTATGCGTGAGGTAGTCTCATGGGCCCGAGAGGGGGACGAAACCACGGCATTGGCAGTAGCACTACGGGTCCTTTCTCTCGCTTGTGCCTCCTGCAGCGATATCAAAGTGACACTTGAAGAGGGATAAGCATTCCAACCTGGGACACCTTCAAATGCGGGTGGGGGGTGAAAAGACGGTAAGTTGGTGCTTTGATCGCATTGCGTGGAATTGAGGTCGCTGGAGTGGAGAACTGCGATGGGGGGAGAAATATCTTTGCCATGAACACGCATGCCCGTGGAGGAAATGTGATCTCGTGATGGTATAGATGAGGCAGAGGTATCTGGTGTTATAGTGGATGAGAAAGCACCGGACCGTGAACTCAGTGAGTCCGTCACAGTGACGGCCGAATCGCTCCGCGAGACATGTCCAAAGGTAGAACGGAGCTGGGTAGGTCTAGGAGGGGTATAAGAAGCAACCAAATCAGGGTTGGCATAGGGATGTACGAAGTCCTCGTGAGACACGCGACATCTGGAAGTATGAAACGACGAAACGGTAGCACAACGTTCGTGATTTCGTGGAACCTCGGAAGCTGGAGAGTATGGTCTGGGTATATCTTGTGTGGAGGATGATGACCGGGAAACGTGTCCCATTTCTTGCAAGGAGCTCGTGGGAGACTGAGGTTCTTCTGGCATCTGGTCGTCGTAGTGAGTTGTGGGTGGATAGTTTGTAGTGCGGGGAAGAGAAAAATTATGGCAATTTCTTAGCGAAAGGGCAGGAACCCGTTGAGAGCTGGGGACAGTCAAAGAGGAGGTCGAGAATGATTCCTGGGCCAGGGTGCTAAATGTTGGGGGTCAAAACGTCACACATTAAGAGAGATAAACACGTACTACAAGGCACCTCGCGAGCCAGATTGATTACCCGCAACAATTTCAAAAGAGCTATTGGATTGAACCTGAGAACGAATTGACTCGGCGCTGGGTCTGGCGGAAGAACTCTTGCCGAAGTGCCGCATGAGATCAGCTTTCGCAGTCTTACTTTTGACTTTTTTGCCAAAGACATTGGACATTGCACTATGATCTGAGTCGTTCTCGTCAATGTTATCTTCTCCGGTTTCCCAAGGAGCTCGAGAGTGGAACCGTATCTTTGGACCCTGAACACTTATCCTATGGGAGGTATCGTCGTCTTCGTCATCATTTTCCGTGTCGCCAAGTGTGTTAATTAAAACACTCGCAACGTCCTCATCATCGAGATCCAAACTACTCGCTGCATAATCATCGAGGTAGTCAGAGTTCGAAATGGATGGCCGACGTTGGCTGGAGGAGTCTGGTACATCATAGCGATATGAGCTGGTATTCGGTTCAATATCCCTGCTGTCTGGAGAGAAGTAAGCGTGACTGTAGACTGACGGGGAATCGGAAAATTCGGATATTGAAGAAAAACGAGTGTGAGGTGGAGCATAGGAGCGGACGCTCCGAAGGTCGTCTTGGGCGTCCCATGGTGAATGGACGGACCTCAACATGACCACAGAACTTGTCAGTCCAAGGTAAGAGACATGCTACCAACCTTGGTTCTAACACATTATGAAATAGAAATAATCCCACGTATAATAAAAAACAAAGTTTAAATCATTCCACAAAATTAAATTTATGAAACTAGTTATCCTCCGATGCGTAGTACGTAGCCTCGATCGGCACACGAGCCTATTATACGCCTTGAGAAAAAAAAACACATAAATTACCTCGAACATTCACCTTGAAGACATCGTTAAATTAACTTACGTAATATCTAATCACACGATCCTAATATGGACATGAACGCCTTCATCTTGACCACAATGTCAGAAGAGCTTGTCCCTCTCACTTCCTCATCACATGGACGTGTCTCGGGGAAATCATGGAAGGCACAAAAATCAGCAACATTGTACGTACCATACTCCACTCAATGTGAACAAAAAATCATTCGGCAATTAGTCGAACGCAATGTTCTGCCGGACACAGGTCCAGCTTTGAGGAACGAATGAAGAAGACAACAAAAGCCAACGCTGCAAAGAAGTTGGAAACTGAGCTCAAAAATGAGAAAAAAGCTGAGAAGCAACGGTGAGTACAACGTGTTGTGGATCAGATTCGTGTAATCCTATGACGTAGGAGACGAGAAATCACCCTCGAGAGGAAAAACGCTGCAGAGGAGCGGCGCAGACTGGAAGAAGACAAAGCAAAGGTAGATCCATCCAGGTTCTGTATTTTCCTTTTGAGACTGATTGTACCCAAGATGGGAGCTAGAAAAACAGCGAGGCTACGACGAAAGGCAGGACGCACAAAAAAAATTCACGGTTGACCACTGCTAGAGATATTGTATTAGAGTATGCTATGTTCATACAATGTACCATCCCTACAGCGTCCAGGTCGTGTCCAATTCACCTGGTTTCACGAATGGCTTATCCAACCCTGCAACCACACTTTCACACAGCGGACAACTGCTCGCGAGAACGTCGTCCAGCTCGGCCCGTAACTTCTCTGCTTTCTTCTCAAAGTCTTTATCCACCCCAACCTTTTTCCCCCCACTCATACCCGACATCCACCCCGGTGCAGATACAACCGAAGCCAACGCGTCTGGAACAATAAGATCTCTCAGGCGATCTCCAGCAGAAAGTAGATTTCGTCCGAGGAGATTCGCGGCCTTGGTACCGTTCTGTACAGGGCTTCCAAAGCTAGCAGATAAGAGTGTGCGCTGTTGAGTCGCCTGGCGCGAATGTCCGTTTGGCGTGATAGAGACTGCGTTATCAAGATTAGTTTTTTCACCTCCCTTCACTAGTTCGGTCTGCAGAGCAATAATCCGCCGGAGCGCATGCGTAGGAAGATATTCTTTTGCCTTGGCGACCGCGCGATTCAATACAATTGTTTTCTCTTTAATAGCAAGAGCAAACTTACCAATCCGATCAGACAATCTGCATGGAAGGTGTGCTGGCAGGGAAAGACGTAGAACTGCCTCGTTAACAAAGGTTGCGAGCAAACGCAGCACCTTTCCCCCGCATCGATGGTTACGAAACGATTCTTCAATTCCGCGATGTCCTGCTTGATAGACTCCGCAGTACGAGTCGCATCATCCATCTCTCGTTTCAAGTCATCGATGTGGGCTGAGTAACCTTCCAAAGCATGCGCAATTTCCTCCTTGAAGTCGTCAATGACGACGAAGTCAGGGAAGAAGGGCAGAATATCCTCAATCTTGAGTATATTCGTGTTTTCCAAGAATTGCATTGCGCTATGCAGACTTATGAGCAGGAACACTCACTGACGAAAATTTCACTTACGTTTTAATGTCCTGTTTATCCTGCACCACGTATCGCGCAATCTTGAGCCAAAGCTTCTTCTGCAACGGTGCGTCGTCCTCCGGTTTGTTAGCATTTTCCTTCGCGAGCTCCAAGTCACCCTTCTCCAATGCCAAGTCCACACTGTTTTCCCAAAGACCCATTTGCGAATAGATGTGAACGCATGATTGGATGCGCCCTGTTCTTTTGCACACTCGAAGAGCATAGTCGAGGTCATAGTACGGTTTGCCTGTCATCGGATCCGAGGGCGCCGAGGTCAAGAAACTTAGCAACGGGCCATCCTCTTCTGAAGAACAAGGTAACCGAGTCGCAAGGAATGTCACAAGAAGGTTATGAACCATTGGTGACTTGTTGCTCTGCTCAAACACTACGTAACTGAGGTACCGCACAGCGTGGTTAGGAGACAGCGGGTCCCAAGGAAGATGCTGCAGCTGGAGCAGAGAAGGAATGAGGCGCAAGGGATCTAAAGACGGTTGTTTTAACCAGGATTCAATCATCTCTTTGGGTGCCTGCCTGGTCAACACGGTACCGAAGCGGTAGTATAGCTCAGGGTTTGTCTTCCTCCAGTTAGTCAGGGACATCGCAGTGCGTGAGTACAATGCTTACCTGGCGGTTGAGTACATCAATGGCTTTGGTCCACTGTTCTTCCAATATCCAGTGTGCAATAACGCGTTCGAAGTCACCGACCGCCGTAGCATAGTGTAGGAACATGTCAGTCCGACCATGACCTTGGATCAACTCATAAACAACATTCTTGTCTAGATTACTCTGCAGAAGATGTTTTCAAGTGAGTAAATCATGTAAAGAATGGTGTACCTTATATGTATCAAAGAATTGTCGCAGATCGTCTTCAAGGATCGCACGTTGAGTTTGCAGGTTCTCGACATCGCTTGTCACCGACTCAGAAGCACACAGGTTGTCCAGCTCATTACATCTACTGAGATAGAATTCGATAAGCCATGTTGCCAACATCATCCGCTGAGTCAAGTCCTGCGGTGTAAAAACAGTGAGGACCTAATTGTTGAATATCGCAGAGGGAAAACTCGCCGACTTCCGTGTCCGCTCGAGTCTTGAGATCAAGTACGAGCGCAGCGCATCCCGTTCGCCATCATCCAAGAACTTTAATGCAACCTCCTCGAATGGCGCAGAACACTGAGAATAGCACTGTGCAGCCTGGAAATAACGACCCTCATCAAAGAATGCATGCGCTTGAGCAGACAAGATGCTATCTCGCTGGCCCGCTGTCTGTACTCAACTAGTCAGTATCCAGTGAAGGTAAACTGTGTGATATTGCCGACCTTTGCATACCGAAGTGCAATGTCAAACTTTTGCTGAGCCAGATATATCTGCCAGACGTCCCGATTCTCATTGCCGACAACAAGCTCGAAAATAGATTGATCCGTGTAGGCCCAATATGTTTTACGAACTGGGTCAGCAGCAAGTCCTCGGACGACTTCATTCGGCCTCTAAACCAACCCTCAGCAACGATGCAACCTGCGTTGATACGTGTGACCTACCAACGGTATAGCATCCTCATAAGTCTGCTTTCCATTCAAGGTGGAGATACCAATAATGCGGTCCCTATACAACAAGATGAAATGGAACTCCGTCAGGGAAATAGAGACAGGAACTTCTGGGGTTGATTGAGAAGCGTCAGGAGATGTGCCAGGTAAGAAAGATGGGTATGGATGGAGTTGAGTTGAATCGATGTGGTCATCAGAATTCGGGTCGAAATTGAGCGTCCCGTGATAGATACCAGGAGCTGCGAATATTCGCATCAAATGAAGAAATCATAAACATAAAGAGACACACCGGTCATCCAAGCAAGATTCTTCGGAAGGGATAGTGCTTGGTCTGAGTTAGGGGTGTAGAAATGAAGTTCAGAATACTGCAGGTTTCCAGGTAGTTCGGATATTTCTTATTTATGTCAAAAAGAGCTATACTGCTAAACACTCATTACTTACTCGGCGTAGTTTCCCGATATGCGGCGAACAAGGAAGAGAAAACACGACCACCCTCTTCAGATCGCCGATCTGGTGAGCCTGTAAATTGATATATCCGTGAAGGAGTTGTAACGATGACCAAAGCATTCCGAAGGTCAGAGGGGGGGAATAGGTCAAACTTGATCCCAGTGACTGGATACTTTTCAGGGAGGGTAAACAGAAGCTGCAGGTACCGTTCCTGTGACTTGAAGAAATCCTCGCCAGCATCTAACACAGCTTCAAATATACCACCGTTCCGCGTGCCGATCAAAAATTCTTTTGTTGACATGGAGTGGGTGGATGCCAATAACGCAGCCTTATTCCATGCGACGCTCTCGATTACCATCTTGAATGACTTGAGTTGCCTAGGCTTCTTCCAGCCACGGTATAAATACCAGTTTTCGCCTTGAGTGGAGGTGACGATAAGATGACGGCCTGATGGGTCGAGAAAGATCTTGTGTATGGTCAACTCGGTCGCTTTTCGTAGGATGGGGATCGTAACGACATGCTCCGCATGAGAGAGCTCAATGAAGACTATTGTATTCGATGCCAATGCCATTGCAAGAACATCTGAGGAAACTGCCAAAGACACGAGAGGCGCTGGAAGCGTATATTGGACACGTCCGAGGTCGAATAATGGTGTGTTGGCCGTAACTGGGCTCGGTAATGGAGCATCCTTTGGAATTTCAGTAAATGAATGTTTCTGATATTTATTTACGCACCAAGGTTCCAGTATGTTCTAATTCAGCGTGAATTTCGCTATCATAGGGCGACGGCTCGTAACCCTCGTACTGGACTTGCGGAAGAGGCGCAATGCCACGAGAATGACCTGCTGTTGGAGCAGCGTGCTCGACGACTACGTGGATCGTTAGAAAACAGTGTCAAGATATAAGCACAAGACGTTACAGTCATCAAACATGGCACAGATGGCGAACTTGCAGCTTCGAGTTCGGAGGAACTGAATTGTTCAAAGCAGAGTCAGTCTTACTTAATAGTTACTGCTAAACGGAACCAGTTTAGGATAGCCTCCTCTTATTACCCACAGTTCAGTTTCACTCACTGATCATCGATACTGGTGTCAACCGTCATCTAACAACATCATGACCCCTCCGACACCAAGACTGTTTATTATTCGACATGGTGCGCACAGTATCATTCACATATTGTACTTAGCGGAAGGGTTTGACTTGGATTTCCTTATAAAGGTGAAACAGAATGGTCCTTGAATGGGTAAGCTTGGCCTTTAAGCCTTGGGCGTAGTCGTGGCTAATGTTTTTGCAATAGACGGCATGTAAGTACTACTTAATAAAACATTCTAGTTTCGATATGTCAATACGTCCTCTCTAGACTGGAACAAGCGACATTCCTCTGACAGTCCGTGGAGAGGAACAAATCAAGTCCAAAGCACATGTCTTGGTCGGCGAAGGCAGTCAGTATCATATGCCCTGTTTACAATAGTTGTCCGATTCATCCTGTTCCTGCTTTTTCAGAACCCATCGATCCACAGAATCTCTGTGTCGCCCTCGTATCTCCCCGTCAGCGAGCACACAGAACGTTCCACTTGTTATTCGAGCATTTGTCCAAGGTCCCGGATCACATCATTGATGAGTCCGTTAGAGAATGGGACTATGGGAAGTATGAAGGCTTGTTTAAGCATGAAATTCTTGCGATAGACCCTAAATGGGAGATTTGGAGAGATGGGTAAGTTATCACCAGGTCTCACTCGATGATTCCCGATCGACTCGACCAATCTAGCTGTCCCGGAGGCGAGAGTGCTCAGGAGATGCGCGATCGCGTTGATTGTGTGATCGCCAAGGTCGGTGCTTTACTTGCATACCCTGCAAATCTAATGTCTAGCAGGTTCGTGAGTACCACAGACAATATTTTGAAGAAGGCAAGGGAACACGCGACGTGCTAATTATTGCTCACGGCCACTTCAATCGTGTCCTCATTTCCCGATGGATAAAGTTTGAACTCGCTTTAGGTACGATACAACCTCCTGTTAATTGTGATATCCTGTGCTCAAGTCTGATGATCAGGAACTCGATTCAATGTGGAACCTGGAGGAGTAAGTAAATTTATTTTGTTGGTGCCAAGGAAAACTAAAGACATTGGCAAGGTCTCTGTCCTGAGCTATAATCATAATTCCCTCGATGAACCAGCCTTGAACGCTTTGAATTTGTATGCTGACCTCAAATAATTTTTGTTGTATACTCTAGATGTAGACCTTCAGACCTTGTTGCAGGCTGTGAAATATGTGAATTTGTGTCCCCTAGCCCACCGCTTATTGTTAGTTCGGTGCCGGCCGGCGCGAACCTGGGCGCGTCCCGTGATCGGCAATGTTAGATTTTCTGGTTTGTATTTTATTTCTTCTGTTCTCATTCGACCGTTCGAATTCCGGTCCCAACACGCCTTCTATCAATCCCGCCATCGTCTTTAATGATTATGGCCGACATAGAAAACATACCCCGAACTACCGACCTCGAAACTGCTGTTAACTTTACTGCCGAGGATGGCGTGTCTCCTGAACCTCATGATGAACATGAGGCGTTTGTCGTGGTAGAAGACCCAGCCACACATGACAAAATTGGCTCGCCTGCCGATGGCGTAGTGGATGATGATGTGATTGATCAAGTAATCATGCAGGAAGCCACGCACCCCGGCGACACGCCTAAGGATGCTGCACCTGCCACAAAGCCGGAGGTGACTAAGAAGCTTACTGCTCCAAAGGCCGTCTTGAAAATAGGAAAGGACAAACCAGTCATATCCGCTAAAGTTGCTCCAACAAGATCTGCACCGCCTACGCCAACCGTAAAGAAGGTGTGTTTGCCTCACCTCAGTCTGAAACAGTTCATCTTAGCCATGTGAGTGAAGGTCTTGAATTCTGGCACGTTTGGATCTGGTGCTACTAGTACGAAACCAAGCCCTACGAGCAAGGTTCCTACTTCAACTCCTCCTACTCCTTCGAAAACCGCCCCTTCTGCTCCTTCATCTTTGAGGAAATCCATCAGCACTTCGTCTGCCAATTCACCAGTAAAGACAGCGCCAACAATGGCGTCTTCCAGAAGTCATCCCGCTCCCCCACCATCCCGCCGATCATCCGTGCTCCCTCCAAGGGCGCCATCTGCTACCGGCAACCCTCCGCCACCAAAGTCGAGGGGCACATTATTGGCGTCCCTTACATCTTCCATGTCTTCCAAACCTCCTCCAGCCGAAGCAGGCGCACCTTCGCGCTCTTCTGTCGTTTCACCTTCAGGTTCTACTGCATCATTAAGGTCCAATGCTGCTGCTTCTGCCGTCTCTCGTCCTCGTGCTTCAATATCAGATGTTGTGAGGAGATCGCCTTCAGCGTCATCCACGAAGTCGACAGTGGCCCCGACGCGACAGGCTACTTCAATCTCATCCATTCGAGAAGTTAATGACGGAACATCTCTAGAGGAGATGCAACAAAAGGTGAGGTGTTTGTATATGGTTTAAGCTTATCGCTGACGGTCTCTCTTAGCTCAAAGAGGCAATGGATGCGCTCTCAGTAAAAACGCAGGCAGTTGCAGACCTCTCAGTAACTCTGAATGCGGCTCGTGCAGATGCTGAAGCAAGTCAATCTTCACTTCTGCTGCTGCAGCAAGAAAGGGCTGCTGCTGAGTCGGACCTGCGAGAACTCAAAGCCACTTTGCAACACGATCGCGCTGAACATTCGCAGGCCCTTGTTCTCCTCGAGTCCCTAAAGCGAGAGGTAGGTGAACTGTTTTCAGCCACCCAGATTGCCTCAGACACTTTTTTTCAGCTCCATGCAGCAAATTTGGCGTCATCTAACCAAACTAATATCGTTTACGACCTCCAGAGCCAAGTAGAGTCTCTCACAGCTGAACTGGTTGCAGCTCGCGAGAACCTTGAGACTCTGCGCGCTTCAAGCGAGCAATCTTCTTCCGAAGCGGCAGCAGCAGCTCAAATTGAGCGCGAGGCTGTTCTTAGGGCAAGGACTGACTACGAAACTATCAGCGCGGAAGTGGAAGCGTTGAGGGCCTCTCACGCTTCTACAATTCAAGATTTCCACGTCAGGTTGAGTGAAGCCCAAGAGCGAGCCGCCGATGCGGACGCTCTCGAAAACCAAGTCAGGCAACTCAAGGTCGAGCGCGAGGAAAACGCGAACAAGCTCTCAGAGCTGGAGGTCGAGATTTTGGAGTTGAAGGAGAGTCAAGAGCAAGCAGAGGACGACCATGCCAAGGTACTTGACCATCTAAAAAGACTGGAGGAGGAACTGGCCCATGCTGCCGCAGCCACTCAGAGTGCTGTTGCCGCATCTAAAGTCAGAGAAGAGCAACACGCTGAACAGATGGTTGAGGTCAAGGAAGCTCACAGTGGCGAGCTGCAGGCTGCCAACGATGAACTCTCTAATGTTATTGCCGACCTTGCAACATTACGGGAAGAGCTCGCTGCTGCTCATGAGGCCCATGAGCAGACAAAGATCGACGCTCAGAATACCGCTGAGGAGCACGAACGTCAGATTGAGGAGACCGAAAGTGAATTTTTCTCGAAGCATCTTGAGCTTTCGGAGGAGATTAAAAGAATCACCTCTGAGCTAGAGGCGAGTTCATGCTTAAAATCTCCAATACTAATTTCTCATGGGTGATGTAGAGTCAAGAAGCACGTTACAATGCTAAAGTTGATGCTCTTAAGGCGGAGCATGATTTGCTTTTGCAAGAAGCATTCGAGCGCGCTAAGGTCTGTATCATTTGTGTCACTGTCACAACTCATACTAATTCTGCTGCTGCATCAGAATGAAGCTGCAGATGTACATAGCGAAGACCTTCAAGCGCTCCGTGCTGAATCACAAGTGACAATTGAACAGCTCCGCACTGCCCATCAGTCGACGGTGGATGGACTGAAAGCAGGCCATGAAGACGTCCTTGCATCTCAGGTCGGCGATCTCGAGAAAAAGTTGAGCAACCAAAGCCTCGAGCTACGTGCTACGCAAGACGATCTTGCCAAAGCCAAGGCAGCGCTAGAGTCCTCGCGGTCTGACACAGAAAGCCTCAAGGCACAGCTTGAGGATGCCCGGGCGGCATTCGTCGCCGCTTCTGCCTCTGCTGATCAGGCGTCCGAGATCGATCGCCTCACAAAAGAACTTGCCAACTTCCGTGATGATAATGCCATGCTCAACGACGTTCTTGCTGTCACAAAGGAATCGCTTTCGGAAATGTCTGTTAATCATACAAAGGAGCTCGAGGAAGCAGCTCGTGGACGTGCCGAAGACGTCATGAGTCTCCGTGCTGCTCATGAAGAGGAGATCGGCAGGCTTGCAGCGCAGAAGTCAGAGCTGTCCCTTAAATTATCCGATATGGAGGGAGAGATTGCTACGCTTCAGGCACAAGTTGCTGCTGCCGCTGCCGCTGCACCGAAAAACAGCGGGGCAATGTCCCCCTCCTTGACTATGGTCACCAGGGAGGAACTCCAGAGAGTGCACGAGGCGCACAACATGAAAATGCACGACGTAGTGGCTGATCATGAGCGCACCGTCAGGGATCTTAGGAATGAGATTGACGGGTTCCAGAACAAGCTGGACGAGGTCCACCAGGACATTGCGCGCAAATCGATGGAGATTCAGTATCTCGAGCAAGAACAAGAAGAGGGCCAAGACTCTATTACTCGGTATGTCAAGGTTTTTGGACTTCAAAGTGTATTTGGGGTAGTGATCGCGCTGGCCGTGATTTTCGACTTTATCTGATTGTTCTCGGTGATGGCCGCTTTACTTTTACTATAATTTATGATACCTTTCTTTACTTGTCCTGCGGATGATTATCTTTGGATCTCATTTATTGACTTTCACTCATACCATGGCGTGTTTCTCCCGCAGATTAAATGCAGAACTCGAACGACTAAGCAGCACGTCTAATGCATGAAGGCTCGATCATCAACCCTCCACCGTCACGATTCACTAGCCTCATGGATTCCGCGCAGCCTCCATCCCCTCTCCTCGTGGTTGGGCTATGCCTGCAGGTGGTATACTGTTCCGTTGTCGACTTGTCCTTACCCCTCTCTATTCGTAATATAACAGACTCCCCGCACATTTTTTACCTATCGTTCTTTTCACTGTCAGATGTCTCAGTCTAGCATCCACCTCCTTTCCACTGCATACCCCACCTATGGTTAATGATTGCACATATCTGGAAGTCTTTCTCTAATGCGACTGTAACAATGTAGATCCTGTGTCGTTTGAACTTAATTATGCCGACTGGTGTTCACTCGCCTCGGGTACGAGCAAAGTACTTACGTGATTCGGAACAATTTAGTTTTTTGATAAACGTACGATGTGCGCTGAGCGTGCCCGCTGAAATTTTGAATCCGGATTTTGGAAATAATAATATTTTGATATTGCCTATTTTGGGGCTATTTTTGAAATCAATGGACGTCGCCTGAGTGGTCCCATTTAGAAAGCACCGACCTTTTATTCGCATCGACTTGAACGTTATCTTTCTTTACCTCTCTCACCTTCTCTTTTCTACCCGGTCACCTTCTGCGGCGACGAGCACACGATGGCAATTCAAAGGGAACCCGGCCAGAAAGGCATCAACTGGTCTAACATTGCTGTCGGTGAGCGCGTCTACGTGATTTCGCCATATGAAACATGCTGAACAATGTGAATTTTTGTAGGTGCTATCATGAACATGGTATATTTTAACACTCGCTGTTTATTATCAACTAATATACGCGTCGTAATGCGTCCTTATATCATATAGTTTGTGCGTTCACTCTCATTTCAGTTGGGTGATTGGTACTGACTTATTCTCGCCTTTGCAGGAGGCAAGTCGAGGGAGACGTGTTTATGGTGTTAAATGGATCTGACGGACTTATCCTTAGGTCACGACACTCGGTCAACCCTTGGAAGTCCTCAAGACCCAAATGGCTGCCAACCGGTCACAAACTATGCTCCAGGCGACCAAGGCAGTCTGGGCCCGTGGTGGTATCGCCGGAATGTATCAAGGTCTGATTCCATGGGTTAGTGGTTGCCTCCTGAATGGTCTAGGTAATTAATTCATGCTGATTTAATGAATAGGCTTGGATTGAAGCCTCAACCAAGGGCGGTGTGCTTCTTTTCACGGCGTCTGAAATCGAGACCGCTGGCGTTGGTATGGGTGTCAGTCCTGCTACCGCTGGTCTCTTGGGTGGCATGGGCGGTGGTATTGCTCAAGCTTATGCAACTATGGGTAGGTCTTCACACAGATGCTTGCATTGTTTTCTTCATGCGTGATGCATACTTTTGTCTATTGAAGCTAGTTCATAATACTGTGTTGCCTTCAATTAACCATCTTTCGGGACTGACCTGCACACGATGATGACGAATATCATACTAATGTCTTCTACAGGATTCACGACGTGTATGAAGACTGTTGAGATTACGCGACACAAAGCTGCTGCCGCCGGTGTCGAACAGTCAACTTTCCAGGTGTTCATGGACATTTACCGCCGTGAAGGTATCAAGGGTATTAACAAAGGCGTCAATGCTGTTGCTGTGCGACAATGCACCAACTGGGGCTCTCGGTCTGTAATATTCACACAAAATGTCGTGATACTTTCAGCTCATTCTCGGTGCGCAGCATGGGTTTTGCTCGTCTTGCTGAAACTATGATCCGGAATGTGCGCGGCAAGGGCGAAAAAGACAACCTTGGTGCCTTGGACAAGATCTTGGCTTCCTCCATCGGTGGTGCACTGGCTACGTGGAATCAACCTATAGAAGTCGTTCGGGTTGAGGTTAGTGTAACGCCATGGTTGACTTGACTATGCTGATTTTAGCCAATATTTTCATATGACAGATGCAATCAATGGCCAAGACTACTGCAAGTGCTAACCGCCCAGCAAAACTAACTATTCTCAACACCCTTGGCTTCATTTACAAGGAGAATGGTATCAAGGGTCTCTACCGTGGTGTCACACCCCGGATAGGTCTGGGTATCTGGCAAACAATTTGCATGGTCTCGTTTGCAGATTATGTGAAAGCCTGGTATGTGTTTGCATGCTGCTTGCGAATGGAAGGAAGCTGACATGGCTTACAGGGTTAAAAAGAGTTAATCAGGGATCGCAATAGCGATGCCATCCTCTTAGACTGATAATAGTATACTTTACTATAGATACATACCACTTTTGTTGCTTGCTATATATACGCTTTCCTGGACATATATCCTGGGTAACTCGCATCAACAAGTTGCACATACTTGGGATACAGGTCTCCAGTTCAAATGGGATAAATTTATGGCAACTGTATAGTGATGTATTACTACCGGTCCGAGCCGGTCACCTTGCATGCTCAGCGCTCATTGCTAGCTGGTCAAGTATCTTTACCGCGACCACCATGAGCGCAGGCAAAGCCCCCATGCACCCACTGCTAGCGCGGTACCTCACGCAGCTGTCGACAAACCCACTGCGCACCAAGGCATTGACGTCCAGTAAGCTTCCTTTCAATCCAGCAAACACATATGACGCTCAACGTGTCGGATGCGTGCTCATTATAATGCAGGCACGTTTTGTTTCCTCCAGGAAGTCATTGGATCGAACGCATCTGGTCTCCCGCCGCCTCAAATCCCAAAAGATGCGGACCCCTTGACGAAAGCCCTCGCACGCGCACGTATTGACTCCAAGGCTATCAAGATGGCTTTGTATGGGTTCTTCGTATCCGCTCCTGTGGGTCATTTCCTCGTCGGCATGCTGCAGAAGGCTTTTGCTGGGAAAACGGGGCTTAAGGCTAGGCTGGGGCAACTCCTTGCGAGCAATTTGCTGATTTCGCCAATCAACGCGGTTGGTGCGCAGTCTTTATTCGTTTCGTTTATTTTGGCGCTGATGCTCATATCCAGTGTTCTTGGCCTCTATGGCTATCATAAATGGTGCCAAATCCGTCGACGAGGTCATCCGTACTGTGAAGGGTGGCTTCTTCTCCGTTCTCCGAGTAAGCAGGAGTTTTCGTCTTTGCGAGTGGTGTTCTTATAATTTCCGGTAGGTATCATGGGTAGTTTCCCCGTTGTCCATGACCGTTGCACAGCAGTTCATTCCTGTCGAAGTATGTCCTCCGACCGTGTCTATAATTACTTGAAACTAACGGCCAAACAGTTGTGGGTGCCTTTCTTCAACACGATTCAGTTTATGGTCGGCGTGAGTTCTCCTTGGCACACTCCGTCATTTGATACAGGTTGACAACATCACTGCGCAGACCTTCATGAACATCAAAATGAAGAAAATGAGACTCGCTGCAGCGAGAAAGGAAGCTGAGGAACGGCAAGCGAGAGAAAGCGAGAGCGGCCAGGGAAGAAAAACTTTGATCACCTTATCTTGTATACACATCACACATGTCAATCATACTCGCACTGTTTGGTTATATCCGTAATATATTCTCTGTGCATACATTATGGTTGCGAGAGATCGGATATAACAATTGATGACGAGCTGTCCGTAGCCGCCCTCTGCTCGTAACAGTGCCTTACTTGCCATGGCCCACCCTCCGTGTCAGGTTCGCCTACCTCAGTCTCCAATCGCCAGTCTGACAATGCGTACGTTCCTGGGCGGGTAGCGCACAACTGGGCGAGGACAGATGTTGTCTGTGATGGCTCCAGAAGCCCCCTGAAGGTCGTTCGACCACAATATGATGCATGGAAGTGATGTCTACAGACGTTGTCATTGGACAATATATTGAGACAAAAATCACTCACGACGACGATTGTTGACTATGGTCAAGTCTAAGGACAAAGCGCGACGGATGGGACAAGGAATGGTTACGAATCGTAAACTTCACAGGAGCCATGCAAACCCTGAGCGACAACTGCTTAACAACCCGTTACTGGATTTGAAGGAGCGCTCACCCCTGGCTGAAATCATGCTCTATCACTAAACCATCCTCCACAATCACAACAATCGGGTTCATCTCAGCGTTCCACTCGCTATCCCGGATAGCTTGCAGCATCTCCACTTTCTCCCGTTGCGTCTCAGCATACATACTCCGCTTGACTTTGGCGCTCTCCACACCCTCGAGCACTTCTCGAAGCATAGCATGACTTGCACCTAGAGTAATTTCAGAAACAAGGATATGGCCGGAACGCTGCTCAGAAGGGATCTTCCAGAAGATGACGAAATCTACAGAGAGAGGGTTGTACAGTGGGAAGATGCTGGGGAGGGATGATGTGGGTATTCGGGGGTGTGAATGAGCGAGCGAGCGAGAGACGGCTACTCGCCGTGCGTCCATGATGAAGTGGGCGACAAATGGTTCGTAGGCAAATGACTGCGAAGGGGCGGGGATGAGTGATGATTTGGGAAGAGAGTGGAAGACCTGTACCTGGGAGACATGTCCGCAGAGGAGCTCTAGCTGTGGCGGATCGTCAGGCGCGATAGCTTGACCATGCAGCACGTTGCTTATTTTCCTCGAGACGAATGCTGAGACTGCATTTACACTCGTACAATCACCTGTGGAGGTGGCGCTAAATAATACACGCGCTGTCTGAGACGGACACAAAGGCTCACTAGAATGTGATCAGCGACATGAACATGAACATTTGTTTGCACTTACGAGCAGAGTTCAGCGAGGGGAGAACATGACCAGTTAGCACTGATCGTTGTCACTTGATTGATCTCCACGCTACTCGAAGATAAGATATTGGTCAGGTCCAGGCTTAACGAGAACGAATGATCTGACGAGTAACTTGGGTGCGAGGCCGTAGAGATCTGGAGGCACGCGACGACCTCATAACTCCTCGTGACACGCGTGCAATGGAACGGGCTGCCTTGTGCCTGAATCAGACATCTCAGCACGACTAAAGCAGGATGAAAATGTTGTAGTGACTCACTTCGCGATAAATGAAAAGGAACGACAGGTCCTGTTTCCGCTTGCGACCTGCATGTAACACAATTGTGACTTCGGTGCTTCCAGCCGCCACGAGCTTCTCTGTGAGGGGTATACTGTATGGTCTCGGTGGAATAATCTTATTATCGGACTGCCACGTTTTCCACGCCATGCCCGTAGCCAAACCTAGCTCAGCATAAGCACTTGCGAACGTAATAGACCAGCAATCTAACATACCTTCCCCACTATTCAAAGGCTGGATCCAGATCTGATCTTCAGGACCAGGTACAACCCACACCTCCCCAATATCCCTCGAACCAGCATTCGACATCCACAGCTTCATTCGCTTACACTCCCCTTCAGCAAGCACAAGCTGTCCATCGTCCACAAACGCCACCGCGAGCTCTTGGCTAGCCTCTTCTACGTGGAGCTTCAAGAATTCGTCAGAGGCGTAAGTGATTGTCTGTCTCTGCTGAGGTGTATCCTGCAGCCTGCGACCGCGGCGTGCTAACGATTCCACCGTTGGAAGGAGACCTAGGAAGTCGTAAGCGACACCTGCAATAACCAGTGATGCTGGTTTGGAAGCCTTAATGGCAATGGAAATCTAAATTGCATTACGGTCAGCTAATGCAAGAAGGAACAATTGTTACCACGAACTGTGCGCGATTCGTTGGCATAGAGGATAACGTCCTTGGCGGTCTCGATTGTGATGTTATCTCGAATCCAGGCAGCATCTCCAGAAGACGATTCGACGATTACCGTTGGATTGGCCAATGTGACTTCCGTATCGAGGGGATTGTGCAGCGTAATATCAACCCAAAATGCCTCTGCGCAAGAGATAAGTTTACAGAGTCGAAAAGTATGACGACGAGAGAAATTACCTCCCACGGCAGCATTTCCGCTTCGTTCAAGTTTCTCCTTGCCTCGATGCTTCCAAAAGGATGACCAAATCTCTTCCCGAGTCTCCCACTCGGACTGTTCGCCCTCGACAGAGTCTCGAGCTAAGCGAATACAGGCCTGGGAAGAGACAACGAAGCGAAGCGGCAGCTTGATATCCGCAAGGCGTGCTTGCTCCCCGGATACCGACTTCAAGTGCTGGTAGGTGGTGTCAGAGGGTTATAAAGGTGACGGAGGGAGGTGCATTACTGAAATAGCAACCTGGAAGTCTTCAAGAAACACTTTGTCCGAGTTGCTAGGATCCTTCGTAATGTCCACAGTATGGCTGGAGAGCTGAGCGAGTGGAGAGGACGATGCTGAAGACCACCGCAAGAGACCCAAAAAGTGCCGCACAGCGCCTGATACGTCCCCAGTGGTATACAGTAATCTTCCTAAGAGATACACCACGTCAAGGAGAGAAGAAGACAGCGATCGAAAGACACTAACCAAGTGGATGCTCAATACCAGACATGACAGCATCAAAGCCTTCTGAATCTGATGGTTGTTTGTTTTCGGACATCCAGAATGATGGCGACAAAAGTTTGTCCGGTCGGGAGATTGACAATTCACGGGCTCTCCGAAGGAAATACATGGTTAGCGGTTTCTGGAAACGCGTCTGGGCATCAGTAAAAACTACTATTTCGAATCGAAACAACGTACAATACCACATTTCTCTAGGCGATTTGCAGCAAAAAAATACCACAGCGCCGCTCGCCGTCTTGCATTCTTCCGAACGCTGAGGAGTGCAGCGTGAGCTAATAAGAGGGCTGCTGGCGGTTCTTCTGCCTTGAATCCTGACAGTCAATTGGTGCACTTATTGAGGGCAAGAAATGGTAACAAACGCACGTTGCCCGCAGCCCAGACAAGCCATCGCTCGCCCTCTAGGGTGTCACTTAGGAAGTCACCAATGGTGAGTGTCGATTCCCATCGCACAGCGTATAGCAAGGCGCGTAATTGTGCGTGTGAATGAAGGTCAGCGCTTTTGGGGTGAATAGTATTCAAAGCATGAGAGACGTGGAGCTGCACAGCTGGCGAGGGAGCAATGAGCAAAGGGAGGATATCCTAATGACAAACTTGTTAGATAGCAGGAGTATATTATTAAGAAACGATACTTACGGAGCCCCCTTTCCCTTCCTTCCGTAATGATTCCCAAACAGCAACTGCTAATTTGGAGTCACCAAGGATTGTTGCAAACTCAGCTAAGCGTCGTTGCTGAGACGGTGGAGGGATGGTGGAACCAGATACTGAGGACTGAGGCGCTGTGTATGTATTCGAGCGTGCAGGCAGAGAAGGTGTGGAAGAGTGTACTGGGGTTGTAGATGAGGTTCCGAAAAGCCGACGCGTTGATGAAAACAAGCGTGACGGTAGTCTTCGACTTGAGGAATACTGGTGAAAGAGCTCAGTAAGTATGTGGAGGGGATATGCTAATGCTCACTGTCTCGTTCCATTCTACTACACATTTCTCCATCCATGGAACTAAGTTCATTGTAACGAATTCTCGTGCAAATCTTGCTGTTTGTTGAATGTCTTGTTCAGACATTCTGAGAATATTCAATGGGGCCGTCTGTGTGGCCTTTAGGTCAGGGCGTACGGTATCGGCAGAACCGTTGGAGATAGTAGGAGGGGGTAATCGAGGAACAAGTGCTGGAATAGATACGGGGTGTGGCGGAGGGGATGGAAGCTCAAGAGAAAGAAGGTAAGTGTGTAGACCATATTGTTTCTTGACAGCATTGAAGAGTGCACCTGCTCTGGAAAAGTGATACTATGAGAAGCATGAACAGTAACGAACAGTGAATACGTACTCTTCGTCAGAGAGCGGAGAGTTCTTGGGATGAATTATAAGGGTGTAAATGAGATGTGTGACGTCTACCCATGATGGAAAATCTAATGTTCGGGAATGTAAAGCCGTTATTGCTTGCAACGGGTTTGGGGCCGTAGTAGAGACTGCTAATATTACTGCGGCAAGACTGTGAGGCGTAATAAAAGGTGAAGTAGAAATACTGACTTGACATTGGATGATTCCACCCCTCATCTCTAGCCGGGATGTGATCTCCTTCGGCACAACGTCTCAATTCATCCCACCAAGGTGTTCTTGCAACATCTCGATCATTCATCTTTTCAAAATCATCTACCCATTTGGCGCAGCGTTTACTGATACGGTCACCGATCCAGTCAATAGTCCGTGTGGCGCGTTGTTCCTCATCCTCGCGACAAGCGGCCTCGATTTCTGTCAAGTCAGAAAAGCGAAGCGCGAATGATGTGTGGGGCACAGTGGTCAAAGCCGTGGTGCGAGTTGTGACTTTTCATGTGGATTAAATATCAATATTGGTCGAAAATAGCCAAACATACCTTGTGGTAATGGTGAAAAGGACTGCAATATATGATGCAGGGAAGGTAGGGCAGAAGACTGAAGGAGTTCTTCAAGGTCTTGAGAAGGAAGGATGCATATGTGCGGGGTCAGCGATGAAGGCAGCACCCTAGCCATGAAAGTTGCTCGTGCACGTTGCTCTTCAAGATGCGTAGCTAGCTAGTACCTGAGGGCCTGACCCTCTCCTCAAGATGCAAAGTAGTATAGTTCCCACATTCAACGTCACGGTTAATCTACATGTTATACAAGGGTATATATAAGAAAATTAAAAGAAACCCCCACCACCGAATCCTCCGTCAAATCCACCACCGCCAAATCCTCCACCACCAAATCCTCCGTCGAGCATATCTCCAAGTAAAAGTCCGCCTGCCAGTCCACCCAATAAAGGTAATGCCATTCCCCCTCCAAACCCTCCACGTCGACTCCTTCTTCCATACGGGCCTTCATTATATGCATATGGGTCTCCCACAGGTGGGCCATACTGACTCCGACCAGAATAGCCGCCCGAGTAATCTGGGGAGTAACCATAACCACCGTACGGCGGATAACCACCATGTTGCTGCATGTACGCAGCACGTTCCTCCAAATTTCGTCTCCGTGCCTCACGACGCAGCTCCTCCTCTCGCGCACGTTCTTCAGCTTTTTGTCTCTTGTGTGCCTCACGCTCTTCCTTTGTACCAATAGTCTTGTCTTTCAGCTTCCCGAACATCCCGCGCTTTCGCTCCTCATGGTGCTCGTCGACTGGTGGCGAGACTGTACTCTGGGAAGACTGGGCGTTGGTGCGAAGTGGGACCGCCTCCTCTCCACCGCTGAATGAATGACGTCGCTGTTCGTACGGAGGAGGATCTTCCAAAGATGGTCCTTTGATCTTCTCTACTTTTGCTTTGATATCTGGATTCTCAGAAAGGAACTGCTCGTCTTCGTAGGGGTGCACCCATATCGCTCGTGGTGGCTTTGCCGTTGTATCAACCTGTAGAAGGAAGGGTTAGGGTTTAATCTGATAAGAGATACCAACAGTGCTCACCCAGAATGGGTGCTTCTGTTGAGGGTCATATTCCTGAATCCAACCCTCCGGCAAGGGTAGCTGAGACATACGATAGGTGTTATGGTTAATTGTGAGTCGAGTAAGTACTGTGCCCAAGCGCGATATCACTCTTATATACTCATCCATCACGTGCGTTAGGGGGTGCACTAGTACCCCGACGGAGACACAGCTCTGGCACAGGTACAACCACAATTGGAAAATTTGATGCTTGACTGCTAACGTGCCAACAGATCTGATGCTCAAACGTGCGGGCCTGTGGCAGGCTATATGATATGTGACCCGATGGTTACTAAAGTAATCTTAAAAAATAACCCAGAAAGCAAGTTCCTGGCACTCAGCACCCTTTCCGCAGCACAAGCTATATCAGGACCGCCATGCCAGCGGACTGGTGTGGACAGCAATTATTCGTGGACTACATGTAATCGCAAGTCAGTACCACAGTTGCTATTCTGCAAAATAAACCTACGTACATCCTCTTCAAATCTAGAATTTTGCCAGTACCATCTTAGTTCCCGCATGTTTCAGTTGGCAGCCGCTGAGATGGGCAAAGTGCATGTCTCGACAGTACATCCTTTCCTTGCTTCCACACCAGCTTCACGCTGGAAATCTACCGTGTCATCATCAGACCCGAGGCAACTCATAACTCAATATACTCACTCTCGACGGAGGTATCAGCAATCGGGGAGGCGTTAGCCCCGATGACGCTCAGCATCATTGCGAGGAATACAAGAACAACAGTTGAAACGCGCATTGTCGTGCTGAAGGAGTGGGAAAATCTTCTGTGTTTGATTCAAGGCGAACCACACCTTTTTATATTTTTCGCGACAAGCTTTTGGACTCAATGCATCTCATATGCTCTGGATACTCCCGGCACTGCCTGTTCCTGTGGACCTTAGTCCATTTTGATGTTGTCAGGTCATCAAGGTTTACCATCATATTTGAACACTTGATCAGATACCTTCAAACAGTTTTGGTTGTGGCTGAGCGCTCCGAAGCTGTCGATAGCTACGTTTAGGCCCTTCCAAGATTCCGAAGCACATTATTTAAATTACAATCCCATACAAACCAATAGTACGTGTTCAAATTTATGCATATCATCTGACGCATCACAGGAAAAAAACTAAGGTTGCGGGCACCTCTCCGGGATTCGGTATTCAAGTATTTGTCCCAGATCATCATTCCTTGTTGTACCCTCCTCTTCCCCTAGCTTCAATTATATCCTCCTCTTCCTGGATCCCTCTCCTCCCTATTATACCCTCCCCTTCCTGGGTCCCTCACATCCCTGTTATATCCTCCCCTTCCTGGATCCCTCACATCCCTGTTATATCCTCCCCTTCCTGGATCCCTCACATCCCTGTTATATCCTCCTCTTCCTGGTTCTCTCGGTACCTCACGCCGGACATCTATCGCATCATCGTCAAACTCAGGGCTGGAGCTAGATCATGATTCAATTCCACTCACTATCAACGGTGGCCTCGGCGATTGGGGAGGCAGTAGCTCCGATGACGGCCAGCATCATTGCGACAGATATAAGAACAACAGATGAGATGCGCATTGTGAGGAGCGGAAGATTAAAAGCAAATATTGCTGGGTTTGATTGAAGAAACATCTCGCCTTTTATAATGTTCAGAGCACAAGGTTACGGGCTCAATGCTAATGTACATGCATGTGCTCTGTGGAGTCGTCACTATCCACTGCCCTATAACCGCGGACCTGAGTGCATTTCGAAGTTGTCAAGCCAGCAATCTTTGCCATCATGCTTCGAAGTTGATCCCTGACAGACAGCTATCACAGTTTGGGTTGTGGCAGAGCACTGAGCGCAAATCGGAGGAAGACTTGGTGATTACAATTGTCATGACAGTCTGATAGCGAGGTGATGATATGTGTTCGAACTCTTGTATATGTCTGATGCAGCACAGGAAAACAGAGGAAAATTACAAGTTACGGGCAGCTTCAAACGGAATTTGATATTCAACTTGAAGTAAGTACGTCCGCGCCGCATGATGCTGATATGATCAATCACAATTGATAGCAATGCAGATTCTAGGCGTATCCACCGCTCTTATGGATCCTGGCATCATTACTGGACTCCATGACATCTGGCCCCGTCTATCCGGGAGAAACACCATCCTACTCTTCTTGCGGCCATGAGACAGTCCGAACTCCCGACGAAAGAGGACAAATAAATTACAGCAGGTGCATTTGCTGAGAGCGGTGATCATATGTGAGGTAAGGGGATAAAGACTATCAACGATAATCGATGATGGCTGATCTATCCAAGCTAGCTGTACTCGGTAGGGATCATAATTAAGATGGAATGTCAATTATAGCGCTAACTATGTATAGCAAGTATCATATAATGTCAAGAGGATTCATTGCGGTGCTCAGAAGATTATCGGTCAAGTTGGGTCAACTGAGGATCAGCATGCAGACTTCCCACTCTCGAAAATGGGTCATGATAAGCCTGAGTCCGCTCGACGAAGCTTTCAAAACGGTCGATCCGTTTTAGCGACGTCCGGGCAGACCAGTTGCCACTCTGCCATCTGTCACAGGCGGAGCTACAGGATTGGCATTAACATTACGAACCACTACTGTGTCATTATCAGACTCGGGAGGGAGAGAGTCTACAATTTTACTTACCTGTGGGGTGTGCGTTGGCTCCAATGATGCCCAGCATTCCTGAAACGAATACAAGAAAAACAGTCGAGATGCGCATCGTGAAGAATCGATAAAAATAAACAATAATGTGAGTCGAAAAATCTTTGTAGGGTCTGTGAAGACGAATGGTGCCCTTTACTATGCATGTCTTGCACGCCGGTGCGATGCGATGTATCGGCATAGGATTGATTACTACGCCCATATACCAGGGTATGTGCCGCACGCCGAGCGCAACCATATAGGAGACCAGTACGACTCGGGCCATGCATACTGTGATCAGGCTGAGAGCTACGCCACGAACGAGTCACCTTGCTGGCTGGCAAGTCATCCATATTTGCCAGCGCCGCGGCTATGCGTGCTCACACGCCGCCCTACCAGTGCATAATTTGGGTGAGGCCGGGCACTTACTAGCATGAAGAATGTACACTGGATGATACCTACGGTCAGGCCCATGGCGAGCCCAAGCTGCATGACAATCTGATAATGCCGTACGTGCCTAAACTCTTGCATATTATATTGCACAGCACTCAAAGCGGATGCTGGTATTACAGTGATCGATGTTCCTTGTACGATGCCAGGCTGAGACGTTGACGACCAAACCAGTGCTATGATAGGCAGAACAAAGCGGCTAGTAAGAATGTATTCGTGCAATATGCTATTTTTTATAGTTTTAAAATGTGAGTGGTAAATCAATTACAGTAATGATGCGACATGCATGTGTCCCGGGAAAATATATAAATTAACGATCTCAAGGTCGATGCTAGAGCGTTAGCGCCACATTAATGCATTATGCAGGAGTGGTTTTCCATTGCTTATGCATCTCCATCTCTTCCGGAGAGGAGGGGATTTTCTATACATCACTCCAAAATAACACACGTGTGTGCTCCTGAAAGGCAGTAGCATTATAGTGGTCATGCCGGTTTCTACTTCGGAGCCGATCGCAGGCTAAGTGAGCGTTGAATTCTTGAACACTAGTGGCACGACGGATAATGGATCCCAGTACAAACATATATAAGCACAATAATATCCCATGCATCAGCCAGGCGGCCCACGCCGTTCCACCAAGATATATCCGCAAGCGGTAGCATCGCGGGACCCACGTTACACAGTTGTATCTCCAAATGACATAAAAGTGTGCTCCTGGAAGCCAATTGTAGTAATGCCAGCTTCTACTTCAGAATTGACGAGGCGAGCATTGAATTCTCGGACGCTAAGGATCAGACGTGGTCCCAGCACAAACATCTGCACATTCCACAGAATTTGAAGAATGCCACTGTAAATCAGAGATCCTACGGGAGAATTCGCCTATTAGGATAAACTGTGGTCAGATACGGATGTGTGAGAAACAGGTCGGCGTACCAAGGTTGGAGAGTAGTAACCGAATTGGAAGCAAGCAACAGCAGCGCAGCTAGATAGCACGTGTGGAACTTCAGGGAGAAAAGATAGCCGCATTAAAATCACAAGCTAACCTTACAAAGTAAAGCACGTGAGTTTTTATCAAAACCGCATAGAAGCCATTGATGGCCCATCGTCGTAGTTTGCGGAAGTGTTTTACAGCAATCCAGACCGCAAGGAAAAACACGAGAACCTCCCATACGGTGCCTAGTACCCAAGTGATGAAAAACAGAGATGAGCTCGCGCCGAAATCATAATTGCATTTGTAGGTCCCAGACAGGATGAATTCCTCTGATATTCATCCAATTAACTCGATGCACTGGAGTCTTTCGTTCATAATGAAGGCTTACCTCCTGAAGTGTAGCTGTTTGTGATTCCAACGGCTACTCCAGAGGTGATAATGACAGGTAGGAAGGTTACAACGAGGAAGATAAGCATCTTTCTGGATCCCTGATACATGGCATGCAATCGAGTGATCAGGATGGCTAGCAAAGTTCAAGTCGACTCAGGATCGCTTAAGTATTACAGCTGAGTAGCTCACCGCTCGACATCATACTCATGACCACAGTGATCCAATTTATTGCATAGTAAAAATTGGCACCTAAAAATCTAGTAAGTGATGACTCGGAAGATCAAACAGTTCAGGAACTCACAGCTGTCTCAGTCATTATATTGAATAAACAGGCTGTTCGGGAACCTCACCCCTGCAAAAGAGAGCATTCGGTTGTTCAGGAATGTCAGGAATCGGTACATAATACTCACTGCATCTGTCACTGATACTGTCGGAAGATTGTCTACATGGGACTGGTCAGATAACACAAACAAGATGTATTTGAGGAGACAAACCCAGCATATTGAGTCTGATCGGAAAATTGACTTATCAGCAGAGCACCAACTTGCTAGCTTTGCAAACATACACAGCATATGGGATTCCAGCATAGCGCACCTATGATATTTTGGAGTCAGAATGTTGGCAATTGCACCTTGATATAAGCTACATACACCGGCATATAGAACGGTCATAAGGGACCAGGGATGCCTCTGCTCCAAATTCATTATCTTGTCATTGTTCTGATATGGGGACTCTGCCGCTTACCCAAACTAATTCAACCTATCAAACCGTTCTTAGCGACGACTGTTCTGGATGATAGTGTCAACTTACCTCACGTCTGAATGTCAGGACTGAAGATATGATAAGGATGACTCTGGTTTTTGAATATTTTTGCTTACCCCAATCGTATATCACCACCACAGTGGAGATAACTGCAAACCACATTCAAGGTTAGTTCAAGACAGAGTCATGATCGGACTGTCTCTCCACGAACCTGAAAAATAGCTGAAGAGAATATTTGAATTAATTAACGGCCAGTAAATGGGATCATTTGAGACCACAGTCATGTTTGAAAGATAGGCGTATGAGTGACGAACCTGGTCACTGTGGATAGAGCCCGGCCATATATACCACGACTAGGAAGTAAGCAGATTGCGGTTAGATTAGTGTCACAAGGCTGTGTACATGGTAACTCCTTTAACAAGTTAGACCACTGGACTCCGGTGGGACCGTCCATCGTTTCTCCATCAATTCATTCAAATAGGACCCAAATTCAACTCAGTTGTCAAGTTGTTGAACCCGTCGTCATTTCAGTCAACACTGGCCAGAGCAGGTCGCGCACATAGTCACCGGACAACCTCTGATCAACAGCGATTCGCGAATGAGCGCATGCCTATTGAAATAGTTATCAATACTCCACGATACTTAAAATAGCGATGTTACAGCAGAAGGAACCAAGGCAGAGCAGACGCAGCCACGGTGTCGGTCACAGCGAAGAACATTGATCATTGCAGGGCAACTAAAATCGGATACAAGTTCGCCGCGATGGTGAAATTTATATGTAATAAAGTAAAATAAGATAAAATAAAATAAAATAACTATAAAAATATTACGTAGTAGACTCTAGTCGTTCGTCGTCATAACTTACTTGTGCCGTTCGCTCGTCATGTTCCCCTTTAACTTGCTCACGAGGCAGTTTCCAGCCACACCCCCCAAGGTCGAGTAATAGTAGTGCTCGGCTCCCGACGAACATCTACGCCCATTGTCAATTCCGGGGTTCAGACAACTCATAAATTCACTTACTCGTTGGAGTGGCCGCAGCGTTGGTTCCGATGATGCCAAGCACCATTGAAATTGATACAAGAACAATAGTCGCAATGCGCATCGTGAAGGAGCAGCGGGAATAATGTATGTGGTTATGTGAATTAACATCTGCTGGAGCAAAGGGTGACTTTATGTATTGTCCGACAAGGTGACCAGGCAGTACATACCAATACCATGTTTACAGTGTTCTGTGCGACTAGGGAAACCTGCGCGAGCGGTCGTCCATTCTTTGGACTAGTGTTACATTGGTGTTACGAGTCAACGTTTGCTATGTTCGATCAGAATTCAAATGCAGGGTCACTTAGCATACACAGGCTTGATTTACACTTGGCCATAGAGCAAGGACTTCCGTGTACATGGCCAATACCCTTCCAATAGTCATGCTTATATTGTCTGACGCGACGCAACACAGCTTTATTATAAGTTGTTCGCAGCTTAAACTTGAACTTGAAACCTGGTCTTAGGCTGGAACGTCAGTAACCAAACCAGTGCGTAGACAACCAGCTAGCATGTGTTCAGGCCAGTACTTGGAGGAGATAATATGAATGTTTTGGAACCACTATGATAAATTCATAGTCCTATTGAATATGTAAATACAAATTACTTGTGGTATATCAGATGCGCATGAAGAATTATTGAAATGAAGCGAGAGCAGACCCGGGTGACCGTTGCATGTAAGAGACATCTACGAGTCGGCGAATGATATGGGGGGCATGGTAACAACAACGAGAAGCGGTGCATTAAGGCATCGAGCAGTGGCTGTTAAGCAGGATGGGCGCGAAGGTAACGAATCACCTCCTGAATCTTCAGCACCTTCTGTTCCGTCGGCATCTGTCAAAAGCATAAAGTTCATGATTTAATAACTTGCAGCCATGCTCACTTCAAAAAAGCGCTGCATCCTTCGACGCCTATCTTCATCTGCTGCTTCCTGAAGAGCGATGTCATCTACAAAAGGATGCGTACCGCCGAAATCTCGTCTCTGGTGAGAGGAAGAGCTATTCGTGGGAGGCAGTGCCCATTCCTCCGTAACGCCCCAGCCTTTATCCTGGTTGTCCGAGATCACAACCTTGGGAGGGACTGCCCATTCTTCCGTAACGCCCCAGCCTTTATTCTGGTCTTCCGATGTCAAGTCCGTACCAGTGGCAACCTTGGGAACAGACAGATCATCTTTACGCCCCCATCCATCACTTGCCTCTTCACCATTCGGCTTCCTCAAAGCTCCCAGTATCCCCCGGATCTCATCAGAGGTCTGCCATCCGCCATCCTGTTCCATCATCTGCAAAAATTCCTCCATCCTCAGCACCTCACCTCTCTCCGCAGCATGCACTCCACGGATCCAGAACGGCACCAGATCAAATACATGATCAACATGCGTCTGCATCTCCCATATGCGCAAGCCATCGGAAGTTAACGGAGGCTGTTCGAGTCTTCCCCATGCGTCATCGTCCCGTGGTTGCCACCACTCTACTTCGGAGACGTGCTGCGCATGTTCGCGAGATGCCTTTTCGTGTCGAACTGCAGCTTCCATGCTCGAAAAATGGGATTTGCTGGTGCAAATGTTGCAAATCCATCCGCGGCGGCGTGAGACGTCGGGGGTAAAATCTATAAGCGGATGATGATCACTCTACCGTTCAATGTGATCACTCTCTAGGACACACATTGTTTTTTGTCAAATTTCAACTTTTTGGGAGAACGAGGTGCCATGGGTTTAGATCAAGAGGTCTCAGAGGATGATGGGATGATTGAGAAAGTACGAGGGCCGGAGCCTTTGGGAGAGCAGTCAGTATAAATGTCCTTCAGCTGGTGTCCACAGACCAGGACTCCAGCGATACAGTCCACAATCACGATGAGCAACCGCCTATATTCCGCATACGGAACAGCTTCGTATTTCCACTGTATACGTTGCTAATACAAGAGAACCACGAGGACAGGCCAACAATGGCCATGACGAGATAGGAAGTCCTGAAGGTCCTATTACTACGTAACAACAGTGTCCAAAAACTACAATGTTCTAGCTAATAGGTAATAATCATAAATATCTACGAAGCTCCGGGTAGCGGGTCCACCCAAGTTCCATTCGGCCAAAGGGTCACAGGCATCGTAAAATCACCAGCTGTACCATCCGTTGCGTACTACAAAAGAATTCATTAGTCTTTGACCAGTGCAGAAAGTTCCTTGAAAGCACTTACAGCAAGCCTGAAGAAATGTGGCAAGCCAGCCTCCAGTGCAGCAAGTGAGTAGTTGAGTGCAGTGCCCACGTACACCTCCACATCATCCACGAGTAATGCAAAGCCATTCCAACCTTGCGTGGCAATGGCCGTAGGCATGCTGTACCAGCTGATGGTTTGGTTCGTGAGAGCAATAGAGGCGTTGTAGTTAGTGGAATTCGTGAGAAAAGTGGGGAGGGGGGAGCCAGTTGTCCCGCCTTCGACAAGCTGCAACACCACATGAGTTACTGAGGGCATACATAGTCAAAAAGGCATACATCAGCAGCAGTCTGCAGTATCGAGTCAAAGCCGAACGCAGACACGCCATTAACGAACATCCCAAGGAGGAACCCTTGATAAATCGCTGAAAGTCTTGTCGGGAAGCCAACACCAGGGAACAATACCATCGAGATGATGTAATGATGCAGTCTAAATTGCAGGCCAGGCAGCAACGCCAACACCAGCGCAACGAGGCCTCCGAGGATGTACCATCCGAGGTAGTATGGCAGCCACCCTGTCTTCCGAATAACACGTATCTGGTTGACCACCAGGACGAGAAGGATGAGGACAATAATTATAAGCGCTACAACACCCCCCGGCTGTTGCTTGATATCAGCCGCAGTCAATCGTTCGATAGGGATTTGGTCCATGGTGAGATTTGTAAGAACACCAGTCCAATAAGGTGCAAGGTACCATATCATGGCTTCAAACGGCGCGCTTTCGAACAGAGGCAATGTAAACCTCACAGCAACGCGCCAGAACCCATAACAGACGAAAAGGGTAGGCAGAAATGCACCGAAGGCGACGTCCAGTGGGGGTGGGGTCGCTTGAGGCTGGGAGAACAATGCAACGTGCCAAAATCCAATGCAGACGAGGCACCACCACATGACGATAGCTCTGGGTCGCAATACGAGGAAGAGAAGACAGGTAATAAGTATATTGAAAGCGAGCGCCGGTGTGCGGAGGTCGGTGCAGTGAGTGAGAACATTTGACGGTGAGAATCTAAAGGACATCGGGAATACAGAGGGGAATCCAATGGAAGATAGTCCGAAAGCAGTTGTAGGTAAATAGTTCGTGAAATTCCCCACGAGGTTAATAGATGCGCAACCTCCTATCGAGTCGCTGAAAAGGCCGCTATATAGAAAACACATGAGTGAAGTCTGCATCGTCGAAAATAAAATGAATGATCGACAACTTACGCTTGAACGGCAGAGGCACAGATAAAACTATCAGCTCTATAAGTCTTCTGACTATCTCCACCTCCAACAAGTAACGGTACAAAATCTACGGATTCATCGCCCACCACACGCGGGTTCTGCAGGACAACACTGCTACATTGCGCCGGGCATCTGAAATCAAAAGACGAATTACTAAACGGTGCGCACAGACTACCGTCCAGACCGCATCCTGCGTCTCCTGTCCAGTAGACAGATGTACAACCGACGAAAGAGCTTGCAGGGATCGTATACCATTGTGCGCGGACCAAAAAGGAAAAGGAAATGATATATGCTACTATGAGGAGGACGAAAAGCCATGCAGCGGTGAGTGGGCGAGTGAATCGAATGATTGCAGGCTCGAGTGCAATGGTAAATCGACGGCCTCTGAAGTTGTACGTGCGACCGAGGAGGGGCACAGGGTCTGAATGGTGTGAGTGCCGGCAGTAAGTGATCCAAAACATAGAAACTCACTTGGAAGATCGACTTTCGGCCTGGGTCCTCGAATGTATTTGACCGCTCGATCAACAACATGATACAACTGAGGAGATCGTGCTCTAAACGAATCAGCGAGTCTTGATAAACGAGTGGAGGGTGGTGCAGAATGAGGTGAGGCTCCTAGTACTAGTAATGAGCCCGGGCCATAGAGGCCTTGCTGTGAGGTCTCCGCCTCAAACTTTAATCTCTCCTCGCTTGAGGGGGCTGTTGTCTCGCGAGAAGAGCTGTACCGGAGTCCTTGATCCATGAGAGCTCAATTTGAGGAGACCTGTCATGGAGGATTCTTGGTTGTGCGAAAAGACATGCCTAGACGCGCAGCACCTGTCCAAAATTAAATATCATCACTAATGCTGTCCCCTAACGGTGGATTAGCCACCTGCCTGTAAGCTCCTGAGTTCCCAATCAGCAAAAATACTGTCCGCAATAATCAAGCTGAGCTTTGCCTTTTGGGTTAATGGTAAATGCAATAGCGTGCCAGTGACTGTCTTGACTACCTTACACTGCCACAGCGTAGACTAGAACATTACAACGAAAGAGAGCAATGCATATGCTATAAGATTTGCAAAATATCATTACCAAAAAAAAGTATATATGGTACCTTGCCAAGGCCATCAAAATATCGACCAGCAAATCATCTTATGTAGGCCACAGGCTAAACTTCTCTGCCGCATATCCCCTACCGTTCACCATCGTCTGTTTCATAATCACCATCTTCATCCGATCCTCTCTCCTCTGTTCCTTCTGTGCCTTGCCGTGCCTGATTGCGTGCCCAACTCGGCCGCCCTTGTTGCATTTTAATACTATTACTCGACCACTTTGTACCTTTGTAGTGGGCTGCCAGGGATATGATGGCTATGCGAAATGAAAGAAAACATCAGAATATGACATGCGAAAGAAGAAGGAGCGCACCATCTTCGTTCCTTCTGTAGAATTCACCCCATGATTTTTCTGATCTCTCACTATCCGGGAACTACACCATCAAATGCACACGATCAATTCACCAAATTCAGCACATAAATATATGATACTACTCACCTTTGCAAGAAAGCCCTCCCATCGTTCCCGACCTACCATGTCATTCCACCCCGGAGTGCGCGCAACATACCTGGCTATAATCCTCCAATCTGCAGGTGTGAACGAACCACCAATGGCTCCCATGTCTGCTTCGTCAGTATCTGTTGTGGCGGAGGCATCGTAATTGTCACACGAGGGAGAAGGAGAGTGTCGCGAGGAAGAGGCGACCCGTCTAGACGCGCCTATCTTGGTCTTTGGGAAACGAGCATCCGATTTTGTGCTACGAAGCGTGGATGTTGTCTGACGAATGACTTCAGTTTCTGAGTCTTCCATTGCATCGGATGGCGCGTTTGGAGAGTCTGAATCTTCATCGTCTTCATCACCTTCTTCCTCATCTTCATCCTCATCGTCACCCTGAAAGGAGTACAGGATCTTGTCTGCGATATCATGTCTGGCATGCCAATGAGATGCCCAGGAGGGCGCGCTATGATGTGGGGCCTGTAAGGGGTCAGTATTGAACGTGTTCGAGCACAACTTCCCACCTTTTCATTCAACATCGCACATAACTCTTTCTTCGTCAGGCTCGCATCCTGGCTCAGCCTCCAACTGATAAATTTCAAGAAATACGCGCGATCCTCCTCTGTATACCTGTTCCCATTTGTCCCAGGTTCGATTCTTGTCGGGGGCGTAGGGCTCCGTGATGGTGGACGGGGTAAAGTAATATCCGCTTGAAGCGGCATAAGCTTGGAGGGAAGGTTTGTTGGGAGGAGGGGTGCAGAGAGGGAGTTGAGGGTTGCTCGAGGCCGTTTTGGGGGACGGTAGCCTAGGGACGGGGCTGTGCTGATGGCGGTAGGTGTAGAGCGTTTTGGAGGTCGACTTTGTCGGAGTGGTGGAGAAGGTGAAGGCAATCTTTTTCGCGAGTCGCGATCACGATTGTTTAGAGGGGAAGCAGACTTTGTCGTGGAGGTAGATGCGCGGTTGGAATTGAAAGGTTTTTTGACTGCTTTTAATGTTTGGCTTTGGTCTGCTAGACGAGCGACGAGGACATCGAAGCGGTCGTGGTGGTCAAGGTAATAGTCTTTCCAAAGGTTGGCAGCGTGATTATTGACCTAAGGGAGTATAATAAATGCATGAGCACGTTACGACTTAGAAGACATGACACGCACACCATGTAACCCCTCCAAAGCCTGTCTGTACGTCTTCCCGGACTGCTTGCAGTCGAAAAGAGCTTGGGCAAGGATGGAATCGTCGTTAGGTGACTGGCCGACTGGAATTGTCAAGCGAAGAAAGTCTTGCATCAGTTGCTGTGGAACGACAGACGCGAGATCAAAACCGGGATTGGGGAACGCGTGCTGAATTGAGTTCACATTCGGTGCAGCTGACACGTTACAATTGGGCTGATTCTGCCGGGCCATGTGGTGTCCATTAATCTGCATGCCCTGCTGGTGGTGTTGCCATTGATGATTCTGAGGTTGGTGAGGATATTGGTTCTGGCTCATTGACGGCCAGTTTTGATGGTTGAGGATGCCTGTCATACTCTGGTTGTAGAACTGGTCTTGAGGTTGACCTGTGTGGTGAGCAGGCAGTCCGTTCGGTATTGGAGCATTCATCTAAGACGTACGCGACAGCGAGGAGATAAGCTCACCGTTGTTCACCCTGATGAGCGACGAGGTTCACAATTTGATGAAAGTACTCAAATCCACGTGTCTTTGTCACGTGTTAGCATCACGTGAGACCATCGGGGCACCGTCGAGTACTTGAGACTCCGAGAGCTGCACTCGGTCTGCTTTCCCCTTGAATCCGTCCGTCATGTCGATCTCCCGCCTTGTCCGTATTCCTCTCCGCAGTCCATCGCGCTCTTACGCTACGACAGCAGGCTTAAATGCGCTCGCACGTCCCAAGGCTGAGAATCTTAGCGCGAATTGGCAGGGTACTAGTGCGACTGGAGGTAACACCAAGAATTTCATTGCCGGCGCCTTTGTCGACAGTAAGACAACACAATGGCATGATGTGCTCGACCCTGTATGTCTACGCCCCAAACCACTGCGTAAGAACAAGTGTTAATGATTGTTTGGCAGTCAACCCAAACACTGCTCACACGCGTCCCCGAGACTACTACGGAAGAATTTGACCAGGCAGTCGATGCTGCTAGCCAGGCATTTAAGTCTTGGAGCAAGCAGAGCGTTCTTGCTCGCCAACGTTTTGCCATAGAGTCCGTCTTCGAGTACCCACCTTATCAACACCTGACCCGCTCACGTTGGATTCAGACTTCAGTATCAAATCCGTCAAAATGCAGACGCACTTGCACACAGCATCGTCCTGGAGCAGGGAAAGACCCTTGCTGGTACGTGCACCTTCTCTCTCCTTCCGGTATTTCCTCTAATCCCTCCCCAGATGCTCACGGTGATGTTCTCCGTGGTCTTCAAGTAGTCGAAACTGCCATCGGTATCACCTCCAACATCGTCGGCAAGAAACTGGAAGGTTTGAGTGCTGCTTGAGTTTTCAGACATGGTGCTCACGTCACCATAGTCAGCAAAGACATGGACACAGAAGTTCGAAAGCTCCCTCTCGGCGTCTGCGCAAGGTCCGTTCTAAAGTACCCTACGTAACATACGCTTACCTCTTACAGCATCGCACCTTTCAACTTTCCAGCGTAAGCTCTTCTTTCTACGTGTCCCTGGCTCATCCTTACATCACCATTAAGAATGATTCCCCTCTGGACCATTCCCCTTGCTACCGTTACTGGTAACACCCTCATCCTTAAACCATCTGAGCGGGACCCCGGTGCGGCCATGATCATTGCTGAGCTGTGTGCTCGTGCTGGCCTCCCCGAAGGTGTAGTGAACGTAGTGCATGGGACTGTGCCTGTTGTCAACAGAATTTGTGATCACGAGGCCATCAAAGCGGTGAGCTTTGTGGGGGGAGATCGCGCAGGAAGACATATATACGAGAGGTGAGTGGAACAAGCGAAATTATGATCTTTGGAACCATGCCGACGGATATGGCAGGGCCACGAAGAACAGCAAACGTGTGCAGGCAAATTTGGGCGCAAAGAATCATGCGGTAATCATGCCCGATGGTAAGATACCTCCCATTGTATGTGGTTGGAACTCACGTAATACACAGCAAATAAGAATCTTGCGCTCAACTCCATTATTGGTGCTGCATTCGGCGGTAAGCGTCTCTCCTTTTAATATGGACTGTGCTGACACGATCGTGCCTGGACAGCTGCGGGACAGAGGTGTATGGCAGTTTCAGTAGGCAAGTCGTGCGAACGTGCTGTGTGACACCTACGTTAACGTACATCTACACATGTGTAGCCGTACTCGTCGGGGCAGCGCAATCATGGCTCCCAGAACTTGTAGAGCGCGCATCAAAGCTGAACGTGAACGGAGGATTTGAGGAGGGTGCAGATCTGTGAGTACTCTTTCACCGTTCTTTGGATCTTCGCAGCATTGCACTGACCTACATCGTACATAGTGGCCCCCTCATCTCTCCCGCCTCCAAAGCTCGTGTCACGGGCCTCATCGCGTCCTGTGCAGACGAAGGAGGGCGAATACATCTTGACGGGAGGAACGTTCAAGTTCCTGGGTACTCCGCTGGTAACTTTGTAGGTCCAACAGTTTTAGAGGGAACAGTAGGGATGCGGTGCTACCGGTGTGTATTACAATTTCTCATGCATGACTGGTCACAATCTGACACTCATCACTACACTCAGCGAGGAGATATTCGGCCCGGTGCTTACTGTGATCACCTCAGACACACTGGACGACGCTCTCGACATTATCAATACAAATAAGTACGGCAACGGTGCTGTGATTTTCACGCAGTCGGGCGCGACAGCTAGGAAATTTGAATCGGGGGTTAATGTGGGGCAGGTGTGTCTATTCTTTCATGCACTGTGATGTTGGGGCTTTGGGGTACTGCTTCAAAGGAATTTGAACTAATGCTAATGCAATCTTATCTTGTGCCTCTACAGGTTGGTATCAACGTTCCTATTCCGGTTCCTTTGCCTATGTTTGCATGGAGCGGTAACAAGGGCAGTGTGCTTGGCGATATCGGATTCTATGGGAAGAGTGGTATTAATTTCTACACGCAAAACAAGGCATGTCTGATCAAGCCCTTTTTTTGAACGTAGTTGGTGACGTCATCGGTGCAGACCACGACAAGCCTCTGGCGCCAAGAAGATGCCATTGGCAACAAGGCATCAGTAGACATGCCCACGCACCACTGAGCGTGCGAGCCATGGTACGTGCTATCGCGACCCTTTCTAACACAGGGGAATCAAGACAAGGGAAAAGAATCACTTGTCTGTTATGTATTCATCACACAATGTTTCCGTCATTAACCATTTGTATATATCTGCATGGAATCAATTGGTCGTTTTTTGCTGTGCTCATCAGTTCATTTTATTTGATTCAGGTCACATTCCCAAGCACAGGAGTACATACATACCTTTCCGTATCGAATTTCATACACTCCCATCTGATGGATCACTAGTAACCGTCATCGACCGCCAGCTTGACAATTCTGCGTCCTAATTTAAATGACTCTATGCATTTGAAGCAATCAACATGTAGAGATCTAAAGCTGCTTTCGGTCTTGCGCATTGTGTACGTTCACGTGATGCCTGTCAGCTCTGAACTTGGACGGTCGTGACACCTGAACCACCAAAGCACGTATGCCCTCACCCCCGATTCAAGTCTTCCTCACGACGATCGCGTCGCAGGTTGTTGTAAGGAAGCGCCAAGGTTGGTAGATAGACGCAAAACGTCCACCACGTTGATCGTATGAACCAGAATATATTCTTCGCATCCTCCAAACCAAGAAGATCCCATATACCTCGTATGATCTCGCCTCTGACGATGATGCCAAACGTTTGTGGAGGCGCAAGGCGCCGCCTGGTGTGTTTCGATCTTATCCTGCTCTGATACTGCGCTTACAGTGCCTTTCGGACGGATTCGGCAGATAAGCAACAGCTTCCAGGTATACTCGTAGGCGGCAAATTTAGTGGGGTATGCGCTTATCCATGCCATCTGTACAGTACTCATCGCGAACAGGACTTTGATGCATTGTAAACCTTCTCTCCTACCCCAGTTGTCTCAATCCTTTTTACCCCATACAGCGAAGAAGCTGTCGAAACCGAACGACTGGCTACCTTCTTGCGGCTAAATGAAAGCTGGAATGTCGCCACCGACGAAGACCGTCCGGCGCCCGAGGTCAAACCCGTTGGTGTGCCCGGGGCCGTCCCCATCGCACAAATGACGCCCGAACACCACAAGCCCCGAATCTTCCCCCGCGACCCAGATACCCCGCTGAAGCCAGTGAACAAGCACGATGGGAACTTTGATGTGAGCACGGAGCTGGAGGGGTACGGGTTACAGGGCGTACGGGTAACCGATGACGAATTAAGGCTGTTGGTTGAAGAGCTTGGGCTCGATGGGGATGATGCAGAAGATATGGTCAAAAGCTTGGGTGGTGGTGAGGATGGAAAGGGTGCTCCTAAGAAGGGTGGTGAGAGTGATGAGAAGGTGAAGGAAGCGACAAGCACTAAGAACGCGAGTGTGACAAAGGAAGACAACAAATGACCTGTAGGGTCTGATGTATTATATCTGCTTGATCTATATACCAACCATGGAAATGGAAGAATATTAGCGTCTGGAATTGGTCTGGAATGCGCAGAACTCCGCCAGCGGGATGTGATTAGGTTATTTGGGCATGATTTTCCTGGACGTGAAATGAAAAGGCATCTAATGTTGAACTCCTTCTTACAGCTTGCTCATCGGCATGTTGACAAGAAAGCCACCATCGAGCGTAATGGTCGCACCGTTCACGTACGCGCCAGCCCTACTAGCTAAGAACAGTGTAGTCCCTGCGATGTCCTCGGGTGTCCCAAAGCGATGCATCGGGACCTGGTTGATGATGATGTTGCCCGCAGCTTCAAAAAACTGCGCCGTCACTGTAAGATTCAAGTCAATAAGATGCCAAAAATAGCCATGATGAACTTACTCTTGCTTTCGAATGCGCCTGCAACGTCGACGCGAGTCGGTTAATTCACTTGGAGGTTAATGAAAGAGCGCACTTACCACAGGCTATGGTATTACTGACTATGCCCTCGGGTCCAAGACGGCCAGCGAGGTGGCGACTGAGGTGATGCAGACCAGCCTTGGCAGCAGCATAGGCATATGTGTCATGATCGGGCACACCGATACCCTCGACCGAGCCAATCTGATGGGATCAAAAGTCATTAGAAGGACTTCTCCGAAAATTCAAGATGTACTCACGTTGATGATACGTGCCGGATCATTATATACGGCCCCTGTCTTGCCATCTTGAGCTGCACCCGCACGTAATAATGGCAGCAACTTCTGCATGAGAGTGAACACACGTTGCAAATTCAGAGTGATGACTTTTGAAAAACCCTCGTCCTTTTGTATGATGTTCAGCGAGACAAGCGAAGGCGACGATAATCAACGCACTGGGTAATCATCGATAGGTTCTGCCCATGTCGTCCCCGCGTTATTGATAAGGACATTAAGAACGGTTTCTCGCGCGGAGAGTTCTCGCACGAACCGCTCCACTTCAGAGAGTTTGGACATGTCAGCTGGAATCGCGGTGCATGAACCTGGACCACTGGTCCCGAGTTCTTCTGCAGTGGCCTGACATTCCTTCGCAGAACGGGCCGAGATATAAACCTATCTCAGCGCGATTCGGAGGTCAGACCCCGTGCCAGGACGTTGTAGTCACACACCTTAGCACCGTTCCTCACGAATGCGGAGGCAATCTACGAAACAAAAACTAAGTCCTTACCACCACGCACAGTCATATGTTTGGAACACACCATTTTCCCAATCCCACGAGAGCCTCCTGTCACGAGGACCACTTTCCCTGCGACTGCGAAAAGATTTTCGACCTGCAATGTGGTCATTTAAGCAATGTGGTTTGTGCTCAGAGTGTGTGGAGTCTGTAAAATGAAAACAATGACACGTCCTTCCGCCTGAGGCTGCATTCTTCGTTAGTCAGTACTAATAGTGGCGATTTTTCAGGGAAGAGGAGAAAGAGGCACCGAGACATGTGGAGCATGTGTTTCGCTGACTTTGAATTGCTCTTGTCTACCGTGACATTGCCGCAAATTTAGATCCGGTCAATTCTCTCGTAACTTACTTATCTAGAAAACCTTTCCTGATTTGGCCATACTTTAGGTATCCCATGTGGCTAAATTAGGAAAGGTTTAGGTCCGCGTAGGTATCAATTGAACTTGACAATGACAGCGACATTTTAGAATTGTACCTCAAAATGGACTGAGATACGTGGAATTACACAAGGCGAGATTATACCTACTACTACCAGGGACAGAACTATAAATACAGGGGTGTGACAATGAAACATGGAAAACAATTACAGTCCAACAGGAAACATTCAAGGTTCAGAATCGTAGAAAGTATCCGAGGCTCTTGAGCGACGCCGCCGCAATGGTTGATCAGAGAACGTAACCGCAGAAGGCATATCAATCGGGACATCCTCTATTTTATATTCCTGGGATGACGTTCAGCAAACAATTGTCAATCAATAAAGCTTGGCAATAGACGAACGCTTGGCGACGAATTTTCATTCCTTGGGGATAACTTTCTCCTTTGCCTCCTCTTGCGGTATATGCGCTCTTTGAGAACTTCTTCCGTCGGCTCACCAGATCCGTAGTCCTCACTTGGGAAGCGCCATTGAATTGCAGGAAGAATGCATGCCGCGAGCACAAGAAGAGATATCACGAGAAAAATGGCAGATGATACAATGGAAGACGTGACTGGGAAGCGTGTCACAAGCCCCCTATGCGGTAGCAGGCCATGAGGTTCGGGCAAATCAAGACGGCAACAGATGTACTCACCGAATACCGTGGTGCTTGACGGTCCCTCTCAGGGATGCAGAAAAAACCGTCAACTCTCGCCCTTCACCATTGCCAAGAGCCCTCCATCCATCCCTCCGCCCCAATTCCACTCTGGCGATGGCACGAGACACACCGGGTGCGTGCGACTCGAGGAAAAGAACGTCGAGGTTGACTAATTTGGGCGACGACCATACTCGGCTTTTCGTAGGTGGCAGGACTATAGCCTGGGATGTGTGAGTATCTTCTCTGCGGGTATACCATTCAGCACCTACTGGTTTCCTAATTGATGCCAAAGTTCTATTAGAAGGCGTTGAAAGCGTCAAAGTAGTCATGAAGTTCCCCAGGGCAAAATTTGCCTCTGATGCTGGTATAACGAGGTGTATGGAGATATCATAGAGTTGGCTAGGTACCAGAGATGGCAACGATATCTCAGCATACGGAGACGTACCATCGCTACAACGAAACCAGCACCATGAGCAACAGCCGCGACGGCTGGAAGAGATCTCACCCGTATTGCAGATACAGAGGGGACTCCCACCCTACAGCAACGTTCTTCCAAATGTACCAGCCAGAAAACAAGGAGAAAAATATGATAACTGGAATTAGTGCAAGACATATGAGTAATGGAACCAGCTGAGGTGCTACTGGGCGAACGAGGTTCATGATAAACCGAATGGAACTAGATATAGCATTTTCGAGCCAGGAATGCTCTGCATGTTGCTCTTCTGGGGAGAAGGGCTTGGAGTCCTCAGGCTCGACTTTTGCAGTTGGTGTCGATGAAGCCATGCACGTTGAGCGCAGTGCGCACCACGGAACTTTGTTGGGGAATGTGACCACGTGACTCTTCGCGTATGCGCTCATCGTGACGCGTGACGTCCAGCGGACTTTCTTATTCTACCGTCGTACGCCCATGCCCGTCGCCCGAGAACCAGATTAACTATACTGATTGATTCTTCTGCTCATTCAAACTAGATGTTACCCGATATCCAGAGCTTATTGGGTGCCAACCCATCTGCTGATTCCATAACTGAATTTCTGAAAGATCTTGTTCAACACTCCAATACGAGCTTGACAGCTCCGGATGTGAAATCATATTCAGATGCAGTCTACTTCAACTACTATCCTCTAGGGGTCAGCTTCCTCTTTAGCCCTCAAAACGGGTACAAGCCCACTGGGGGGCTGAAGCTCGAGGACCTTCAAGTCGATTCACTAGTGCTTGACAGCATCAACATCTACAACTCCCCAAAGCCCAAGGCCACCCCCGCCAAAAAAACCACGTCCAGTAGAACAGCGGAGCTCGCCTTTTCTACGTATCCCATGTCAAAATGGACCCTTTCGTTCCCACCTGGGGCTTCGGCGTCCGACGAGTCCTCGATCGAGATCTCGCTTACGACAAATGGTAAAGATTTTGTCAGCTGCCTTGGAGAACCTGATCGGAAAGGCGGTGGTGCCGGGCCTTCAGCCGGGTCCATTGGCATTTGGTGTGAGTGGTCGAAGCACGGAATTATGGTTGAGTTTGGAGGGGATGAAGCCAGAGGACCACAAGCCTGGGAACGTGGCAAGGATGCCATATGGAAGGTCATTACGGTATTTCCCAAAAAGCAGGAATAGATTCAAAGGTAACGGCTTATACTGCTGAGAGTTCTGCTTTTTGCTGATTTGAGGCAACAGAAGGCTAAGTTCGAGTTGGTCTCTCATGGGCAGACTATAGAGGCTTTGTTCCTTTTGTGTCACGACGTGTTCGTCAAAAGGAAGCTGCCGCTGACGCATGCATACCTTTATGATAATGTGCCTCGTCCTTTCTCTTATGATGATAATACAGGAAACTTCCCTCATTGCATCGCCAGTCACTTGTTCCTTGGATCGGCATTCAATCACAATAAGGCTATGGCCAGACACCGAATGCGTACCCGAGGGGCCACTGTCCTTCGGACGAACGTGGCGATTGGAGGAAGTGATATGAAGCAGAGAGCCATTTTCCGGCCTGGAGGCACACCAGCCTCAATGATGACGCAGATGAAATACAATCTGCGTTTCGTGCCATTGATGACTAGTACAATGGATGACTAGTATGCTTTTAATACCCCAAGCTTCCCTCCAGATCGATCACCCCGTCAGCCGAACGTCAGCAAACGTTATATGTGCTACTCTTTGCAACCATGACAGGATGTATTCTGTCTCGATAAATCTGATTTTATAGGAATGGTCTTGAGTGGGTATACAATAGTTGATACTGATTACCATGTCTGCTCGATGTATGATGAACTTTGTTGCTCAAGCATTTAAGCTTAAGAATAGCCCCCCGTGTGAAATTCTGGTGCGGCACTGTGAGACCAGTTGAATGTCGAGATCTCTATATACTATAAGAGCGATTTGTTATGAATTAGTCTCGCCAAGATTTGTCCGTCATGGCTGCGCCTGCTGAAGTGACCAACAAAAATCTCACCGGAAAATATGTGATGGTTCGTCTAACCTATGCATATTTGCGCCGCAGTTACGATTCTGACGATGTCCCGTATCAGAGCAAATATTTGAGCGATGACACCGACGACATCCTCAAGCTCCAGGGCGTATCTTGGTTCAAGCGGCGTGCCATCTCGATGTTTACATTAACGCTTAGCGTCAAGCATTATACGGATGAGGGAGGCAAGGAACACATAGACGTTGGGCAGACACTATCTGGCGGTATCAAGGGCACGAATGAAGACCGCACCCTTGATTGGGAGGCACGTGGCGAAATCGACGATGTCTTTGGTGCAGTGATCGGACAATCTAAGAAAGTGAAAGTTGAAGAGGTGGACGATGAATTCTTGAATTCTGGTTGGACGGAAGATACGGTTGAAGATGGGTTGGTTCTCGCTGTAGACTGGAGTGATACTCCAAAAAGTGGGATGGATTGGAGGGCAGAAATGGTACGACTTTATCGTTTTGTGTTACTCGTCGTCGGCTCATTTTTTTAGATATGGGGGTTCGAAATATTGAATGGCGAGAGGAGACACGCCAGACGTTTGAAATTTACATCATCGAATAACAAGGATGGTCCCATCTTCAAACGCCTCTATTACGATTACGGTGAGTCATTGCTCGCAGCCGCAGTGATCTATATGCTCATGACTATAAGTCGGACCTCTGTGAATGTACTATTATTTGTCCAAGTCCGAACGTTCAAGTTGCCAGAGTGACCAAATCTGGGGTATTCGGGCATGACCGAGCTCATGACCGGGGGCTGATGTGACTATAAACAATTTTGTCGTACCATCGTCCAGCTTTTACGTGGATGACTCTCGTGCGTGCTGATCACAAATCGGCCAACTGCACATCCCCGAAGTAACTGGTGTTCAAAGATTCTCGTTATAGAACTCATGCTATTCTCAAAGTGGTATAAGGGTCGTGGCCCGGGATATCGATTTGATAGCATCTTTTATCTAAGGCTCGCAGTATAAGAAGGCAGGGCATCATCCCCTCGCTACTTATTATTTCTCTCATTTACGATCTCTTCTCATCATGGCTTGTCCTTCCACTGTTACGACTAAGAATCTCTCAGGAAAACTCAGACTCGTCGGTCCCTCCTTTGATGTACTATCGCATAATGCTGACGATTTGTGGCAGAATAAAGCGTTGAGCGATGACATCGATGAGACCTTGAAACTTCAGGGTGTTGGCTACATAAAGCGTACCGCTATCGCCAACTTCACCCTTACACTGGAACCCGCCCAAACCACGGACGATGATGGCGTGGAGCACATTAATGTTAAACAGACCCTATCGGGAGGCTTCAAAGCTCCTGCAGACCATCTAGTTTTGAATGCCCAGGAGGTTTCCAAGAACGATGACCTCTTCGGGCATTTGATCGCCAAAAGTTGGCGATCAAAGGTCGAGGATCTTGAAATCGATTTCTTGAAGGAAGGTTGGTCAGAGGATACTCATGAGGATGGCCTCATCGCCGGTATCGTGAAAAGTGACACCGCCAAATCCGGGAGGGACTGGGTCATAAACGTGGTGCGTTTGATGCTTCTTTCTAGTGGACATAGTGTGATCTTAATAATAATCTATATCAGGTCTGGGGTTTCGCCGTCGTCGATGGTATAAGGAGATTTGCTCGACGCTTCAGATTCACCACGAAAGAAAGGTCTGGACCGATCGACGTCAGATTGTACTACGACTATCGTACGTACCTCCCATCCTCTGACTTCCCAGTACTGACCGAGCTTTCTCAGTGGAGTGAGCCTTTAAGAGAAGAAATCAAACTGTGCCTGTATAATGTGTATAATGAACTTTTGATCGAGTTGCATGGTCTATCCTTGCACTGGGTGTGAGGGACAAACACATCTTTCTGAGTTTTCCGCGCTTTTGCGATAGGCTGTTAAATTAGCAAGGTCGACAGAAATATAAACATATTAATCCATGGTAACAAGTCTCATTGACTATGTGGTATGGATCATGCCAGTTTTCACTGGATTCTGAGCCTGGCTGATTTGAGGCACGGATGCGAAGTTGAAGTCACGTGATAATTTAAACTATAAGTGGTAGGCAACCGTAAGCATTGGGCCAAGCTGTCCAGCCCAATCAACCGCCAACCGTTCTCCATAACATCCTCCACTACCTATTGCGCCAGTCCTAGTTCATTTCAACACTCAGTCCGCATAGCCGATTACAATGGATGAAGAATACGATGTAATTAATCGCCCCTGATTCCATCTGTGCTGATATCTCATCATCACTTGCGTTCGGTTTTGGTTGGCACGATCTAGGTCATTGTCCTTGGAACTGGCCTCACTGAGTGTATCCTCTCTGGTCTGTTATCCGTAGAGGGAAAGAAAGTCCTCCACATGGACAGAAACGATTACTACGGTGGAGAGTCTGCCAGTTTGAATCTAACACAGGTGGGTGCCTTTCTTGTAGCGGAACGCGACACCCTAATAAATAAACGCGATTTCAGTTCTACCGTAAATTTCGCCCAAACCAAACTCCTCCCGCCGACCTGGGCCGTGACCGCGACTATGCAGTTGATCTTATTCCAAAGTTCATCATCGCCTCGGGTGAACTCGTAAAAATACTCGTTCACACTGATGTCTTGCGATACCTTGAGTTCAAGCAGATCGCAGGCTCATTTGTGTATAAGAATGGTAAGATCAGCAAGGTCCCGAGCACGGAAGTAGAAGCAGTGAAGAGCCCGTTGATGGGTTTGTTTGAGAAGTATAGAGCTAAGAGATTCTTCGAATTCCTGCAGGGGTGGAAGGAAGAAGATCCGGCAACTCACCAAGGTGAGAGCCTGTGTTATCATGGGTTGGAGTGAAGATTCGATCATTCTAACGCGGGGACTAGGGTTGAATCTCGATAAGGATAGTATGAGGAAGGTATACCAGCACTTTGGATTAGAGCCTGGCACGCAAGACTTCATCGGACATGCCATGGCACTCTATCTCGACGATGAGTGAGCATGATTCCCCCACACTTCGCCAAGTCCACTAATACGTCTTCATAGCTACATCAACAAACCTGCTCGCGAGACTTACGAGCGCATTGTCCTGTACACCACATCTATGGCACGATGGGGTAAATCTCCTTACATCTACCCTCTTTATGGGCTTGGCGAACTTCCTCAATCCTTCGCACGTCTGAGTGCAATCTATGGCGGGACCTACATGCTCGATAAGCCGATTGACGAGGTCGTGCTCAACAAGGATGGATCATTTGCAGGTGTCCGCAGTGGAGAAGAGACCGTACGTGCTAAGATGGTCATTGGTGACCCGAGCTATTTTGGCGCGGGAAAGGAGGCCGAGGGTGGCAAGCTGAGGGTAGTTGAAGATGGTAAGGTGGTGAGGGCGATCTGTATCTTGAAGCACCCGATTCCTGGTACGGAGGAGAGTGATAGCGTGCAGATTATTATCCCACAGAACCAGGTAAATAGGAGGAATGGTAAGCATCTGTTTTGTGGTATGGTATTCTCGTACGAGTCATGCTCATGGTGTGGCATAGATATCTACATCGCGATGGTGTCCTCGACACACAAGGTATGCGCGGACAACATCTATGTTGCAATTGTCAGCACCATCGTCGAGACTTCCGTTCCTGAGAATGAAATTCAGCCTGGTCTCCATCTCCTGGGCAGCATCTACGACAAGTGCGCACACTTCTTCGCCTTTCTTTACTCTCATTCATTCCGACTAATCCAACAGATTCGTGACCGTCTCCCCCATATACACTCCTGTCGCCGACGGGAAGCAAGATCATATCTACATCACACGCTCGTACGATGCGACGTCACACTTCGAAACTGTCGTTGAAGACGTGCAAGACGTGTTCAGGCGTGTGATGGGCAAAGACCTCGAGCTCAAGAAACGTGAATCTGATGCTGAGCAATGAAGGCAATGAGATTTCAACTCCATGACCACCCTCTGGCATGGTCATACCATACCTTACGCAGTGTACACCCGAATCAGGCAACAAAATCTTTCTGTTTGTTTGTACTCTAGTCTTTCGCTCATCCACCCTTCCTAAATTTGATTACGGGTCTTCTGTCACTACATTTTTACGAACAATCGAATCACGACTGCTTTGGATGGATGTATATTTGTCACGCTTGGACTTCAGGAGTATCGTCCAAACGTCAGTTGCCCGCTCAGATGACACAGTTCTCATTTAGGGTTCCAAAACGCCCACAACCTCATGGAAGTGATAAGAATCTACTAGGGATCAAAATGAAAACGAATCCATGCTGAACTCTGGTACTTGGACATCCTGCTTGGCAGATTTAAGTAGGCTACCGAGGCCTGCCTTGCGTGCTAGAAGGTCACTCTCCTCTTTTATGGTCTCTTGCGTGGGCACCTTGACAAGTGAACGCTCGGGAGAGGCTCGGCGTGTTAGAGATGGAGATCCAATGTCCATGTCAATCATAATTGACGGGCGTCTGCCTAGCTTGTGATCCAGCGCAAGAGATCTCCGGAATGTAGCATATGGTGTTGGTTGGGGTTCCGTCGGGGCAGGGACAGATATCGATGGGCGCTCAAAGGACCACGAACGCACGAGATCCAGCGCTAGTGCATGGCAACCTGCAGAGAAGCTAGTCAGCCAAACTCTAGCCCGACATGTGATCGTACTCACCCATCCTGCAGAACACCCGGGCGATCTGGAGCACGAAGTTGAATTCAGATCGTCCTGATATCTCGCTTGTGCCCTTAGCTGTTTGCAGGGTCTTGGAGCGGAGTTGGGAGAACAGTAATGCAAGACTAGGATCATCGTAATGGGGTTCGCCGATTTCTACCACTTGTATATCTAAAGCATCGGCGATATCTCGCAAGGGTGTCTAACCAAATGAACACTCAAGGGTTACGCGGAAGAGTGACTTCGCTTACCACCAAAATTCTGACAGCTAAGTCTCTTCGGTTGAGCATCCAAAAGGCCCAGCTTCCAAGCCATCGATTGCCTTCACGAAAGGCGGTATGGATCACCGTATCGTGTAGTATATCCCGCAGCACAGGACCATCCGAGCCTCCTTCTACTACACGAGCGAGAGCGATTGCCAGCTGAAAATCTGACAGATGCCTGAGGCAAACATGAACAGCGTCTTTCAGACTCCCTCCCAAGAGGAAGAACGCAGCAGCATACTCTAAAGCGATCATGTAGTGGCAGAAATCACAAGGAGGGTATGGAAACCTACCAAATCTCTGCTTACCTAGCAGAGCATACGCATTCTTCAGGGCTGCAGTCTTCTGTTTCGGCTGCGTGAAGTCGTTCGCGAGGAACCTGAGCATAATGGCTTGTTCTTTGTGCCATGCAGCCTGCTTCCATAGTCCATGCACCAGCTTCACCTTTCCCAGTGCGAAATAGAAGAGTGAGCATGCTATAGGGTCACGATTATCACCAGCCATGTATTCATTCCGTGCGATAACTTCCATGTGAGCTTTCTGCATGCCCCGAAACTCAACATGGCTCGACAACCAGTGTGAAATGAACGTACCAAGGATTCGACAGAATTCAGCCATATGAAGACTCCAAGGGCTCGGGCATCAGACCAGAGCATCCTTCCACTGCACGCTGCTGTCGATGTGCTTAGCAAAAGCTCTTGGCTCTCACTGTGGAAGGCCCATATCATATCACGATATCGCAGGCGTTCCCTCCAACCGGTTGATCGCGGTATTGCACCGTTTGAACGTGGACTGCTGGGATCAGATGTGACTCGACGGTTGAGGATATAAAAAGACCGCATAGAGATCACATATCGAAGGCCATTAGCGTCCAATGCTCGTCTCTGTTCTTCGATCTACACACATGGTGAGTTGGTGATACATAATCATACAGTCGCACACTGACCTCAAGGGTCGTCTGAATAAGAACCAGAAGAAATGCGTGCTCATTGGGAGTTAAATGAGGGAGAGGTCGCGATTCAATTTGCTCGATAAGCGTTTCCACCATATGACGGGAGAAGACTGTTTCATCCGGTCTTCAAAATGTGAGCAATTTCCATACGCTGTTATAGGGGAACGCACTTACAACGAGTTCTCCTGCGGTGTGCTGAACAAGAAGTTATATCGTTTTGAAGGTTTGTTCTGTAAGAAAATTATCACGAGTGATGCCAGAATCTCGAAACGACTTACACGTATCATATACTGACCACGCAGGTACTGTTCCACAGGAAAGGCATTCCAGTGAAAATCCTGCGTAGGATCTTCGTATATAGCCTTCACGATCAGAGATAGAGCAACGATAATTTGCTTCACCAGCTCCACCTTACCTATAAAATAATTAGATGAATTTCCTACTCCATCCACAATACTTACCCCATAACAAGCACTGTAGAAGCATTTGCGGATGGTAATCCTCCAAGGGCCCATTATGCCGAGCAACGTACTGAAACAGAGGTTCCTGATCCTTTTGACGTGCTTTTTGACCAAAGAGAAACAACTGGTGGCCTGCTGCGATCAAGAATGACCCATTTGCGAGCCATATTGAATCGCGGATTGGATATGAGATGTAACTAGCGAGTATTTAGTCGACTCTCGACGCTCGTTGAAGTATAGAGCGTACTCTCTGATATCCACTTTCCAGCAGATAGCCCACGCAGGGTCATCGTTAAAGTAAGTTTTCCTTTGCTGGCACAACAGCTCAACATGGTGCGTGAAACCGATAGCCAGGATTGACTGGTTATCGGGCGTTGATGTCCAGTCCAAATCGTTAATATGTTCAGAAGTACTACCGAAATTATGGATGAGGCAGTACTGATAACAGACTGTCCCTCCCACCTGAATATTCTGCGATGCTCGAGACCTGAGGCGAATTCAGACTCTTTCGAATCCCAGATTGTAAGTTCTTGACCACCCGGTAGTTGTACAACTGAGATATCAAGACGGCATAAACGTTAGCTATCACAGCTCTGTTCAATGAAAAGGGTTGTTCACCTAGGACAGACTTTTTCGCAGAACTGCAACTCGCCAGCGCGAATTCCTTCCTTCCTGTCTTGACCTTGCCCGTGCATCTCCACCCAGAAGGTGTCCCATCCTCTGCTATCCAGAACGAAAGCTCACCATCGTCAGATATACTGAGTAACGTGTCATGCTCCTCCAACGAACTATCCCTACTCCACGACATTGGATCGACGGGGATGATTAACTTTGGCGGCTGGGCCAGTGGTAGATTGTTCTTGGAATGCAGACGTAAGGTCGGATTAAGGTTGCTGTCAACACATATGTACACGATGGAACTGTCTGAAGTCAGGCCAACAATACATTCGTGCGCTGTCTTCGAGGGTGCCGAAAATAAACTAGTGATGGAAAGGACTGTAAGCGTCGAAATGGGCTCCGAATGTAGAGTCAAGATCGAGGTTTCGGACGAGTACGTCGCTAGTAGCCTACCTGCACTACAAATCAGGCTACATGTTGTGCAAAACGAGATTATCTTACCGCCATCCAGAACCACAACATGGTCCGCGTTAGACCATCGTCTTCCTCGGGCGAGCTGAGACCCCCCTTCAATGACCCGCCAGACTTCTCCTCCATCAGCGCGTACGACTGCAACGCCTCTTCCAGCAGGCGTCCTAACCAGTCTTCGTATCTTGCTCTCCTCATGGGATAACCTATTAAGTCCCTTGGCATTAAGATCCAGTCCTGCGGCCTGACCATCAAAGAAGGCTAAGGGCGATACCTTGAATGTAGTCAGGGGAGTAGATGTTACCATGGTTAAGCTGGTGACATCAGGATGTGGGAAAAGGTACAGATGAGAAGGAAGCTGAGAAAGGACATTCGAACTCGTATGTGAAAGGGAAAATTGGCGTATGAGCGTCGGAGGTCTGCGGTCAATGTTCTGTAACCAGTTTGAATTTGCGTCAAACGAATAGATATAAGTAGAACCTACTGCGACGGCACTGACAAGCATAGAGCCATCCCCGAGAGCGCGAACAAACAGATCCCAACCTTCTTCATCAATTTCTCTCAACCTCTTGACCTGAGGACTTGCATCTTTAGCAGCTGACGCTAGAACAGCTTTGATCGTGCGCCGGACGACTTCTTTGTCCAACCACACGACTGTAGACTTTCTTGGGTGTGATCCAAGTTTTGCTGCAATGAGGAACGGAAGCGAAGAGAAAAGGTCAAGAGACGCGTGTAGTTGCAAACGATGCGGCGCATCAATCACAGGGAGGAATATCCGCAGCGTAGAATCAGATGTAATGGTGTAGAGTGCGGGATCATCACTGCGCCCAATGCAATGTGTAAGCCTCGTGTCAAATGTAGTGACTGAAATGCTCGACCTTCGTGATTCCTGAGAAAACCTCCACATCAAGTCTGTAACGAACCTGGGGTGAGGAATGTTTTGCACCAGGCGGCCGGAAGTGGTTGAATATAATCTAACCAAATTATCATGCTGTAAATCATAATTTAGTAGGCACCTGGGGCGGGGCGTGAGGTCCCGTACGTGAGATATAGTGGCAATAAATGCAAGAGTTGGAGCAAATTTCGCGAGAGACGGAGTTGCCACCCTGACGAGCGAAGTGAGATTACTATTGAGACGAAGGAACATGCGCTGCTGTACCTTGCTTCCCACTTCTTTGACCATGTGGGAAGGTCATTTTCCAATATCAACGTGTAGACGGATAGGCCGTTTTGACTGCCAACTGAGAGAAGCCCTGAATGGAAATCAACAATTGGCGCATAACGAACACACAAGACTAGTACCAGATCTGCAGTCCAGAGCTGTGACGGGATCACTGTCTTGGAGTGAAATGGAAGAGTGAATTCTCCAGGTATTGTTACCTGACAATAACCATGCGGCAATGTGCGTGTCCATGGAAGCAACTATCTACTTCGAGTATGAAATTAGGCGTGGCAGTATTAGGAGGGAGAGTAAAAGAGGGGATGCACGTACGACTTTCATGGCGGAGTCGACTGCCACGCAAGAAATGGTTTGATTAAGGTGCTGGGTGCCGGGATAGATTTCCCCGAAGGTAAGCACGCGTACGAGGTTAAGAGTACTGGCATCCAAGATTACTACGGAGTCTGCAGAGGGGTACAACTAGTTAAAGAGGATCTTAATCAGTATGAAATCGAGCGGATGAAGTGCGCACTATGAGAGTGACATGAGGTAGAACCAGCTGGTGAAGTGCACCAGCTGGACAGCCGGTGAATGTTTTCAGGAGATCTAACATCTGTGCAGCGAATGTGAGTTCAAATTGTTTGATTCATGCGGTCCATTCCAGGGCGCAGAGAGTAGGCTGCCTGACGTTGTAAGCTTTCACTGCAAGGTGAAGGAGGGCAGGTGACCGTGACTTGAGTTGAATATGCTTCCGGTCTCCAGTGACTGTTTCTGGCTAAGATCGGACGCATTGGTACTACTAGGCTTAGCCACCCTCGTCATATTAATTCGCAGACTGCGGTGTGCGGCTTTACCACTTACCACTTTCGCCAGCCTTTCAGTGCTAGCTAACTCATACCAGCATGCGCCTCTGGGGCTGCATACCACTCACTCTCCTAGCTCTCGTAGCTCTTTCTACAGCTACCCAAGTTGCATGGAATTCAGATGCAACCATTCAGAGTCAGACATTGGTCGACATTCTCAATAATGACGAGGACTATACGTCACTCCTTTCTCTCCTGCAGAAAGCTAAACTCATCCCAACGTTGAACAAGTTGAATGGCAGCACCCTTTTCGCACCAACTAACGACGCGATTAATCGTCATGATCTTTGGAGGTCAGCCCTCGAGTATCCTAACTTGCTCAAAGACAATCTGCAAGAGGAGCTACGTCAGCAACTGTTCTACCATCTCCTTAATTACTCCGTAACTGAAGACCCAAAGGACTCGACTACACTGCAAGTTCTCGACACACTCCATTTCCCAAAATCTTCCCTGGATCCTCCTAACAAGCCACCCCCATGGATACCAATACCCGAGAGCACTTTAGGCAACCAATCCCAGAAGTTACGCATCACTTCAAGAGATGGCGTAGCCTGGGTCGGTGTCGACGCTTTTGGCAAAGGGGGTATTGAAGTAACGAAACAGAAAGCGGAGGCGACAAATGGTGTCGTGTATGGAATTGCAAACGTCCTTGATGTTCCACCCCATCTTGGTTAGTTCCTTTTCATAGTCCACATCATAACACTTTCTCACCCTTCCACTCAGGTCGCGTCCTGTCTCGTGAACCGTCGTTGTCATATTTCAAGAAGGTCATCACACCTAGCATATTCGATGTCATCAACTCTACCTCTGAGCTTACGTTGTTTATTCCCGTCGATTCTGCATGGGAAGCACTCGATCCAATTGAGCGTTTATACCTCGAAAGCCAATTTGCTGCGGATGATCTCTTGCGCATACTTAACATGCATGCTGTTGTTGAGGACAGTGTCAGATGGTCGAACACTTTCGAATCAACCACCACCTGTAAGCAACCATGCGTACACGTAATTATTGCGTTGACATTGGGAGTGCAGTGACTACTCAATACGGATCTCAGTTGGAAGTCGTCGTCTCTGAAGGGAAGACTACAGTATCAGGCGCCACCCTTTCGCAGCCGGATATTTATGCGGGTAACGGAGTCTTACACCTCGTATCCTCTCTACTGGTTCCACCAGGAGCCCTCCAGCTGACCCCCGAGAAATATCTTCTCGCGCTCAACTGCTCTTCATTTATCTCTCTCATACACTCAGTCAATCTTACCCATCTCATAAATGATACCGAGACTCAATACACCATCCTAGCACCGAAGGACGACGTTTTATCCCTTTTCAAGAATGACGGCTTACCCGAAAAGGGGAGCGATGAGCTGAAGAGGATGTTGCAGTACCACTTTCTCCCTGGGAAATGGACGCCCAAGAAGTTAGTGGATGGCATGCTACTAGAAAGCGTACTTCGGGAGCCAGGGCTTGATTACGGGAGACAAGTCATGCATGTCGAGGTCAACGACGGTGAGAAGCAGGATGTTCCATCCAGACATGTCAGGTTTGGCGGAGCTGGCATTATTGGACAGCACAGTGAGTGATTTCCAGACGACGCAGTTTACTTGCGCTCAATCTCAGCTAGTTGTTATGAGCAATACTGTTGTCTACTTCATCTCATCACCTCTGGAACCACCCGTGGACCCACTTCAAACAGCTCTACCCTCTCTTGAGTTGTCTTCGTTTCTTGCCGCAGTTTTCTCTACGTCCATCGCAGAAGTCATCAAGAAGACACCCCGTGCAACATTCCTCATCCCTCACAATGCTGCTTTCAAGCGGCTTGGTAAGCTGGTCAGCGACCATCTGCTAGCTGCTTCATCCAAGACGGACCTGGAGCACGTCATAATGCACCATGTCATAGACGGTATTGAATACTCGCAGAGCCTCGTGAACGGCTCTGTGCGCACTTTCGCCACCCTTGAAGGATCCGACTTACAACTGGAGCGCTTACCAAATTCATCCGTCATCGTCAGCCCCAGCGGTGGCTGGGCTGGCATGAAGAGCGCGTTATATCCGACAAACATGCTTACTGAAACTGGTGTGATACACGAGCTGTCAGATCTTATGATCCCGCGATCCGTGGAGTTAAATGTAGGAAAGCTTATGAAAGCGGCCAAGGCCACCACTATGATCAACATGGTCACGAAAGCTGGATTTGATTGGATCCTAAACGGAACCGCTCCTCCTGAAGGTTCAAAGTGGGCAGAACAAGGTTTAGGTGGGGCGAGTTGGACTCTACTTTGTCCAACGGATGATGCATTCAAGACCTACAACCTTACACGGCTCCTCGAGAATATCGACGTCCTTCGTGCGCTCGTCAGCCAACACCTTATTCGCACGCCATCATCTGCAGGAGAACCTGGTTCATTTGACATCTTTGACGTCTTGAATAACAACCGTCCCCTTCCCCTGGAAGATTTGGGCGAATATCCCACTCTCCTTTCGCCTTCTTCGGCGTATGGCGATGTTGTCTTCCGCGCGCTCGACGGCAAAGTATCCCAGTACATGGTTGGGATAAAGAACGCAAGGGGGACAGACAAACAAGCTGACTGGGCACGCGTCCTGACGTGGGGCCGAGCAACGACAGGCGGGGGCACGGGCGGCGTTATCACCATCGACCGCATGCTCTTCCCGTATCATCCGCGATGGTGGATCGAATATTTCCCGCCGCTTTTCGTAGGGAACACTTGGTATTGTGTTGATAGGCTTGTTCTTCTATGCTGTCCGGACAGTCTGGAAGAGGGATGTGACGGAAGCCACCTATGAGCCGGCTGGTGGATTTGGACAGGAGGACAGTATACTTGATGAATAGATACCTGACGACTAATGTGTAGCTTCTATGTGACATTACTTATGCTACGATTTTCTAAAAAGTGCAACTCGAGACAATCTGCACGTTACTCGGGGTAAATGGTGGGTTGTGGACAATATTGTGATGGAGTTTGATCGGGAAGCCGGCTGCAGCAAATCCTAAACTGACGCGTGAATAATCATATGAAAGCGCATCCGAAGCTCCTTGTCGGAGCACCGCAGTGCTTTCTACACCTACAGGTCTCATTTTTTCTTATACCCGTACCAATATTTCGCATCGTCCAGCATGGTCAGAACCATCCTTCAATTGGTGCACAGCACGCTTACACAATTTCTCAGAGCAGCGAAGCACCAGCAGCCGAGGAGACCAAGAACTCGGCAATTGACAACGTAAAATCGTTCATTGCAGGAGGTTTTGGAGGAGTTTCCGCTGTCCTCGTGGGTGAGAAGGCTTGACTTGTGTGTCCTGACTTACGTTGATATGTTTTCAGGGCATCCTTTTGACCTGACCAAGACGCGGTTACAGACCGCGGCTCCAGGCGCATATACTGGTGCAATTGATGTTGTCAGGAAAACGTTAGCTCGAGATGGTGTTACTGGGTAAGTAGCTGCGTCTATGCTCAAGGCTACCTTTAATTGTCAATCAATAGCTTGTACCGTGGAATGGTACCTCCACTCTTGGGAGTCACTCCGATCTTTGCAGTCTCTTTCTGGGTAAGTATACAGTGCTTATGTCCAAACTGCTTGTCTTTTTGAGACCGTTACCTTCAGGCGTACGATGCATCCAAGAATTTGATACTCGCACTCACACCCAAGCGTACATCCGAAAACCTTTCCACAGCAGAACTTGCCGCTGCCGGTTTCTTATCTGCCGTACCGACGACACTCATTACTGCACCTGTTGAGAGAGCGAAGGTTCTGCTACAGGTTCAAGGTCAAGGAGGTTCAGGGCCCCAGTACAAAGGTGTCTTTGATGTTATGAAGCACCTTTACAGGGAAGGTGGTATGCGGAGTATCTTTAGAGGCACTGGTGCAACTATTGCTCGTGACGGACCAGGTAGTGCTGTGTGAGTTTACATCTGACATCCGAGAACACTTCTACCTGGACTGAAGTAACACTCCTCAGTTATTTTGCAGCGTATGAAGTTACCAAGAAGGCCCTGATGCCGGCTGGGTCGTCAGCAGGAGACCTCAACCTAGGCGCCATCATGTTTGCAGGCGGAACTGCAGGTGTCGCAATGTGGTCAATAGCTATACCCCCAGATGTAAGGTTTCACGAACCATAATCTCTCCAGCATTGTATTCACGTTGCTTCAACAGGTTTTAAAGTCTCGCATACAATCTGCACCTTCTGGCACATATTCTGGACTTTTTGATTGCTTTAGGAAGACTGTAGCGCGTGATGGAATCACTGCACTATGGAAAGGTCTGGGTCCGGCGATGGCCAGAGTATGTCATTTCCATGATCATGCTGAACATTACTTACACACTATGATATTGCTTCAGGCTTTTCCAGCCAATGCTGCCACATTCGTACGTTGCATTCCTCAATCTGACTTTGTTACTGTGTTCTAATTAGTATTGGTTATGGTAGCTTGGTGTTGAAGCCTCGCGGAAGTTAATGGATGGTTTCTTCTGAATGTTTCATGATTTTATAGCATATATATGAACAATGGATTTCATCACAGGGCTGAAGTTGTGTCACAAGAGAATCCAGTTTGTGAGCAATCGCGTCTTGGAATTACAGTCCTTCGCTGCGACACCTTCCACCCACCCTTGTCGTATTCCCCAACCCCTGACAATGTCATGACCAGTTTGATGTGTGGTGACAGGATTGATCACGAGTCTAGGCGGTACAGGGCATGAATATTGATCTTCCACAAGTGCCCCTTGAAAGCCATTTCATTTATGACACGTTGCTCACTCCGTCACGACCTTGACCAGTGACCATGAGCGGCGCCAAATATTGACGTGAATGTTGGCACTAGTCTGTTAGCATGCAATGCACGAATGACGAATATACTACCGAACAGCACCCGGCGCCTATGGATTCCAACGGTCATGTGAATCATAGCCCATTATGAGGTTGGCGATATCTTGGGATCTCAAGGCCTCATAAAGCACAGTCTGTCTCATCAAACTTATTTCTGCCCATCATGGCTGCGCCTCCCGAAGTAACGACCAAGAATCTCACTGGGAAATACATTATGGTTCGTGTGCTCAGGTTATGTACATCGCAGGGACAATTCTGATGATATTCGCGCTCACTGATGACAGAACAAGACGTTGAGCGATGACAGTGACGATATCCTCAAGCTCCAGGGTGTATCTTGGTTCAAACGGCGTGCCATCTCGATGTTTACGTTGACGCTTGGGGTAAAGCACTATACCGACGAGGGCGGCTTTGAGCACGTAGACATCCAACAGACTCTATCTGGCGGTATCTCGGGCACAGATGAGTATCGCACTCTCGACTGGGAGGAACGCAACCAAAGCAACGATGTTTTTGGTGCTGTGATAGCACAATCGAAGAGAATCAAGGTTGAGGAAGTGGATGATGAATTCTTGAAGTCTGGTTGGACGGAAGACACAGTTGAAGATGGGTTAATTCTCGCTGTAGCCTGGAGTGATACTCCGAAAAGTGGCTTAGAGTGGAAGGCAGAATTGGTACGACTTTATCGTTTGGTTTTACTCGTTTCTCATGTTCTTCAGACATGGGGTTTTGAAGTATTAAACGGCGAGAGGAGATACGCTAGACATGTGAAGTTCACATCATCAGACAAGAAGGATGGTCCCATCTTCAAACACTTGTATTACGATTATGGTAAGTCACCTCTCGCAGTGAGCTATCATATGCTCATGATTCATCTTTCTCCTAGCCGGACCCAGCTGAATACCACGGACAGCGAGTGCATGAAACAGAGCTCTACTTTGTATTTATCACTCACTGATAAACTTACGCTTGTACTATATCCAATATTACGCACTCCGTCCTCTCAATCAAACAGAGGTGATTCTCCCAGATAGGATGGTTGAAGTAAATTAGCGCTCGGTAACCATGTCAGCAAGTGCTCAGACTTTAGGAACGCTATCTCGGCAATGGGTCATTAATATGAACCAAGTCATGTCTGACTCCAAGAAAAAATACAAGTCGTCCAGTCAACCACGAGCTGTTTCTGCTTCTGAGTAGGTCTGCCATCAACCTGTTCTATAACTACCCCCCACCTAATCATAAATCAGAATTGCTCGTAATTTGAGCAATTTTGAGACATGGTCATCACATCAATGTTGTGAACAGGTTTCTCTCTCTGACCTTCCCTCCGAATTTCAAGAAGATGTGGACAATATATTTGGTACCACAAAGCGAATTCCTCGATCCTGGTTGGACAAGGTAAGCTATTCAAGTCTCTCCATCATGGTGTTCATATAATGCAACCCGTGCAGTCTTTTGACTGTAGCCCAGGTTTTGCCAAGTTTATAACAGATGCTTCACAAACGGCACCAGAACTGTTCTCCGCTGATCAAAGTGCAAGCAACGAACTATTTGAAGATGTATGCGTCGTTTTCAGCGCATGGAAGCGCTTGGTACAAATGAGGAGTGGCAAAGAGAAATGGTCTGAGGCGGACTTCGTGGCTAACGTGTAAGGTTTTAGTTGAACATTGAAATACAAGGCTCTGACATATTGCAGATACAACGTATTCCGAACTCCTGCAATCAGAGAAAGCACCTTCCGGTGTGTCCCATCTATCCTACGTTTGTAGTTAAGTGATTCACAAAACGACATCAGGGTACAATGCGCGATTTCACTCCCTCAGCCGCAAGACACATTTCAAAACGCCTTCGATGTGCCTCGCGTATTGAATACGAAAACCGTCATCCCTGACTGCGCAATCTTCATTCCCGCTTCACGGACTCGACCATTGTCGCATTCTGCCAAGTCACCATACAAGCTCCTCAAGAACCACCCTGCTGTAGTTAAAGCTGGGAATGCGGCTAAGAGATCTTCTTTCAGGTACCAGAGTACACCGTGTGCTCAGCTTCCCGATATGCCCGGTTTTGAGTTCGCAAGCAGCTTTTGGGAGGATAAGAAGCCAGTGCACGCTCTTCTTGATGATGCATATCGCCAGAACCGCATGTCAACAACTGCTGCTGTCCGGCATTTACACTCCCTTGGTATTCATGCCCCTGTCACGGGGCTTATTTGGGCAGATGGAGCTGTCCGCGCTCATGTTGATTGGTGTGAGAAATCAGAGGGAAAGACAGTATGTCCATTGTTATGCTAAGCTGAATCATTTTATGAGGTTATGGCATTGCAGGTCGTGATGTCTGCCCCGTATTGCGGTCCCCGTGGTCGGTCATCAAACGACGTGTTCCATGAGTGGAAACTTGATCGTCCAAGCGATATTCTGCAGGTTTACTTTCTTGTTCGGAATATTGACGGGTGGACCACAGGCAAATTCTCGGAGTATATTGTCCGGGGTGTCAATCAAATGGTGGACAAGCTGTCATCCAGTGAAAGGACATATAAACCCTGGAAAAGGGTTGGGGACCTGGCACCTCCATTAAAGGCTAACGCGCTGAAAGAGAATCACAACATTTCTGTTACCACGGTTGTGACTTCGGATGCGTCTCCCTCTCCACCTAAGCCCAAGAGCAGGCGACGGAGACGTAGGTCCAGTAATTGATACCCCGGACTGCCATGTATAATAATTTACCGTGCTACATTGCGTGTTGTATTTCAAAACTTACACCATCAAAGTGTTATACTATATAGTACATACTGATCTCAATTTCTATTTCCAAACAGATGGAATTTTAGTGATGACGTCTGCCCACCGTGACAAGCGATTCTCTTCCCAGTCCTCTATGTAAGAAAGGCCAGCGTTGGCACGGCGTCCTTCCTCCACTTTCAGACGTTTCTCAGCATCACACCAGAAGAAGACCCACGAGCCCATCCGCATATGACCGGAGCTACGCTCAAAGTACCACTTGTTAATGGGGTTGTCATTTCGACTCCGCCAAACAAGGTCTCGGCCTTCACCCTTGCCTTCCTTGCCTCCATTTGGGTTAATGGAGAACGGGTGGCCCAGACCATAAGACTCGTCATGGAGGGCGACCCACAAGAAGTCGACGGTGCCGTCACCCTGATGACTGGGCAATACAGCAAATTTGTCAAGATATGAAATGGGTTCAGAGGAATCTGGCGAGGGCTCGTTGGTGACGATAGCGGCGCCAACATAATCTCCTGCAACTACAACGAAGTCGAGAGTCTGTTCTAGGCGCTTGTAGAAAGCGTCAGCATCGAGTGTGCGCTTGAAGGAGGTTTCCAAGAGATAGTTCATTTTTGCTTTGTCAATGTCCGCAAGACTGCGGATAACTTGTATTGGGAGACCGCGACGCAGGAGAGTGGGCGTGTCCCGCGTAAGCTTTCGGTTACCTTGGAGAAGTGCGTGAGGCAGGCTCGAGCTAACAGCAGGCTTGTTCGTGATGAGGTTGGCAATGAGGGAACTCGCTGAACGGTGAGATACCATGATGGCAGATGATGTGGGTGGCATGTACGCTAAGCAGGTACGCGCGAGGGATAAATTTGAAAGCGAAGAAGGTTTTCCATTGGACCATGATGGGTCGTAAGTATCGCGGATATAGTCATACTCGGAGGTAAGGTTGATGAGAAGATGAGGGAAGCCTGTCCTGGCATAGGAAGGGACACCTCCTTCCCGGTTAATAATCATCAATCGTAGAGGAACGAGATTGATATCTTGAGAGTAGTCTGCATGGGGATCATGAGTACTTGACTTCATGTCATTGTCATCAAGCGCAGCAGCTTCGACCATGCCGCGAGCAAGGGCGCCGAGAACGTCATTAGCATCTATTCGCACTGATCTGCAGAAGGAGTCCAAGGCGAAAGGAGGAAGAACTGGGATCTCCCCGGCGCGTAGAGCAGAACGAATGGCGACAAGGTCCGAAGGAAAGACATGTGCTTCAGGGGGAATAAAATCGCGAGGCTGGTCATCATCTGGCTTAGGACCTAGTCGGACAACGGTACCGAGGACGGGGCGCGCCTCGGCACCTTGTGCTTCTAATGCGGAAACAACTCGCATAATCTCTTCGATGAGAGCGGAGCGCTCGTCATCATCGCCTCTGACCTGATCATTTTCGACGACGATAACGCTGACAAGTCCAAGTGTCTCGAGGTAGACCATGCCCCTGGCGATGCTGTCGAGCTGCTTATCTGTGAACGGACCCTGGAGTTTTACGAGAGCAGTGCGGCGGTAGACAGGATTCAAGATAGAAGATAAGATGGGGCTCGGGTTAGGCTTAACCTGTTCTTGTTGTTTAACGACAGATAGTATGTCTGGGGCTTTTTTTGGAAACGATGGCATTGAATCAGCGGGAATAGTAGATGGGACAGCAGAGCCAGCTTTTTCCGGAACAGGTGGACGAACGCCAAAATTTGCCAGGTAAGATCTAGTATCCCGCAGGGATGGGTTGGCTTTCAGGAGGGAGAGAATAAAATCCTGCTGAAAAGGTTAGCTCGTTGTAGAAAATTAAATTAAAACACACATTATCGCGCGGGTCGAGATCATCGACCTCGACAGTGGACGGAGGCTGACGAAGACTGCGAATCGTCTGCAAAGGTCAAATTGGGAGTCAATACATCCGTTCTGCGTGAATCAGTAAGCTCTAGTACGTACGGCGTAGAAGGCCCTGAACGTCTGAGTTCGACGTGCTTTCAAGGCTGAAGCTGCGACAGGGGACAACAAACGAGGCCCGTGGAGGATAGTATGTGAGAGCATGATGACTCGACTTGGGTGGGGGTGTGCGATTTATCAAGCTTTTAAGCGGCAGGTGAAGCAACATTTAGGAAATCCTGTACATAAGGAAGAAAGATCAATGGAAATCTATGAAAGGAACACGCTGGCAAGCAGCCAGCGCCTGAATGGTCAGCCAACTCCACGCAGTCATAGGATAGCGTCTGGCAAAACTTTCTCGTTCGTATCCAGATCCTTCTAAATTGGGAAAATCTGAATCATCCATTCGTTCGGTTGAAGGTTGCTCGAACGTTGCATCGCTTACAGGACCAGTGACTAACTTGCCACTTCATTTCTTGATCTACTACCCAATCGGCGTATATTCTCGAGCAAAACAAACGCATCATGAGACTCAGGTCAAGCCCATAAAGGCGCATTCGTAACACTTGATCATCGGCGGGCCCGGCTACAAAAAAATGCGTGAATCCGAGTCGACAACGCTACAGAAACGTTTTGTTGACGCTCAGCGTCTACTATCGTGCGTTTCATTCAAAAATATTTATAATATCCTTTGTTCACGTAGCGCCCCAGCTACTAGTATACAGGAAGCACAGACCTCCTTGCCAGCCTGACAACTTCCAGTGGCCCATAATCCTTTAGGGTCATTACGTTGATTGCAGGGCCATTACGTCGTGATATATGATTTTATATTGCGATGACAATAAAAGGCGTGCTCTGCACATGTAATAACACATAACTTTCTCACCAGGCCTCTGAGGCTATGGCTTTTGAAAGGCAATTTACTGTTTTTTATGTCCGTGATTTGTGTTAACCAGTGTTGCCTGGCAGTTCAATCGATGGTCCTAGAAGAAACCTAGTAGTCACGGTGCGGATATGACAAAGAAGTGTTGAAAGTACGGAAATTAATCTTCACCGCTACTACTACTACTAGTAATGAGCCATTTTCGCAGAAGCATGATTCCGATTTTCATAAACGACGCTTCGAATACGAAAGTTCAGGAAGGTGCTGGAAGAAATGCCCATCCGCGAGGGCACTGCGGCATAATGGCTCCTTGCCTACGAACATGCTGACATGCCCACACCCCACCACTGCTACGTAGCCAGCTGCAGGAAGCTTTGCCAACAAAATACGGTGCACACTTCTTTTCAATATTATCACTTGTTGCGAACGGACCGAGTTCCTCGAATATCTGACTCGTTTTGGCCTATATCACTTGAGCATAGTGAAATTGGAAGTTGGGTAGTTGCCACACAACTGGAAGTGCAGGATTCAGGTGGCCTTGACGTGCAGCCTTTTAATTGTCTTTTGGAAATCGCAATGGTCTGCAATGCTCAAAACGTGAGAAGGCGAAGATGCCGGCTACTAGACTGCAAATCGGCGCGCGACGTTAGAGAAGCGTTCGGTACGGTAAGCGTGTGGCATGCTTACATCCACCAAAATGAGGTTGTCTTCACTGCACATGGCAGCAGTAAAAATTGGTTCCAGAGAAGAATGTGGAGGTAGAGTGCGCTTAATAACCCGGTAGGGTAGACTCGTGTGGATTTCGTTCGCAAAGACTTTGCGAACCACCGTCGTATCATGTACATGATGGCTAATACCATCTTGAACTTTGGCATCTCGCTTTATTGCAAGCTGGTTGAAATCCCGTATCTCCAAAGTCTGCGGAGACGTGAGAGTTGGCTCAGTAAGAGACACGAATTTGGTCCCGAATACGTAGCACACCCAGACGGAATCATGTAGGGAAGAAGACCGCATCAAACGTGTGCCTGTGGGGCCCCACTCATCCCATTCGATTTCACGGCAGCGAACCTCCGTAGAAAGGGCTTCGATATGGGATAGCAATGTATCAGCTGGAACGAACGTATCGTAAGGGATGATACGGTGATTAGTCATCAAGGAGACTGTTATGATGAAGAGCCTGTTGCCAGGCGCCGTTGAGAAGGGTAATTGAGCCTTTGAATTAGGCTGCCAGGTAGGCGACGGATCAGAGCGGATTGACAAATCCACCGGGTTGGCCCAGAAATCGAATTCGGGCCAAAGAAACACGCAAAAATAGTCCGTCCGTCGACCAAACTTTTTGCTAGATGGCTTGGTCATATCAAACACGTAGAGCTGGGCCTGGATGTCTATATCCCCGGAGCCAAAGGCGCTGCCCACTAGCAAAAAGCGACTGTTGAGGAATGCGAATGTCACAATCTCGGAATCGAAGCACCATGTCTAAAAATGACGATCAGAGGGTGGCTCCACAGAACCTTAAACGATTACAATTACAAAAATGACTTTGCCCGTTGTCCAGTCCCATACAGTAAGTTCAGGGTCTGCATCTTCACGCTCATAGTCGAAAAAGATACCCAAGAGATTATCGCACACTCGTAATGTGTACGTTGCTCGGACGTTCCGCGCATCGAGTTCATGAATGAGGATGGCTGGTTGAGGCGCTAATCTGTGCCTGTCTCCTGTGGTAAGGGAACGTAAATGGATCCGGATGCTACAGGTAGTGGTGTTGGTATTAGGGCTGCTGATGTGTCAGATTTGATAAATACACAGCAGTGAAGCAACATACAGCAAGGTGGGCTCTTCGATGAGCACTAGAAGATCTTGTGCAGGATCCATTGTGAAATCTCGAACGTGCATGTCCAGCGTCACACTCCATTCTTTTTCTTCGATTTTCCTATACTTTGATGGCAGCTGACGGAAGTGAAGGACATCTGGCGTGCTAGATTGCGCAAACACATTGCCGTATAACTCCCAGATGTGTCCCTGCATCATCGAGAAATCCTGCGATTCTACCCATCTCAGAGACTCCCATGCAGCCTTACGTTCCTTAAGAAGTGCGAGCCGATCTGAGGTAGAAAATGTGCTTGGAGGGCCGTCCACCATACCAGACACAGCAAGCTCGATTTCATATTGAGCTCTATCTTCTTCTACAATTGAGTGGAATAACCTGCAAACCTGTACTATGACATGAGTACGGTCGACTTTCAAGAATACCCGTTGTGCACACCTCCCGGCAAACCAATATTGTTCTCCAGTCCAGCAAAGAAATGATATTAATAATAAGTTCCACAGGCAGCGAGGTTAATATCGGATTTTCCATAGATGACGGTGGTGTGTAAGTGTAGTTCGGCAGGATCAGAGATAGTGCCTCATATTGCACGTGACCTATAGATCATGGCAGTTAGCGGTGTTTTGTTCTCTTCTTATTCGACCAGTTCTCAGACATATCTTCCTCTCAGGTTGCTGTGGTAATGACCACCGCCCATAGGACAGGATTGCACACCAAGGTGTGTGTCTGTGTTATTATCATGAATGTTTTCAATTTACTCCGGCCCATAAAGTTCTACCAGGAGGATATTGTGCGTCGCATCGACTCGCCAAATTTATATGGAATTGTACTTGTGAGTATGTACCCGCTGGACTCTACACATAGCTCATGCAATTAACAGAGATGCTGGCATGATGCCGAGGATATCCCACCACTCCCAAGTCCATTCACGGACCCCTTAATGAGATCCCTTGATCGTGGCGAGATTGGGGTCTCATTCTTCCCAGGGGGTGTTCGCGACATCGTCCCGGAGTCTGACTATGAGCTCGTAGATAGAACATTTCAGTCCGGGGATTATTGCAAGCGTAGCGTTGATGATGTTCGTTCTGGCGTGGTGACCAGCATTGAGGCAAAAACACGGCTTGTGCACGCAATCAGCGGAGAGCAAGTAGAGGGTTGGAGAGATATCAAGGAGGTCAGACGTGCTACAGACGTTGACGGTGGAGACTATGTGATCTATGATGACTGGATTGGACAGGTGCGCTTCAATGTCTCGCAAGTCGAAATGACATGCTGAGTTCCCACATGAAGGTCATAGAGGTTTGTCCAATAACTATGGTACAAAGACGTGATGATTGATGATTCCCATAGCTATTTGACGAACTTCTTGTTTCCGCATCTGGCGCCTTCGTCCGCTTGCCCGAGATTAGCTCTCGTCTCACAATCGGTGACAAGGGGCCGGTAGGTTTCACCTGGGTGTCGATTGTTCTATGCACTCACTTTCTTAAGGACATCCTACCAAACCCAGAAACACTTCACGGGATAGTGAACTATCCTAAAGGAGCCCCACTACCTAGCCCAGATGACACCGTCATAGATATGAAGCGCACAATACTAGCCATCTGCTGGCTAGCGGTAAATCAAAGCGTAGGTCTCCTTATCTTTTTCAGTCCCTCACATTCTCACCACATTATGTAGTTGGATCCTAGTGTCGCCCAACTCAAACAGCGACCAGCACGTTTCTGGTCTGGCGAAGATTTGACTAAACTAACAGTCATTAGAATGCGTTTGGATGATGTACGTGTCGGGGATAAGGTTCTGTTGGAGAATGATGTAGGTGTGCCTGTCACAAGATACGGTGTTGAGTCAGAACCAAACGGCGCAATGACGATTAAGACCCTGTGCGTGAGGGAGACGAAAACGGTCGTCAATGTTCTTTGGCAAGATGGATCACAGGAGAGCCTCCCCTCCACAGAGCTGATTCCGTACCTGAATCCAGATGAATATGACTGCTGGTAAGGTTTATTCACTGTCTGATATGTCATTGAATAACCCATGGTTCCTCAGGCCAGGCGACCACGTCTTATGGAAACTAGAGCATGAAGAGCACGCAGCCGTCGTTCAATCGGTCAATTCCACCGATCGAGTCGCCGTCATTCGTCTCACGAATACTGGCAAGACTGAAACTGTCTCAGTTCTTGAACTCGATCCCAATGGTGTCAGTGATTGGACGGCAGGCACTCCACACACTCATCTCGGCATGCGTCGCGGCGACAGGGTGTTCATCCACCGTGAAGGCACCTCAAATGGTTTTGAATCACCCAGAGTTCCGAGAATCGGCGAGATCGAGGAGTGGGTGAGAGAGGTGCCAGTTAGGCCCGATGGAGAATTCAGCGGTTGGAGGCGCACGATGGCAGATATGGGGACGAAAATAGCATCCGAACGAAAAGAAAAGCCCATTGTTTCCCGTGTCAAGCATCCAACGCGGGACGATGCATCTCTGTCATGGTTTGGAGAGGTCACTGGGGTGAGTCCCCTACCGAATCGCACGATCTGTTTCTGAACTAACTTCAATTCGAAGCTTCGTCTAGACGGAACAGTCGATGTCACCCATCCGAATGGATCTCTGGCTATATACCCTCTCTCACGGCTGACAAAGCTTTACGACACTCTTGAACAATTTGAGGATGATGGCTGGGAGGGTGAAGACGGATCCGATCAAGGCTCTCATATCGACAACGCCGAGGGTGTGTGGCATCTAGATGCAAGTGACGCATGGCACTACGACCATGACGATTCAGAATGGGAAGACGAGGATGATAGTGATGAGGATGGCGGTGGAATGGATGTGGACACCTGGGTTGACGAAATTGATGTCTTGGGCGATAGTATCCCTCTGATATCACGCGATGTGACACCAGACGTGACTGATTCGGTCTCACCATTCCCAGTCTCGTCGTCCAACACATCACCAGATAGTACCCAAGAGATTATTGTCCAGGAGGATGACGATGGTGATGCCGATTCTCCATGGAAAAAGTTCGAGGTTCTCCCAAGTGCACCCCATGATCATGCATTTTATTCATCTGTGTCGAATAAGCCATCGAAGAATTTCCTCGCGCGTTTGACAAAGGAGTACCGTGCGCTCTCAACCAGTCTACCAGGTCTGTATCATTCCTCATTCCTCATATCTACTTCACATATACTAATGAAAATAGATTCAATTCTCGTCCGTGCGTATGAGGACCGTGCAGATCTATTGAGATGCCTCATTATTGGACCGGAGAACACACCCTATGAAGACGCACCGTTTGTAATAGATTGGATGCTTGACTCAAACTTCCCTCAAAGTCCACCGATCGCCCACTTCTTGAGCTGGACCAACGGCAACGGTCGCGTTAATCCGTGAGTGAGGATGAAGGAAGCGCTGCTCTCGGCTAATCAGAACTCAGAAACTTGTACGAGGAGGGCAAAGTTTGTTTGTCCATCCTCGGGACATGGACTGGAGATCGCACGGAAACGTGGAGCGCGGCAAGATCTTCACTTCTCCAGGCCTTTGTGTCGATACAGGGTCTGGTGTTGGTGAAAGAGCCGTAGGTTTCTGAATGCTGTCTTTTTAAAAACTGGCTGAGTGTTTTCCAGGTGGTTTTGTGAACCTGCGTACGAAAAATTGAGGGGTACTGAGGAAGGCATGGTTAACAGGTGGCGTCCACGCTGATTTCCTCGTACCTGTGACTTACTCCATCACATTATATTAGCCGACTCTATAGTGAGAAGGCATATGTGCTATCCCGTGGATTCGTTCGTCGCGCCTTGGAGATTCCTCTTGGTGGGCTAGAAGCAGAGATCAACTGGTTGTACAATACCCAGGGCAGGCTATCCAAAGTCCTGGACGACTCCCGAGCACTGATCCAGAAGAGCCAGTCGGGCCCAGAAAACGCAGAGGCAGATGAGAATCTTGCAGTACCCCGCCTGACTGCAGGCGGTATTATTATGCTGGAACGGACACTGTCCAAACTGCAAACGCTTCTTCACCGGATGTAGGATTTTATTTCTATTATGTCTTCAACTTGTCTTTATTGGATATATTCGAATACGGAATTAATCGCAAGCAGTATGAATGAATTCGGGTTACACCCACTATGAATTCCTATAAAAATATGATATACCCAAATATGCCCGTTGAACATAGGTGTAGACGACATGCGGACCTCTACAAAGAATTCAAACAGTATGGGGAGGACAAAGAGGACGTAGAATATAAAGAATTGTGCACAAGGTCCCTGAGGAATACAAGAACGAATGAAATCCTAGAAATGACAGACAACAAGTCTGGATGATACCAGTACGGCAGTATCGAGGTCCATAAGAACAACAACAATGAAAAATGGATGACCGAATCAGTATACGTGTACCGCTAGCACCCGGTAGTGAGGTTGTTCTTAGGGAATGGTTGTTTGAAGTCAGTCCTCCAAGTCGTCAGGTTCGGATTTGTGTATGCCTCAAGATACCTGAACGCACGAGCATGAGCAACTAAATCAGTATTAGTAAAAGTGTAGCACGTACTCATTGATATATGCAGCTGTCGGGAAATCCTTAGGGTCACAGCCGATGTTGATTGAGCCTTGAGGCTGGTAGACACGAATCCAATCTATCCGCATGGTAGCTGGGAAAACCAGATTTGTGAAGTCGACCGTTTGGAAGTTCTCAGAAATGCCCAAGTTGGTGATAAGGTACTACGAAGAGCGTGAGCTAAAGAACAACCCAAAAACAATATTCTTACCATTGGCTCCTGGGGGATTGGTCTGTCTGAAATTTCAGTCACAGGATCAGCTACCAATGCGCCGGCATCAAGGGTCCACCCAACGACATCATTGTGATCCAACTGATGTACTGCGTAAAGACGGCATCAATAATGACCATGGGAAATTTGTGGGTTTTACTTACGCCTCCATCAGCTGAGTAACCTATGACAGTGTTAACTCATGCAAAATACTAAAGACAATAAATACCTGGCTTATACTCGTATCCATATGTCGAAAAGCAGCCAGTGTTTTGCGTGTAGCAACTCTGGTCTAAAATCTGGTTAGCGTCTGAACAGTTACAAGATAAATGGGATTTACTTGTATTCGTGACACCAGACGTGGACTGCTGATAGACACCGCCGAGGTACGAGTTAAGTTGGGTGACATCTGAGTTAGGAATTTGATAGTTTTGCGACGTGTTGGACCATTGGTACGCATAATTCATAGGCTGGCTGCATCGTGAGTCAAGACGCGTACTTAAGACCGTCCACTTACAGCCCACTGCGCAGATTGAGAAACTTGGCCTTCGAGGATGACCTACGATTGTTGAGAAACCTATCAGAATCAAAAATGAACTACCACACCTGTGATTCGAAAACATCAATTTCGGGTGCAGACCGACCAACATATGTCCCATCTGAGTGAACGGGTCCCGGATGGGATTCTCCTTTGCAAGTGCACCTTGATAAACGCTGGCCAGGAAGATACGAAAGGGCGGTGTTATCGTACGGGTTGCCAGTAACAGCTGCCGCTGGTGCACCGTTGATCGTCTGGTTGGGGGCTGTACCAACGTCGCAAGCATCATAAGAGTAAGGCCACTGACACGTTGATCAGTGATCAATTTTCGAGCATGAGAAGGGGAGCCTACCATTCCCTCAAGGCTTGCGCCGTACCCGACTCGTCCTGTGAATTGTCAGATGATAGCGCTTTCAAAATACGACGCTACTAACCGAGGTTGCCCATCGACCACACTGAGATCATGTTAGTACACTCGCAAAAATGAATAACTTCGTTTCGTACCTGCCGGCCACAGACCTAGTTGACAGAAGCAAAAGATCGGTAAAATATCAAACACACAACATGTCATTATGCGCACCGCTGACGTTGTTTGTCCCTGGTAAACTCACTGACGCCAGAACCATACCACCTGTGAAGCAGAACTTATTCCAAGTGGAGATCAATCCACTTGTGAAACTCAAGTTGTTCATTTCCCTTTCAGATAAGGTGATTTCCAACGCGCCATTCTTGGTCGTCACCTGACCAGGGTAATACCATTCAAGGTCATTGGTCTAATAACGATTTATGTTTCAGCTAAAGCCAATACCTGCAGGAGTATATTATTTACCTGCCAATAATGAAGGTTTACAGCCTCCCAATACGGATCATCTCCAGGCCAGAAGGTCCGGCCTTCTACTTCGAATTCATCACTGAAAACTAACTGCCATTTCGAGGAGTCTGCAAAAGACGTGTAGGTATGGGCGGATGACGGGGTATCCACATCAATAAGACCATAATTATTTGTCATAGTGGGGATCTTCGCAGTCGTAATAGGCATTTGTAACATAAAGAGAAGATGTGAAGACTTACCTGTCCGCTCGCATTAATTCCACCAATGTTGAATCCGCCCTCGTTTGAAAGAGAATGCTTTGTGAAATAGGAAATCATAGGGTATCCGGCACTGAAGAGTATGTCAATCCCAGGGACTAGGTTGACACGAATGGTGTGGGCGTACAATAGAGCCACCATTCCAACAGCAAGAAAGATCAGGCAGCCGAGGTTGGTTAAACCTCTGTAAGTGAAAACAGAACCGCCACGGTCATTGTTGCGGTCTCGACGAGGATCCGGATTATGAAGCTCATCATCTGGTTCTTCGAGGTTCATGGCAAGAGTAGCACCCCATGAAGATGGATCGGGAGAAAGGGAGAACTGTAGTAAATATTGCATTAGGAATCGGCGAGACGCAGCTAAATTGAAAAGGGCGCATATTGGTGTATATCGTGACGTACCTTTTCAGATATTGACTGGTCTTGGAGAGACGCTGTCCGCCCAGCACTGCTGTAAGGCGACTCGCTCTGGAAGAACATTCAGAACATATTACGTGAAGGCTGTCATATAAAGTTGACGACGAACAAGGGTATTGTAGCTTTGCATGCTTCTCAAGGACGGGGGGGCCCTAGCAAACGCGGCCTGCACGACCTGGTAGCCCCCTCCAGATGGAAGAAGAGTTGCTGTTGAAGGAGCATTTGGAAGAGTTTGAGAATGAAAATGTCTTTGGCTATCAGAAGCCATCTAAAGGCAGAACGATTGGATTGAATATAAAGAGCGTTAAGGATTTTATGAGGGGGACTAAGTGTTACAGTTTAGATATCTGAATTTTGCAGCGCCGGCGGGAGGAGAGTCTCAACAAACCTCAATTTGTCGTGGGAAGCGCTGACAGGGGATATTGTTTTAAAATAATATATATCCAAACGGCATGGTTTTCTCTATGGCTGTTCCACGATCCCTGCCCCTTCTAACAGACCAAGTAGACCACTACGGCTTCCTAGCAACCCAATTTTACCAAGTTCATCAGCGGCTCTTTCCACACGACGTAATCCAGTCCGCTCGCCGCCTTCTCCCCCAATCTCCATTCCCTTTGCTGCCGCTTCCTCGTCGATTTTTTGTAACCTGCTAACAACCCCCAAGTTCGCTCGTTCCAAAGCTGATCGTCCAAGGCTCTCAGTCGTCGCATGCGGATAATCGGGCTCGAGCTTCTCTAACAACTCCGATTTTTTGGCCCGGTAATTGTTCCGTGTCATGCTCGGCGGATGTGAAAGTAGAATATGCGTGGTGACAGGCTGTGGAGCCTCGACACTTGTATTCCGAGATGGTTGATATGTATATGCAGTTTTGTCTAGCCACTTGTCCAGTGCAACGACAGCGTCCTTGGATTTCTTCAACTTGTCATGCTTGGACGGTCGACCTTTCTTCTTGGTTGTGGTAGCATAAGCTGCCTGTTCGTACCCATCTGAGATAAATTTTTCCCTGGGCAGTTCTCGCGGATTATGCGGGTACAAATTAGACGGGGGCAGTATATGAAAGAATTGAGCTTTTTGCAAGGCAGAAAGTACATGTATTATGTAGGGTCTTAAAGGGCGTAGGAAATCCGTTTCGAGTACGTCAGGCAGCTTCAGTAAAGACTGATACATGTCTGAGACCCAGTGAGTTATGCTGTCTCAGAGCACAAAAGCGGCTTACCGATTGTTACGGCAAGATGAGCGAGAGCATGTAACGGCGGAGCTGACGTTGATGGCTGAGTTGCAAAGAACGTGTAAAGGCCAAACAGAGCAGCAGCTCTAGTAAGAGGATACTCGGATTCTGCTAACCGTTCTGTATACGACGATGAGTACGCGCTCAGGAGATGAATCATAATCCTACCTGATAGGAGTTGCATGGTGACTTTTAGAAAAGCATCACGAGATCTGGTATCAAAAACCTTGAAATGCAGCCACGCCCATCCTTGGTTGTTCCAGATATCCTTGAAAAGCATAAATGGCTGTGGAATCGGAGACCTAGCATATCGCTCGGCATAGACACGAACAAGGTGGTCAATGTCTTCACGAGCAGGGTCCACAAATAAGGAGCACGTGAAATATGTGGGCTGTAAGACTACTTGACCTCTGGGCGTTGTGTGCGTTGGGGCCAGTGACATTGTCGACCAGAATAAAAGCCTACAAACGAGAGGAGCAATTTTTTCCATTCTTGTCAATTTGTAAACAACACCAATTTCATTCACTCGCCGCACTGCTCCTCCAGCTAATACGGCTTGAACTCAAATGCCAACTCTCTTTCGTCACACCAGTAGTATAATCTGCTTTTTCTGTAGGTCTACCATCAAGCCTGCACCGCCAGATCAACGATCTTTTCGTTGTCCGCACTGTGACTGTTGGAACCGCTATGATGCGAACGGCGAAATCATGTCAGATGAACCTGCCATGCATGATGAATCCCTGAACTCAAAGTCTTTTGCCAAACGAGGTAAGCTTCAAATTTCTCGTTGCTATTCACGCTCTAATTTATTGGCAGCCTCTCCCAGCAAAGACCGCCTGCCATCCATGTACGGAACCGGTCAGTTTTGTCATACATGCCAGACAAACCAAATGCTCTTGGTCAACCTTCTCTCAAACTACCTACCGCCACCACATGTGGGAACCGCCCTTTTTACACGCGTTTTATTACACTAAGCCTCATGAACAGCATCCGGACTACGCACATCGTTTGGAGAAACTTCCAGAATATCGTGAATCGTTGCACGTCCGATATCCTCCGGTGTGTGCCAACTGTATGCCTGCTGTCGAAGAGGAGATTAGAAAGAAAGATCACATGGCTCGGACAAAGGCCTTGGGCGGGTGGTTAAATGACAGTAGAGGCAAGGAGAAGCAGAAACAAGTTTCGGGATCCAACAGGGAAAGGGAAAAACTTCAGACTCATTTGTTTCTGTGGAGACTAAGAGGGCTTCTGTGGTTTATGACGTTAGCGGTGGCTGTTGTCGTTCACTCATCTGGTGCGTCAACACATTATCACAGCCCTGGCTTCACCATCATATCTGATTATCATGTCACAGTCATCTTAAAATTCCATTTTCCCGATGTACTAGGTCATGTGCGACAGGCTCTTCCTCTTATCGCTCTATGTAGTCTATTTTGGACTGCATGGGACCCGACATACTACTCCTTCAGGAAGGCGCGAATGCAAGGTCGTGATATCCGCGTTCGGGGCAAGAAACATTACATTGTCAGTTCATACGGTAATCGGACTTTAATTTACTGATACACTACCAGATTCTGCAAATGACCGCATGGTTCTCCAGATTGCTCTCGTCTATTCTTCTCACACTAGCATTGTACTCGCCTTCTCGGGACTACTTGCATTTTTCGCGATATCCGAATTCATCACGAACGCATTACTATTGTCTAATATCACTCATCGCTGAAGTTTCCGTAAGTGCAATTCCACATACTCCCTTCTTGCATATTTACCTGCCCCATGCGCTTAGATCTTTGCTACCTCATTCGTCGCGCTGCGTGTACAGAAACCCCCGCCAATTCGCTTGATTGATACCTCTAGTCACCAGCATCTAGCCGCCTCTCCACATCCTACGCCTGAACTCTCTCCTCGTCCTTCGCCTGCACCCCACACGCGAACCGCTAGCGAACCAGACCTCCTCGCATCACTCTCACTCTCATCAAATCCCATAATCTCACCTAGTAACCCGATATTCGGCCTTCCTTCTCTCATGGCATCCAACTCCACGTACACAGGCTCTCAAACGAAAGATGAAGACGACGATGACGATGCTATGGACTGGACCCCTACGGTTCCTTCTCCCGTAAAGCCGAGGAATATTCTTCATGACGATGATGATGGTTCGTGGGTCAGGCCACAGCGCTTCTTCCCTCCAGAACGGCCTACGGGCCTGGAGTCCTTGTTCGCAAGTACCAAATTGGACGATAGAGATCAGAAGCCTTCGTCTGATGCACATCCCACGCATATACGAACTACCCTACGTCTGTTTGTGACACGCTGGTGGTGGACAGGTGCTGCGTTGATCCTCGTCCCTCTCGCCGCTTTAGGGTTCAATTTCTTGCAAGAAATGCAAACGACGCGAAGGAAATTGACCTAACTCCAACTACATTGTAGATTATAGTATATTCATTTGTGACCTGCACAAACCGCAGTGTTTCATTCAGACCAAAATGAGTACCCGACCGCATTGTTTGGCCAGTAATGCATAACATCAAGACAAAAATAGCAACGGGGTATATATGTACGGCTGGAAAGGAATGAAAATACAATGACTTGAGGAATATAAGCATAACGTTTGTGGTCTAGAGCCGCATACGATAATGAAGCGAATGCATGGTTCAGCAAGCTGATGTTATTGACTGATATGATAGAATAAAGAGGTGACCGATGAATAGCGTCTCCAACTCGACTCTACGAGGGATAAAGAATTGCTGTTCTCCGCGCCTTTTCTCCTAGCTTAGTATCCGTGCGTAGCGTACGCGCCATGGTGAAGCGGAACGCCATACTGATCAGACTGATACTGACGTGCGTTGAAACTCGGACCGCGCGCGAGTTCATGCATCATGGGCTGAGGACTGGGACCACGCGCAAGGTCAGCATAACCGCCAACAGGTGCGAGGTTGACAGGCCCTGCAGTAAAATCATGGTCAGGGATTGGGCTGAGCGTCGTTGCACCAATGCCAGCATGGCCAGAGCCAGAGTGAAACGATGATGCGGTGGAGTTACGGCGGTTACGACCGGGAATACCACCATCATCATCCATGTCGTTACTCGGCTGCCAGTCAATGGGCTGCATGCGGCCATCGAAGCTGGAAGATTTGCCAAACTTCCACTTGCGAATGATGGTCCAGATGATGATGGAACCACCGACACTTGCAGCAATGACAATGAGGACGATGAGGGCAGCGTGCGTGATACCGGCAGAAGAGGAAGACAAGGAAGATGGTGTGGCACTTGCACTTGCGGTTGAAGAAGCAGTGTTGGTGATAAGTACGACTGACTGGGAGGTGGGAGAGCCCTCCTGTGCAGGTGCAGCAGCAGTTGCAGGAGGACTAGATTGAACAATTTGGGTGGTCGATGGTGTTGACGATGTTGATTGAATGCTCGTCGAGGAGGTAGAGGATGAAGATGTCGATGAAGAAGTCAAGCTCGTCGTCGTCGGTAAAGCTTGACTGACTGAACTTTGCACTGTCCCAACGGAACTCTATCGACGCGATTTCAGCTGCTGCATAATATTTCAAGGTGGATATGGTGAAACTCACTGAAGTGGGAGAAGAGGATGAAGAGGATACAGAAGATATGGATGTGCTATCAGCTGTGGTCGCCGTTGACGCGGCCTGCGTTGCTGCAGGAGTGGTTGGAGTCAGAGGATTAGCCCCTGCTCCGATGACAGTGGGACCAAAAGGAGTGAAACCACCGGTCTGGGGAGCCGGTGCTCGCTTCTTGAGGAAGCGGTTGTGGCTGAGTTGATGATTCGGGTCGAATGCTTTTGCGTCTGAGGCAATGACCAAGGAAAGAACGAGTGTGGTGTAGAAAAAGAAAGCAAGTTTGGGCATCTTCACTAGATTTTGTTGCGCGTACGTGGTAAGAAAAACTTGAAGCCTAAACTAAACCTTGGTGACTGAAGAACGTAAAAAAAATGGTCAAGATTGAGGCCACAGTAATAACGAGCGAATAAATGGACCAGCCGTTGATACAAGTCGTGGTTGAAGAGTTGAAACAAGTCAACAAAATGGAACCATTTTACAAGCACGCTAGAAGTACTCACTCGGTGAGGTAACAGTGATCTATCCGAGTCAGAATCACGTCGTTCCAAGCAGAAAGGACAGATTGGAAAAAAGAGCGTCGTTGTTAACGTTCAGGAGTGGAAACAGAACGTGTGGGGTGCTGTCAAGGAAACTGACCAAGTGTTATTGTAATTGTTAGCCGCCCGCTCAAATTAAATAAATCATCTGAAACTCAATCGTTTTCTATCAGATGGTATAACTACAACACACAGTGTCCTCATTCGTAAATTATCAAGGCTCAGAAAGCACAACGAAACGTAGGTTAATCAGCAAAGCTCGTACGAACGTAGAACCTGCGACTCGAGAAAATTTCAATCTTGTTTGTGAACGTTCATCATCGCATAACAACAAAAGTGTCCAAGAAAAATATGAACTAAGAAGGGCTTGTCAACGACCACTGGCTCAGAGGCACAGATGATGGGGTAGTGTATGAACTCGATGACATTCCTGGCCATTGTGGACTAATGAGCACCTCCAACGTGTAGGAGCCACTAGGCAGACTGATTATCAGGACAGTCACACCATCATTAGGTTGATCAGGTTGTGGGGGGGTAGGATCAGTAGAGAACCGAACAGCATCCGTGTGAGTGAACGCCGCGCCAGATGGAGGATTGAGCATTTGAACAGTGGTGGTTGCAGAACCGATGGTAAGTGTGGCCGTGAAGCCATCTGAACTGACGGAGACACTTGCGTTGGTGTGTGCTCGCCACATAATGGGGGCTGAAGCGTTGATCTCATCCTGGATGAGTACCTGCTTGCGTCCGTTGATCAAGTGAACACCGCGGGAGAACGAGGTACTGCCAATGATCATCAGTGCAAGTTCCGTTTACAAGGGTCAGCAAACATACACGTCAAAATATGCACTCGTCAGGTCCGCAATGAAATAGGCGCTGGAGTCACCAGGAACATTCATCACAGTACTGGACCCTTGAACTGTAGCTGAGCTATCATGTCTGACAGTTGGAGCAGCGGCGACATTTTGGTTCTGCTGGTTGACTAAAATGGTGTTCTGGCCCTCCGTCATTTTGCGGTAGTACAGCCATCGCTGACTTTGCTGAGTGTCATTGCTGAAATAGCCCACTGAATTGTAGTCCCCAGACCCAAGCTCTCCAAACCAACGAACACCAAGGGCATCAACGACGAAGTCGCCGCAGTCAAGGTCGTTGTGTGTCTGGTGCCCCTGCAGCGTGCCTGCTTTAACGGCAACATAAAGAGCGTTCTCATCTGTCCAGCTGGATCGCATAGAAGCCCATTGATCAGTGCTGTTATCAAAAAAGTGGTCGAGTGCTAGACCATCCCAGAAAGCACCAGTAACAGCAGGGTTGTACCAAAACATGCTCCATGGTTCAGCAGCGTCAAATTGATCACGTTGGAAAAGTTGATACTGCGGCATGTTATATTGCTGGCCGTAGAACATCATGGAGTTGGCGGTGGTGGAATACTTGTTTGGACCACAATCACCGTAGTTGAAGAGGGAGCCGGGGCCAGACACGTACATGTGGTATTGGCCAGTCAACTGGAAGTCGGGATTGACGGACAGAAGATCGTATGTAGAACCAGTAGCGGTCAACAACGAAGATGCCATCTCAGCATGACCCGTAGTACCGAAGTACCAGTAGTTGGCAGTTTCAGACCATGTGCCGTCGCTAGAAGGAGCAAGAGCACAGTTCTGGAGGGCATTTGGAATGGTCAAGGCAAGAAGTTGTGCAGCGATACCCGTGGTGTCATCGCCGAGGATAGCAAGTGCACCCATGGTAAGACCATTGTTACAAACACAGTTCCAGTTGCCCTCTATATTGCTGTTCCACCAGCCGTATAAAACCTGAAGCGGGTTGCCGGGACTGTAAGCGATAACTCCGTTACTAAGACCGTATGTGATCATAGTGGCCATGATCGAGCTTCTCTGGGAAGGTGTCCACGCATCATACAGCCAGTCGTAAGCGATGGCATAAGCTGCAGTGAGCTCCGCAGTGTCGAGGAAGTGAGTTGGGTTCCATTTCGTGGAATTATCAGGGCCCCAACCGCCAGTCAGATTACCAGCTGCATTCTATAGTTGCGAGGCATCAGACATCAAGCTACGTCTGAATAAGGCAGGAAACATACCTGCAACTCGACGTAGGTGCGATCCAGCCACTTCGTGTCATTGGTTAAGCGATATGCATAAGAGAATGCCTTGATACGTTGTTTGATCTCACGAGCAGGATCCAAAATACCATTACCGCCATCCAAGAAATATGCGACGGGTGGCAGGGCCATGTACTGTGTCGCATTGCCGAAAATAGTGGCATTCCAGCCAGAAAGATAGGGATCGTTTTTGATGAGGGTGGGAAGGGAGTCCCACATGTATGAAGGAGCAATGAGGCGAGGCCTGTCAGGACGAACTTGAGTTGGGCTAGGGTTGGATGGTTGGAAAGGATCTTGCGGCCAGGCAAGATTAGTGTTGGTGGTGGAGACGAATGTAGGAGTAGTAAATGCAGCGGTGTTGGTCTGCAAGATTTCAGCAATCAACACCTCGAGGACGATGCAGACAATAAACAAGACTCACAGTCATTGGGTATATAGGCACTAAGTACTGGCTATCTGTTGCTGTGGCGAAACGACCAATATCATTTTTCGCACTGATAGCTGAGGTAGCAGCAGCGCTAGCCGCCGCCGAGTTTGAAGCCGAAGCGTTCTTGCTTGCGTGACTGCCCAAAACACCACCCAAAACTGCACCAACGATAACGACGACAGCGACGGGTATACCGAACTTCACCCATTTACTGATTGTCTTTTTGGGCTGTTGCGCGGGTGTGATGTACCCTGACGACTCATTGTAGTACGGGTCTCCAGACCCGTACGGTGAACTTCTGGCCTGACTACCTAGTGCATCATAATTTGCCGCCATTGGTGCAAAACTGGCCTGGAGGTGAAGCCGAAGAAAGAATAAAAGAGAGACTGTAAGTGGGCGTTAGAAGCGAGTGTGTACGTTGAAACGTTGACAGAAGGTGAAGAGAATTTGCATAATATTTGGACCACAAATTTAATTGAGACAACGGCATCACGGCTGCTAACTGCTGGTGTAAATACAAAAATACATACAATTATCGTCAGATCTCTCGGACAAACACCGCTGCTGCACCCATTCCAGTCCCAATACACATAGAAGTGACCAATACCTGCATTGCATTGTCAAAAGTAGATCAGTTGAACAAGGTAGATTATCATACTTTTCCTTTTCTCCGATGGAGCTCATTTAATCCTGTGACGATCTGCCTTGCACCAGTGCAACGTGATCAAGGCAATTTACATCAGCTTGGCGTACTAAATATACAACGCATGGAATTTAACTCATCTAATGGGTGGCCAAAGGCTATGGCACCTCCGTTAACATTCACTTTCTCTGGATTTAGGCCAAGCTCCCGGATGCAGTAGACGTATTGCGAAGCAAATGCTTCGTTAATCTGTATGTACTGTGATTGAGCATGCATCTCCCGATAAGTCGCCAAACTCACTTCATATAAGTCAACGTCTTCTATGCTCAGTCCAGCATTTTGAAGAGCCATTGGAATAGCAAACACAGGCCCAATGCCCATCACACGAGGAGGGCAGCCTCGGGGAAAAAATTAGCAAGGAAATGCATATTCTGGAGTTCTACCTCACCTGTAGCAACAGTAGTAATATGTTTTGCTAGAATTTGAAGGCCAAGCTCCTCCGCCTTGCGCCGAGTCATCATCATGATGGCTGCTGCGCCATCAGTGATTTGGCTTGCGTTGCCACCCGTTGTGCGTGATTTGCCCCACTGAGGGAAGGCTGACCGAATCTTCGAAAGTGCCTCTTTCGTTGTCCCGTAACGGATGCCATCGTCCTTGGTGACTACAATCTTCTTCCGTTCGCCAGTGGTAGGATCTTTCTCGTAAACAGTGAATGGAACAATTTCATTGTCAAAGTAACCGGCGTTCTGAGCGTGTTCAGCCCGTTGATATGATTTCGCTGAGTATTCGTCCATAATCTCCCGCGAGATATCAAAATCTTGAGCAACATTCTCGCTGGTCCAACCCATGGGGTAAAGACAGTCCTTAGCAGCAGCATTTACCCCAAGAGCCTCAGACTGAGGAGGAGCGCCTTTATCAGGACTAGCATAGTTAAGCCTCGCAAGATAAATTTGATTTTCTTGACATACTTTTGTGTCATGGACTCGGCACCGACAGCAAGTCCAATCTCGATCTGACCACAGCGGATTTGATTTGAGATGACGGTTGTTGCCATAAGGCCAGAAGAGCAAAAGCGGTTGACGACTTGAATTGGTACGGAATCCGGAAAACCCGCTGCCAACGCAGCCTCTCTGGCATGATAAACCGGGTCAGGGGTGAGCACCGTGCCTACACAGATGTCGCCGACAATACTTGGATCGACATGGGACTGAGCTATTGCATGCTAAAGGCCTGTTCAGTGACGATGTGGTGTGTAGTGAATCATTCTCGAGGTACCTTGAACATCTCCAGCAAAAGTTCGTCCGTCCTGCCAAAGAAGTCGAACATGAATAATATGCTCAGCTATGGTTTAGAGCACTCACATCGTGTCTTTCAGAGCACCCTTCTTCGCTTTGGTCAATGGAGAACGGATGGCCATTGTTATGACCACATCATCAGGATGTTTCTGCTCCAAAGCAGCCAAGCCCGTGGCTTGGGCACCCGTCAGATGCGAAGAAAGTTGTCGCAGTCGTTGCAGAGCCATAGTAGCAAGTTTGGAATGGCTTTCCTAGACAGCAAAGCGGTAAATAAGTCGCTGCGACGACGTCGGCGGATAAGCTTTTAAGCCTGGGGTGGGCCGAACGCCGGAGCCACTGTTCTGCAGACGGAACAGATTAATTAGAAAGCACTATGTCATGTGACTCATGTCTCTCATGCTTGGCCGTACAAAAGCTCGTTGGTACACATTAAGCAGTGTGCATTCTAGTAAGTATGGAGTGTGCTTATGTTTATAATTAGACTCGATCCGAGGTCCTGACGCAGATTATATAAGACAGCACCACATGTATGCATGTACAAATCATGAACCGCATGGGTTTATGCACTATCATAGAGAAGTTTTCGACAAGTCGCCAACTGAGAACAAAGAACTTGCAGGATACTGTCTCATCGCCAAGTAGTGAGGCCGCCATATATACCCAAGAAGCCCCAAAGAACCTACAGAAGTCTCGTCACGTCAGGGAGTTCTGCGCGTTGCGATTGCATGTTTGTGATAACTGCTTCCCAGCATGATTTCTCCTTTCTGTGCTACTTCTCATGAGCTGATCTGGCAGCTGAGTCGCAGCGCCTCGACATTTCAACACGAGATGCAGACCGTCGTCGCGGAAGCCGTCGAATGCTAGCTCACCATCGTTTAGATTCCCTTCGATTCACACTTTTGAGAAAAAGCGGAATGGTTTGTTTTCTAGTTTGCCTGCATGTGTGTGATGCAAGAGAATCCATATCCTACGATTAGGACAAATGCACCAAATTGAATACCGACGGTTGCAATATTCAGGGAGGTTACAATTCGAATGTAGAGGGCACACATCATAGACAGAGTTGCCGCCGAGCCGAATCGATGTGGTAATTTGAAAAGGGAGACGGAATACGGGTTACATTTGGAATGTAGAGCACAGAGATGAGACATACACCACAGACAGAGTTGCCGCCGAGGCGAGTCGATGTGGGAAATTGACCTCACGAATTGTGCCTTGTTTGACTCGCGAATTGGTAACGAGTTCGGGAGTGATACGGACCGGTAGTCCAGCCAATGAGAAGCCAGCGATACAGCGACGTAGCTACACAATGAGCAGACAGAACCAATGTCCTTTGCATTCGCGAGCAACTGATCGAGCTCTTGAAGATTCCCAGTAGCCATCAGCTCGTCAACAGCTTTCGGAGTCACAGGCCCACATATTGTGTAGTCTTGCTTGTAGACGAACTTCAGAACTTGTAGTGCTTCATGCAATGTGTGGTCGGAGATAGGTTACTGCGCCACAGAGTACAGGTCTCTTTGCTGGATGAAAATATACACTCGGAAGGCACGGATGAAGCCTGAGCAGGTAGGACATCCTTAGCAACGCGAACCAGAAGCAGGAACGTGTGCCCTTTTTGCTACATAACAATCGTCAATGAATGAATTGTATGACATACCTCCCAGAAACGAACTATATCTGTTGTGCGTTCAGTTGTTTCGAGTTGTAGACCTGCATCTTCGTAACGAGAAAACATGCACTCAGCACATTTTCTGACCTGTTCAAGTTAGATGCATTGCTCCGCGGTTTCCAGCGGTGTTGGTGAGTGCATCATTGGTTCAGAGACGACGTTGACGGGAGTCAGAAGAATAGTGCTGGTGCTAGTAGTGGATGCTGAGCGCTGAGCGCCGAACAGTTTACGTTGAGCTTTTTGTATCCAGCAGAGAAAGATCGAGAAGCAACCATTGTTGAGATAGTGAGCTCCCGCTGGTGCGGATTTCGATTGAGCCTGGCCAACTCTTCGGACGTACAAATAAAGTCATCTGGACACAAGTCATAACGCATCCGGAACGCGCGGAAAAAGACGCACTGCTTGTAGTATCTATTCTCGAGCATTTTGGACTCGTCCGCAGCTCGTGTCAATTGCAATGAGATATGATGATATGATGATTACGATATGGAAGTAAACTACACCAAGCTCGGTAGGTTCGAGTTGAAACGAATTTTGTCATTTTCGACTTTAATTCGATTTGAACTCGCCCTCGACAGCGACTGGGATGCCCGGAGGGCCGTAAAGCTGTTCGGCTATATATGTAACGTATTTTGGTTTGTTTACCCAGTGTCTCCCAGGTGTGAGCGCCCCTTGCAGGCTTGTCAAGCTTATCACTTCACTTTACGTTCATTCTCAGCCTTTCCACAAGTCAGCTTGATCATCAAGATTACGCACTTGGCGGTCTGCCGCACGACAATCATTGGCTCTGGACCTCTAAACAAAGATACAGAGGGTGGAGCAAAGCACTGCCAAGTCATCATGATACTGTTGCATTCAGGTTCCTCCCACCACATGATATATTAAATGCTGCCTTGGGATCTGTAGTACGTCCGATTGAAGTCTACCATGATACTAATGAAAATCACCGAGTTCTTGCGAGCAAACTTGTCTCCGCATGCAATAACCTCATCAAGTTATCGACTATGATCGTCTTCGAAGTTCAGGTGCAACGTCTTGCAATCGTCTCCAGCGCTTGTTGAGATCTAAAGATATCCACGGTTTGTGTTGCATGTTGTAAGGAGAAGGCTACCCGAGTGCCTATTTGGATTCCTTATGCTTATCTCTGCAAACTCGATAGCAAATTTTGACCGCGGTCTTAATGGGTCGTTGCCCTACGTACCTATTAAAGTCTGAACTTTTTCATACATCATCCCCCGTCCTTCTGTCGTTGCAATGTCTTCAACCACAGGTGCTGAAGTCCTCACACAAGGTACAGGCTATGGCGTCGTGCTCGGTATCGGGTTCGTCTTCGCTATCATCATGATGGGTTTATCAACCCTTCAAAATCGCTATACAACCTACAAAATCTCCACTTCTGAGGAGTTTAATACAGCATCACGCAGCGTCAAACCCGGTCTTATTGCTTCTGGTATCGTGTCGGCATGGACCTGGGCGGCAACACTCTTGCAAAGCTCCACAGTGACTTATGAATATGGTCTATGTGCTGGCTATTATTATGCAGCAGGTGCTACAATTCAAATATTCGTTATGGCAATTCTCGCCGTGCGGGTTAAACAAATTGCGCCATACTGTCACACCTTCCTCGAGATTGTTCATGCTCGTTACGGTAATACAGCACACTTCATGTTCGCGACTTTTGGACTGGTCGTCAATCTTATTGTCTCGAGTATGCTACTACTTGGTGGTAGTGCAGTCGTTAATGCTTTCACTGGGATGAACATCTATGCCGCCAACTTCCTCATTCCGCTTGGAGTCTGTATCTATGTCATCCTTGGGGGCCTCCGCGCCACATTCCTATGCGAGTCATCGAAGATTACTTCCGAGTTAACCCACTGATTCAGGTTTATTGCAGGCGACTACTCACATACACTCATCTTGATGATCCTCATATTTTACTTCTTCTTTTGGACATACACAAAAGCAGACCTCATTGGCGGTTTCGAGGGAATGTACAACTTGCTCCAACAAGCGAGTATTGAACGACCTGTAGCTGGAAACCAAGATGGCTCGTACTTGACCATGAAATCTAACTGTGAGCTGTCTCTTACACCCTTTTACAGACGTTGACTTGACGTTTTTTTTTTGAGATGGACTTACGTTTATGATCATTCAGATCACTGGTGGATTTGGTACTGTCATGCTGGATCAGGCTCGTTATTTGGTGCCATAAAAAGTGGATACTCGCTAATATCACAAACAGGGCTACTGGCAACGTGCAATCGCATCAGAAGCAAAGACTGCTGTCCAAGCCTATCTTATGGGTGGTATTGCTTGGTTTGCAGTACCTCTTACTTTCTCCTCTATCATGGGTCTTTCTGCTGTAGCGCTTGCCAAAAGTAAGGTTACATACATATATTCAAAATCGTAGGTATCTAATGATGTTCTAGGTCCCAGCTTCCCGTACCCTGGTGGGCTTACAGCGGCAGAGATTAATGCTGGCCTAGCTGCCCCCGCTGGTGTAGTGACATTATTAGGTAGTGGTGGTGCAGCAGCTATGGTGAGTCGCATATTTACAATTCACTGATAATTGAATGACGGCTGGTAATTTAGTTGATACTGCTTTTCATGGCAGTAACCTCAGCTGCATCTTCTGAGATGATTGCGACATCGTCCATTCTCACATTTGATCTGTATCAGATCCACTTTAAGCCTGATGTGCGTGAAAATTGATCGCTACCAAGAACGAACACTGATGATGATACCCAGGCATCACCAGAGTCTCTTATACGCGTATCTCACATAATGGTCGCAGTATGGGCCTTGGTGATGTCATGTGTTGCCTCGTTGTGGATCGGAATAGGAGTGTCTCTAAACTGGCTATTCTTGTTCTCTGGAACTTTGTTCACTGGGGCTGTTGGCCCAGTCATCTTCAGTGTGGTATGGCGCCAGCAGACCAAAGAGGCTGCCATCAGTGGTGCATTGGGAGGAGTAGTGGTTGGCATAATCGCATGGCTGACCGTTGCAAAAACATACTACGGTGAATTGACTATCGCAACCACAGGTAAGATTTTGTTTACTGTAAACACCGTGTTTTGTGTTGACGAAGAACAAGGACTAATGTATCCCAACCTCGCTGGAAACCTGGGCGCTTGCTGCTCGGGTGCTATCATTTCCGCAGTCGTCACTCTCATCAAACCTGACAACGAGTTCGATTGGTCTGCTACTAAAAGAATCAATCCCCGAGCAAGAGAGATGGATCGACAGCGAGCAACCCTACCGGACTCTGCATCTGGCTCTGGCTCCAACTCAGCTGTCGAGAAAGAGAACCAAGAAGATGCCATGGTAGATGTAGGATCTGCGAAAGACGATATAACGATTGATGTCCCAGCTGAAGAATACGCCACGCTCCAGAAGTCGCTCAAAGTTGCTACCTGGGCATCATTGATACTGACATTCATCGTACTTTTCGTGAGTGCAAATGATGTGTCGACGCTGGGTTATTAACTTTATCGCAGCTTATACCGATACCCATGTTCCTGTCACACTACGTGTTCTCTCTGAACTTTTTCAGAGGTTGGATTATCATCTGTGTCATATGGCTCTTCGTGGCTGCTGGCATTACATCAATCCTACCCCTCTGGGAGAGCCGGGCAGCGATAAAGGCCATTTTCTCAGGTATGATTCGGGACATATTTGGCGGTAAAGCGCGAAAGGGGACAATTGCAAGTAATAGCCACGGTGCTGCATAGTTGTGTTTGGTAGAGGGGAGTCTATTGTTTCGTGGCAGACGTCGAGCTTTCATGGTACCAAGGGAAGTTACTAGATAGGATCGTCAACCACTGGCATGTGTCAATAGGAGCGACGGACATGAATACATAGGGACTTTGGACTTTCTGACAATCCTTGTTCACCCCCTCATTTTCCTCTCTGCTCACCGCTTCAGGCACTCGAGTCCGCGTTCGGTATTACAAGATAGACACGCTTATCAGATTTCGACTAGTAGGGGTGTCCACCTGGATACTAATCCCCATAGACATGTCTGTTACCATTATACCATCAAAGCCAGTGCTCACTGAGTTATCGGGGACTTTTAGATTCATAGGTGAGATAGAAATCAAATCTTTAAATCTAGCATCTGGGTCATATTGATCTGGCTAATTATCAGACATCGGAGGTGAGGAACCTAGGTGGTTCTTATTGCATCGATACAATTTCGACATTCTTGTCCAACAGTGAATCTCACAGATGCTGTATTTCATGGCATTCATCATGGCAAAAAAAAACACGAAGGTCTATCGTGGCTATTTAGTACTTCTGCACCGTGCTCATAGTCATTTGCAGACGATTTCGAAGCAGTGCTAGACAGGTCGCGGCTAGCTGGTGTTCAATCCATGATAATCACAGGTGGAAGCCTTGAAGAATCAAAAACTGCGCTGTCTCTTGCTGCCCAACATGGTTCGCACTTCCATCTCGCAAAACTTCATTTATATGTATTCTGATGCTGCCTTACTTTACAAGGGTTTTTCGCGACAGTAGGATGTCATCCAACGCGCTCAAAAGAATTTGACGAGTACCCAGGCGGTCCGGAGGCCTACCTTCAGGCACTGGACAGCCTAATAAGTGCCAATCTCCACGGTAAAGGTCGAGTTGTTGCCATTGGCGAGTGTGGCTTGGGTATGTCTAGATGATACACGATGTCTGTGTGCAAATCGTTGCTATTGATATTATCAGATTACGATCGCACGCACTTCGCACCGGAAGACGTACAGCGACGTCACTTTCGTATGTGTGGAACATCGGACCCCTGTTGTTTCAAGCTGACGTGTGCTTGGTGATACCTTGTATTGATACAGGCTCACAGCTATCTCTTGCCAAAAAGTACAAGTTACCACTGTTCCTTCACTCTCGTGCAGCCCACGAAGACTTGGTGAATATCCTTCGTGACGAAGGTTTCGGAGAGGATGGTGAGAGAAAGGGAGTCGTTCACAGCTTCACAGGGTCGGTTGAAGAGGTCATCGAGCTCGTGAGTTCATCGTTCATTATCCTTCGAATTGCGCTGACTCTGACGCACAGATGGATATGGGCTTCCATATAAGGTGTGGCTTTTGAGCGCTAGCATTGAATTTTGGCACTCATATTATCACATTAGTGTCAATGGGTGCTCCCTCAAAACAGAGAAAAACCTGCTAGCTGCACAGGCAATTCGACCAGACAAGCTTTTACTCGAGACAGGTCAAATTTCGATGACATTGCGATTGTAGAGGGTACTCAAAATGGTTTGATATTAGATGCTCCTTGGTGCTCCATGACCTCGACACATGCGTCAAATACCCTGCTAGAGACGCTTCCGACATCATTGAAGTCAAAGTATTTCCCTTCCGGCACTAAATTGCCATCGTTCGTGATGGGAAAGCCAGTGAAAGGGAGAAACGAGCCCAGTGCGATTGGAGGCGTTGCATGGGTCATGCACAGGCTCGATGAAGGGGTCCCGTTTGAGGAGGTGACAGAAAAGGTGTACAAGAATACTATTGAGCTATTTGGCCTAGATGAGCTTCAGGTCGCATAAGTCAGAGACAAAATTACACACATTACAAATTTTGGTTCCGCACACGCATTTGGTACTGCTCTTCAAACTGTAACACAGCGTACCAATATGGAGCCTCAGCTGGAGCCCGACCAGAGTCCCTCGTTAATTCCTTTTATCTTCGCTATCATCGGGCTCGTGTGGTATGTGATTTTATGGAGTATTGGCCTCCTGGGATGCAGAACAGGGTGAGTAAGTGTGTTACAAGTTGACGGCAGCCTCGCTGAAAGCGCGACAGCCGAAGAAGGTACCGCAGTCGACCGCGGTCTCCACTTGCAACGGCGCCGCCAGATTCTGCTCCTGGTGTATCTATCCTGCGACCACTGAAAGGCCTGGATGCCAACTTGTACGAGAACCTTGAGTCTACGTTTACGCAAGAATACCCCAATTTCGAAATCATATTGTCCGTCGCTGATGAGCAAGACCAAGCTCTGTCAGTCGCAAGAGATCTCATTTCTAAATACCCCAGGGTTACTGCCAGGATAATAATAGGTAAGTCTACAGTGAGCAATGTTTGCAGTTCAGCTGAAGAAAGCAATTCAGGAGAAGAGGTAGTGGGGGTTAACCCGAAAGTAAACAACCTCATTCGTTCATACCGTGAAGCTACCCACGACATTCTCTGGGTCGTTGATTCAGGCATCTCGGTTGCACCTGGGACACTTGCGCGCTCCGTTGACTTACTCGAGTCATCCACGCACACAAGGCCTCCCAAGAAGCGCGTTGCGCTTGTGCATCACGTCCCATTTGTATCTGCTCCAGAAGGGTTTCTTGGTTCAAGAATTGAAGAGGCATTTCTCAATACCAATCATGCGAAGATGTATCTCGCAATCAACACCGTGTCTATCGAATCTTGCGTTGTTGGAAAGTCAAACCTCTACCGGCGTTCTGATCTAGAGCGCGTAAATGGTTCACTGAAGCCTCGAGCGCACGCGGATTCAGACGATGACCAAGATTGCATCTATGGCCTTGCTGCGTTTGGGAAATTCCTGGCCGAAGACAACATGATTGCCAGTGCTTTATGGCACGAGCTGGATCTCCGCCACGATTTATCATGCGATGTGGCGCATAACGCAATCGGGATGATGTCTCTATCTGACTACGTGTGGAGGCGTGTGCGCTGGATTCGTGTGCGCAAACACATGATTCTTGCGGCAACAATCATGGAGCCCTTTACCGAAAATCTTGTCGCTAGTTCCATTGCTGCTGCAAGTTTGCGGTATCTTTTCGACGTTCCAATATGGCTCTTTCTTGTGGTTCACCATGCAGCTTGGCTCTGGGTAGATTTAGATGTTTACGAGTCACTCGCTGGCCATCCTCTTCCAGCAGAGAGACGATGGTCGTTCATCACTGCATGGTGCCTGCGCGAACTTCTAGCACTGCCAATCTGGTTCTTGGCTATGCTTAATAATGAGGTGATATGGAGAGGGAAGAAATATGAGGTATTACGAGCGGGAGAAATCAAGAGGACGTCGGGCGGTGGTAATCACAAGGAACTATTTACCCGGTGGAGGCAGCGGGAGTCTCACTATCAGCCTTTGCTAGACAATGATCCAGATACTTGACTCTGCATGTGCTTGGTTTAAATTTGGGCGTTTGTAGCTAAGTTCATGATTGGTTATTGACTATCATTAACGGCGACCATACGATAACAGGTACGTATACCTACGATTAGAATGTACAGAAAGCGTCTGGATACTACAGCTACATACAGTAAGAATGCGGGATGATGAAAGGCGATGGACAATGGTAGGCTATGAGGGTATAGCCACATCAGGCTCAGATTCAACGAAAGCTGCTATTGCCTCTTCTTGACTGTGCTTTGCAAGAAGACGGAAATTGTAAATCATGACCACTTCATCAAAGAAGGTATCGGACCAATCTTCTGCCCTGCACGAATTCAATGCGGCAGTGCGCAAGCGTAAATCACGTCCGTCGCATGTGATCTTGCATAAAGATGCCTCGAGACCAGCAGGAGCAGTGGGCTGGGGTGTGTGTTGCCGTGAGTCCCTAGCATCTTTCTGCCGTTGATTGGAAAACCAGTTCTTAACTTGATGATATTCCCTACGAATACAAGATTAGGCAATACGACAATAATAAGCCGCTGACAACGAACCTATTTATGATGACTCCCAGCTGGGATACCCAAGCTTCGTCAGGGTATGGAGTAATTTCATCATAAACCATCTGCATTACGAGACGTTGGCGTGAGGTTGCAGGAGTCTTTCCGGTAGATGTGATTGCCAATGCGCGTTTCTTCAGCTCCCGCACTCTGATTTCTCTCTCGCTTTGAGCGCGGGCGGCAGATTGTAAAAATGCTTGTTTATATGCTTTCTTCTTGAGATTGTCTTCGGAAGTACTCCCATGACGTGCTGTGATGGCAGAAACGGAAGCAGGCTTGAATCGCAGCGGTGATCCCTTTCCCGTCGTGACTCGTTTCCTTAAAGTACGTCGCGGAACAAACTCCTCTGAAAGTACGACGGCTTCTATGGATGGGTTCGCAGACTCCACATCCATACCATCTGCTGAGACATCTAGAGACTGTTCCCGCGACGAGGATGACGAGACGGGACTATCGACGGCAGATCCATCTTCCTGACCATCAAAGGAGGAAAGAGCGTCACGGAAAGACAGAGTGGGTGAATTTGAGAGTGCGGTTGTAGACGAGCCTGTGTGTGATGTGTTCATCAGTGATCTGTTTGCAGTAATGTATGGGATACAAGGGATGAAATTGTCTCGGCTATTTACGAGAGAGAGATAAAGAGATACCTGCCTGAAATAAATACCGACGCTTGATCCACTGGTGCTCGGTGTAGGTAAGACAAACCTTCTTTATTGTAGTGCCGCTGTGGGCAATAGTCCAAACCAGATATTGTTTCGGAGGGAAGATCGTTAATGATTGAGAAAGGAATGACTAGTGCTTTTATGACAGATGCCGCTATGGCTAAGTCTATGGGGACCAGACGTCCTTACTCTTGGCTGAAGTCGATAGCAAAGGGTGGTCGGTAGCCGGAACTCGCCTTCTTGACTCTTATGTGTGGGCCTTTTTTGGATTATTGAAGCCTTTGGTCAATAAAACCAAACAACCACTTAATTCCCAAAGCAATGATTAATGAGTCCTGTCAATTGACAATGTCTGATCATGATCACACAAAACAACGCATAATTGCTTCAGTATTCGATAAGCGCAACTCAGGTGCTGACATTCAAGAGACATATATTGGGCACATAAAAATTTGGGAGGATGCAGGAGAAGATTCCGGGAAAAAACCGCGCTATATCTTGTTGTCACGTAAGTCATTGCCATCTGTCTTCTGGATTGCTTCAACAATTATTCAGAGGGTAGCGATGGAAGTGGCTTCCTTCACAAGTCGAAGCTCAACACAAACGGCTCGTTCTCCGTAGGGAAGACATGGAAACTTTCCGAGTTGCGTGGCATAGAGGTTTCGAATGTACGTATAAGCATAGGATAACCATAATCACACAGCTGACACTCACGCAGCCAGTATCCTTCAATATAACACTGGCTCGTACATATAAATGGCAGACGGAAAACCATCTTGATCAAGCAAACTTCATTTCCGCGGCAGTGAAACTGTTTTACATCGTCACAAATGGCACCGGCACACTCCATCTGGTCGGAGTGCGACAAAACGAGCCAGGTTCGGGTAAAATCACTGGGTTATCACCCACGCTCGCCATTGACTCTTATTATTAGCCAATGGAGTATCTGAATCCTCGGAAACTCAGGTCACTCAAGCACCGCAGACTGAATTGAACGTAACTACTGGGCCAGCAAGACGACAAGCTGTGCCTTCGCGGCCGGGGACACCACAATCGGGCATGCGTACGGAGGTCCCTACTCGCGCTCAAGTTACAAGACCTCCATCCCGTGCTTCTTCTCCTGCTGGTTCCAATATTAGTAATCCATCTCAGAATAACTCTGGTTCAGGCGTGATCCGAACCCCTTCCCCATCACCAGCCTCTCAGATACAAGGGCAACCGCAGGCCATTCCACCTAGTCTACCAAGTTCACTTCGACCGCGGGCCGTTCGCCGTCTATCCAATGCGACGTCACCACAAAACCCCTCGTCGAATGGTTTGCCAGCAAACCTTGCACCAACCCGTGCACCTCTCTCTACGTCGCCTCTACGCACTCCCAAAGAGGTTTACCCTTTCGCTGCATCTCGCCCCTCTGCTGAATTTGTCCATGCGCCGAGTCCGCTTTCAGCCGCTCCAACAGTTGCCAAGCTTCCTCGATCGGAGTCCCCAATTTCTGTTCAATCTCAAAGTTCTCAAAAGCTGCCTTCAAGTAAATCTATACCTACCCAAGAACCTCCGCAACCTCGCCGAGAGCATAACAACCGGGTATCATTCTTTGACCCTCTTAATCAAGCTGCTTTGGATAGGCTTGTAGCGGGGGATTACCCAGAGGATGGGAGTGTAGGTGAAGAGGAGAACTCACAGGCTACAATGGCCAGTGTAGAGGAGATGTTAGAGGGATTTGAGTGGGCCAGCGATGACTTTTTTGGGAAAAAGAACGCAAAGGGGGCAGCAGACTTGGTTGAGGCCCGTCTGCTAGACGAGTTGATAGCCCTTGAGAAGGTGAACCAGGCAACCGAGAAGCCTCATCTTTCTTAACCACTGACTCGCGTTCCAGGCCAACGTACATTCCTTCGTGGAGTCCGATGATCGTGTGGCCCTAGTCATGAATTTCCTGGATGAAGCTATCACTGAAGTCGACGCAATGGACAGCTTGATTTCATCATACAAAATTCATTTGAACGTTAGACCTTGTCATCAAACCGGCTGTATCGCACACTAAAATATATGACCGCAGGCTGTCGGGGATGACATCTCGTTCATTCAATCTCAGCGGCGCGGTTTACAGGTTCAGACACAGAATCAGCGCGCTTTGTTGAACGAGCTCGAAAATCTCCTTGTACGTTCTTCCGAATCTGCCACCGCACATTATACTGATGCCAGGACAGCAAACCGTCCAAGTAGACCGTGAAGTACTGGTGACGCTTACGCAGGAATCCCTCGAAAAGGCATCTGGGATACAGAAATTGGAGACTGCGGCCACAGAACTTTATAAAGCTCTCCAAGCGGGTCAAGACACTGGTATGTTTGTATCTTTTGGCGTTTCTTCCTAAGGTTTCATTGTTCGCAGATATGGCTGCTACCATGGAGCGATTAGATGAATACAGGACCCACAATGCACAGTTCTGCAAACGTATATATGACTATTTATCAATCATGTCTGTCGCACAGGTCAACTGTTTATCTGTGATCATGAATGCGATACTTACATTTCATATGTAGGCGGAGATTATCCTGGATGGAAATAATGGGATCACCAAGCCTAGTCGAGGACGCCCAGCTATCAAGAGTCACCAAGGCATGGAGACATACCTCGGTCGTTACGCAGGGCTGCTTCTCTACCTGAAGGAGATGGACGAGAGTATATATTCAAGATTCTGTGGAGTAAGCTATTTTCAGTGCCTACAACTCTCATTGACGCATCTACCTCAAGGCATACTTCTCCGCCACCAGTGAACTTCACAAAAAACAGATGGGGAGTTTACTCTCAATTTACGCGGGACTATTGAAGAGAACACCAGACGAAGATGCTGACCAGAGTTTGTGATCGACCCTTTTAAGCAATTGTTTGGCTCATGTTGAGATAGACTTTGGGTCAACCAATGAAAATAGTCAAAAGGGATCAATTCGTCGCGCTGGAACCATAGTCCGTTCACCTATCGAGGGACGAAAGGATCGAAATAAAGACAGGGAGAGGCAGGCGGACGAGTATCGTGCACCAGAGGTACGCTTATATTTGATTCAACTAGTCTTGGCTCACAACAGTATCAGGCTCTGGGTCTTATTTTGGAGCAAATTGCCCCACAAATCTACCGGGAAGGAGACTTCATTGCAGATTTCCTGCAGATTAATGATGCTGGTCTTACGTTTGCTGATTATGCTGGGCTGGACAATTACTTCAGGCGACAAGCTGCACGAAGCGCAGGTTTGAGCCAAACTACTATGAAGCTCGCACGTGGTGCCATGGACTTAATTTTCGGCTTTTTACCTGCCGAGCTGAAGCAATGGATTGAATCTGCTATTGCCAAAGATACACTGTGCGTATTGAATAATTTTTCCATGAAGAAGTTTTGCTCACTCCGCCGGTAGTCAAGTGGTCGGAGTCATGGTCTGCTTGGAGCGCTTTGTAGCGGATGCTGATGAGCGTGACAATGCGTTCTTCTTGCAAATGCTGGAAAAGCAACACACTAGGCTCAAGGGATCTTTCGATCGTCATATCGTAAGTTGTTGGCTTCGTTATTAAAGTGCTGCTCACGACAAGTTTGCAGAATCAACAAATCAAGATGATTGAGGAAACTAAGCTTACGAGCAAGAAACGAAAAGGGGTCGCTCATTTCGTGAAATACTTCCCGATCTATGTCGGTCGCATTGAACAACAATTAATTGGCGCAGATGGCTTGGAGATCAGAGCCAACGTTGATCTAGCTTATGAAAAGATTGTGCACAGCATGTTTGAGTGTCTCAAGCACATGGCTACCCTAGACGGTGACGATGAAGACAAGGGCCAGCTCAATTATCACGTGCTGCTCGTTGGTAAGTGAGATAATATACTTTCGGTCGTTTGTTAAACGTTGACTTGTAGAGAATATGCACTATTTCGTCGCGGAAATGTCCCAGTTGGATGTAGGCTCAGTTTCTGGGTTCCTGAAACAAGCGGAGGCGATTTACAACGAGAATTTGAACGCCTATGTCAGGATTGTCCTCCGACGACCTTTCGCAAAAATCACTGTACGCACAGGTGTTTTCTCATTCATCACCACTTTTCTGATTTCTGCCTTCCATACAGGACTATTTCGACGGTATCGAACGGTTACTCACGACTACTGCCCCTACAGAAGTCTCAAAGAACAGCAATTACAATAGATCCTCGCTGAAGAAAGTTGTCAAGGAGTTCGATGGCAAAGACATCCGCAAGCATATTGATGCCCTATTCAAGCGCGTTGAGAAGCATTTTACTGAAGCTGAAGAGAAGGCGACGAAGGAAGAAAGCAGCGTCATTGCTCCTGGCACGGTCATGGTCGGCGTGTGGAAAGCTTGTGAAGAGGAACTGCAGAGAATGACAGAGAACTTCAACAAGCGGATTTCCCAATGCTATGCGGATAGTGGCGTCCCATTGGAATACACCAGTGCTGACGTTGAGACGTCCTTCAGACGTCACAGGCTTGGATCATAACTTATTTTGCAGTACGAATCACGAACCTCACATTTTGGATCATTGTATAGTACTACCTCATACACATACCACCCATTCTTATTGAAATTATCAAATAAGAAATAAAAAAAGAATATCCGTGTCTCGGCGAGTTTGATAGATTAGAAACACCTCAACAAACTCTACCTTTAAGTGGACTCTGAGAGTGCCTCCTGGGTCTGCCCAACGTCATGATTGACGCCAACACCACTAGCATATGTAGCCTGCTTCACAGTAGTATCGGGAAAGGAAGTAGGTTTTGCAAAAGACTTTGATAATCCTTCCATAACGGCAGGTCCATAAGACGTCCAAAGCCCCTTCACTGATTCGAGGGAGTAGGGCTGTTGTTCAGGTTGTCCCTCCCTCGCAGCTTGAGGTTGTTTATTGAGAGTCTGATTCAAGATGGTCCACAAGAGGTCAATGAGCATAGAAATGCGCGACTGAAGGAAACCAAGGACATTGTCCTGAGCAGAAGCAATGCTGGAATCCAACTCTGCCTCGTTCTTGGAGCAGAAGGGTTCGAGGTAGGATTTGTAAATGTAGGTCGAACCCTGTCTGTCTGTGAAAACCTAGATAAGGGTGGCGAGAGATGACTACGGACCTGAGTTTGCGGGAGAGATAAGTAGAGCAAGAAAAGGGTTCGTGTTTCCCAATAAAACGGCAGCCTTGAATACCAGATAGGGGTGAATAAGGTTGATACGAGATGGAATAAGTGGAGACTAACCATGATACGAATGGACCTATGGTCGACTCGATCGCAATAAAAGCCCCGACGACAGCCCAATACATTGAAAGGTCCCGGAGGTTACCGGATAAAGGTGAGGAGAGCGCCTTGTAGGTAGAATAGCATGGCAGTAAGAACGCGAACCACGCACTGTGATGGAAGTATAGTCAGTGTATTTACGGCCATGATGAGTCGACAGATATCATCACCAAAGCAGATGGGACACCATAGACATTAACATGGTGGTCGACGACGACACTGATCACAAACTGTTCGTTGGAATGGATTATGAGCTGTAAAAAGATATTATACTTGCACTGACAGGTGTTGCGAAATCAGAAACGGGGCTGAGTGGTGCGTGTATCAGGGTCAGACTCGCCACGTAGGAGAATTGCATATTACGTACGTTGCTTTATGTAATATCCCCTTTTTAGTTCTCGAAGTGGTCCTCCTGTGGTCAAAGAATCCACAAAGCAATGGGTCATTGTTCCACCCAGAATAGCAAAAACTAAGCAATCAACTGTCCAATATCCACATCTCCAAAGCGATGGGCCACAATCCACTGCAGGGTAGTTTGATCGTTAGTATATATACCCTGGCACGGAAATGCACTGGCAGGCAGATTCTTCCAACAAAGCTCAAGTCATCACTATGCGATCTCATTGTACTTCTCCCTATCAAGATGCTCCCAAGAGGAGACATATGACACATGACCAGTGTAACATCCTTGAACCTTACTATGCCAAAAATGATCGCCCTACGTGGGATAATATCGAATCACTGGCCGAGGCGATTGATATGTGAGTTTGAATTCTTTCACATAGTGCGATCACGCGCACTGACTAAACGGCTGTAGGCCAGTCGTGAAAGTTTTGAACTGGTTTAATAATCGGCGTGCCAAAGAGGCTAGACTACAACGAGAATCATCGCTGACGCTATCGCAATGCAACATGAACATTGATGGTACCACTGACACGACCGATGCGAATGACGACGACGACGACGAGTACGAGTCGAGTGATGCCCTAGACCAAAGGGGTCTCAACCAAGAAACCAGCGCCTGTGTAGCGACGATGCACGAAATGTCACCCGAGGAAGTCGATACGCAATTCACCGAGCGAGAAGCCGCCCGTGCCTGTGTCTTGAGCATGGCCAAGATGACACCAGAGGAAGTCAATGCAGCGTTCGTTCTGAGCAATCTCAAGCGACGGATCATCGTTCATCCTCCCAAAAAATGACAAAGCAACGTGTTTTCGAATTTCAAGCTTACATGGGTACACAATCAGCGCCTATATAGCTGCTATATGGTGATTGATTACTTACCTTATTATTGATGCCCAACATAAATATGACGTATTTATATTGGTCCCAGTAAGCACTATGCACTGTGAGGAAGCTCTCCGTCTTCTAGAGCTCGCCGTAGGGTCGACGATTGAATAAAATTCTCATTTCAGAGATTCTAGCGGTCCCCCGATTATCCGCTGCTGGTTTATGGAAGTCTTGACATCGGAAATGAATCAACGATTACTGGCTCCGAACTACAGAGCCCCCGCGTGGTAAAACCTCGGACTCACCAACTGCTGGCAGAACTTGAAAAAGCCCTCTGAAATTGAGTAAATTTCTCACAAGTTGCCAGAAAACTGCCTGCACAAAAACGAGTATGATTTCACCACGACATAGTCAGACAACACTGTAGTAAGAGCTGATAGAAGCTATTTGGTACCGCGTTCCAGGGGTATCAAATTCGGGAGGAGCACAAGTGGGGTCACTCCACTCGACGAAGGCGCAGCCTTGAGTGCATAGATACGTGAGGGAGTTTCCGACGGTATCAGAAGCTACCAATTATAGCCTGCTGTCCACAGCTGGACGTATTCGTTTGAAAACTAAGCTGATTGACCTGAAGGGGTGGTATTTCAATGATATGATGGATGCAGGACGCACGGTCAATGAGTCAATTGTCATTGGAACGATGATAGTAAAGGGGAGTTAAAAAGGGTGGCATGGGGATGAAATCAGATATGGCTGCCATGGTCGTGGGTAGTAGACAGTTTGTCCATTTACATAATTGATTTTGTATCGAAATTATCTTTTATATTTAGATTTACTATTTATTTTTATTTGCTGTCAATGTCGATATCGTACCAGTAGATGAAGTAGAACAACGTCGCATGTGGCAAAGCAGTCTTCGTTGAACGTACGTGTTCGGTTCGGTATCATTTTCTACCTGAACGCTTTTCTATCCGTCCTGGCATTAAATCACTCTGTACGATACTCAACCAGTACACCCATCAACCATGGATCCTGCCTCAAGTGCTAACTCTGTGCTTCACAAGAAGCATGATGACGATTCTGACAAGGCTAATGACAAGCGGGATGTTAAGCCTGTCGTGAAGACCCTTAATCGTGTCCCCCGTATGTTCAATTAAGTTCTTCATCTATTAGATCTCCCTACTGACTCGATGCAGGCGCCTGTGTGAGCACGCTCCGGCTTTCCAAGTTCCCGATGCATGCTAACTTATGACATTAATGAACAGAATGCTTGTCGGAAGCAGAAGATGCGCTGCGAGGGTGCAGATAATCCACCATGCAGACGTTGTCGCCATGCAGGACTCGAGTGTCTGTTCGAAAAGCCTACCAGAGAAGCAACTCTCACGGGCGAGGCAGGACTTGAGTCAGTCAATTTGGCTCTATGACATGTCATGGTATTTTGCTCACAGCATTGCAGGCGTATACGAAGTCTAGAAGCTCATGTCGCTGAGATACGTTTCACTCAATCTTCGATACAGAATACTCTTCTCGAGATCGTTGGCCACCTTCGAGGCGCTACGCCGTACAATAACCGCTCTCCCTCGACGTTTTCACAGGCGCCCTACAATACACAATCGCCAACAATGCAATCCATGGGATCTTCCCCAATGTCTTCTGGCCCAAACGGGTCTCATGTAGGCGATCCAGGTATTCACAGCGTACAGGCTGGTCCTACCACACCCACAGTCTATCATTCCAACCTCAACCATGGATCTCTTCCACCTATGTTAAACGCCCCACCGCGTCATTCGAGGAGCTCTGTATCCCACAGCTCATTGGTGTCGGTTGGGCAACCTCATGGTCATGGAGAGTACCACCCACCACAACTTCCGCCCTCACATACAAATCCGACTTCACCGACCCAATCATACGGTTATTCCCCTTCTGGACAAGTTTTACCACCATTTTCCACGTTGCAAGAGATCGGTCGTACAACCTCACAAGTATCTGTACCTGGTCATCATGGATCACATCAACACAGGCAAATGCAGCGTGGCCACAATGTGCATTCACCTCCAGGATCTAAACGCACCGCCCCGTCCTCGTCCAATCCCACCAGCGCAGACTCTACAGATATAGATGATGACAATGGAGAACTACCAGCTTCTGGCCTAGTAGCACCATGGGAAGTTCTAAGAGGTCTAGCTGACGTTGCTATTGAGCGGGCTGCCAAGGTCAGTGATTTTGTCGTTGCACATCCACTGCGCGTGAACCTATCACGTATAGGAAAATGGCGACGGAAGCAGTGAACCACAGAGCAGAACCAGAACGCCGTCCCCTGAGCGAAAATCTAGGCCAATGAAGAGGAGAAAGATTCGTCATCGGTCCTTCCGTGGTTTGACTTTTCCGGATGGTAGCGTTTTCTTACTCACTTGCATAACTGATTCTCAACATTTAAATGGGCAGTTGTTACGACAAACGTCATCTCGGAACAAGAAGCCCGTGAACTGTTCAGAATGTGGTTTTATTTTTAACCTTTTTTTCATACTACGTACCAATGCCGTTTTACAGATTCTATGCCGGATGTTCCACTTTTCTCCCAGTATTCGACTGCCAATTCGACACTTTCGAAGAGCTCCATGAGCGGTCACCGTTTGCTGTCGATGCCATCTGCACAGTTGCTGCCCGCGTGAGGGATGGTGGAGGTAACTCGCTAACATTATTTTGTTATCAGCTTATCTCATTATCAATCAGGGAATGCAAGCGAGACTTACACCCGATGTTTAGAAGCAGTACAAAATATTTCGTGCGCCACGCTCTTTGCTCCGGTAAGCCGCGTAGAAGCTGTGCAAGCGATGAGTAAGTACGCCTTCTGTGACATCCAAATCGAATTAATCATTTGAAAGTTCTTGTGTCCGGGTGGTCGGATAACGGTTGGCTCAGTGGCGGTCACGCCGTTCGCATGGCCATGGAACTTTGTAAGTAGAACGTTTACTGCAAAAACGAATATTTGAGTGTTTTATTCTTTTTAGCACTTCACAAAGCTTGGCCAAAACTTCTGAGGCGCATGCAAAGCAAAACTAAACCCACCATCAACAGTTCGGAAGACCGAGACCTCGTTGTTGCATCCCGAACTTGGTTTTGCCTGTATCTCTTCGAGCATCAGTGCGTTTATGGACAGTGTCAAGCATATTTCCCACTCACTGATTGTATATCAAAGATTGTCCTATGGCACAGGACGTCCAGCAATTTTAAAGGATGATGAAAGCATATGGCAATGCCGTTTGCTTCTACAACACCCTTTAGCAATTGAGGATGATATGCGCTTGGTTTCAACTGTTGAGCTTATGGCTATCCGCGAAAGAGTCCACAACAAGCTGTCACCTTTTGAACGGCCTGTTGATGAAGTCACCTTTGCAGTCATTCAACAGGCTGACTCTGAGTTCCGAAATTGGTATAAAACTTGGGATCATGCTTTTTCGCAGAAGTATGAAGATGCAGGTGCGGTTCAACTGTCGGGAATCACCTCCCACTTGCCCTGCTGACTCTTCGTCCAGCATTTTATCGGCAAAGTTTGCAGATCCAACAACTACATGCAGAGTTGTTCCATAATGCAACTGCTTTGCGTGGTATTAATGGCCCAGATGATGTTCAGAAGATGCCAGCAGCCCAAAGAGAATTGGCGATACGTTCAATAAACACTGCTCGCCAGGGCCTTGAAATCACAGTCAACTCGCCGTCGTATAGCGAAGGCATGAAATATGGTTGGCTCCCATTATTTTATCTTGTCAGGATTCCTAAACTCACGTGAAATAGCCGTTCACTACACACATGCAACTGCAACATTTGCAGCATCGTTCTTGCTGCGGTTGGCACGTCTTTTGTAAGTTACGCGTGATACAGATGGTGAATAATGTACTCACACCGCCTCAGCCCGACTGATTGCGATATGCAAGAAATACGGTCGCAGGTTGAACGCCTCGCCGGCTTGATGTCTCGAAGTGAGTCCTATTGCACCTTACTATAGAAACACACTCGTCAACTGCTTCTTTGGCAGTCCCCGGCAAGCGCTATGCCATCACGCTTCAGCTGATGTTGAAAAGAGCTAAGAGGCGTAAAGCGGCATCAAGCTCCCGCTCCCCCAAGATACCTAGGGAGCCCCCTCGAAACATGTCTATGGTGATTGACATGCAGCAGAATGTGCACACGAGCCCCGAGAATTTTACTCAAAAGTATGATGTCGCATATTCGAGTTCTGAAGCCGTGCAGCAGATGCAAGTGGGCATGATGCCGCAGCAGACCGTCGAGGTTGACAACATCTGGCGTGGTTTTGAGATGACGTCGAACGAACAACTTCCAGTGTGGATATCTGATCAGAGCCTGGGTGGTAACTCATTCTCCCAGCAAGGCATGGATGCATTTTTGCTGCCTGCTGACTACCTACCACCTACCCCTCAGATCTGGTAGTGGCGACGTGCCTTTTTTATGGTTGTCGTATTTCTTTATAGGTTTTTGTCTATATGTTGTATGATTGTAAGTTCCTATCTGTTCTCGTGTGGTCATATATATATCCAGTATTGTTGTATAGCTCTTTCACCGCTATTCAATCGATCGGTGCTTTTATACGACTATTCCCCGCTCATGCTGGGCTAAATTGAAAGTAAGATGTGCGACATGGAAATTCGATTGGTGTGCGTTCACCATCGGACTGGATCAGAATGTTTTGAAGGATATAAATGCAGATGCTCCCTGTTCCAGTCGTCACAACCACTTCTGTGCATATCATGTACCCCACCGTCACCCCAGAAGCGCGCAGGCGACCTGTATGTCATGAACGACTCCCCCATCTTGCTGGTATTGGCCTTGCGAGAGAATCACCTTCATCTTCGCAGCAGTCGACTACTAGCTCAACTTGGCGGCCCACTGATGAGGCGATGTCAGTCTTCTCATCTCAGCACACCAAGGCAAGGGAGGAAGTTGCTGCTGCCGAAATCAGCCGTACCTTCAACGCATTAGAGGAGGGAAGAACTCCTCCCAAGCGAAGGCGTTCTGTCATGGACAAGCTAGTCCCTTTCACTCGGCGCCCGCAAGAAGCGCTCGATGAAGATGTTTTCAGTGACATCAAGACTTCTAATCCGACGAGCTGGAAACCGAGGGGGTCTTCGATCAGCGGGGATGCTAGCGCTGAAGCCAAGCAACCCAAGCGGCCTTTGGGAGGAGAAGGTCCAAACAGCTTCTATCAGGGGGCCAAGCGTCGTTCCAGCGTGATCAAGAGCAAGCGGCCTTCCGCGATAACAAAACACGTTCAAGGTGAGCCTCGGAAGAGTATTATACCTGTCATTCAATGACAATCTCGCGTAGACATTGACAAGCGTCGTGCTTTTATGCTCAAGCTTGCCTAAGTGCTTGCTCGTTTTTGGTGCTCCATCCCATCGTATCGAGTCGCAATTGGCCACTGCTTCTCAGATTCTTGACGCGAGAGCCTCATTCGTCCATATACCGAATATCATCATCGTTACGTTTGGTGATGAAGACATGACATCCGTGGAGACCCATTTCGTGAAAGCGAATGGTCGAATTGCGCTTACCGCGTTACAAGGAGTCCACATTGTGTATCGCAAGGTTCTTCATGATAAGATGACCGTGGAAGAAGGCACCAAGCGATTGGCCTCCATTCTCTCCGCTCCCCCGATATATTCATTATTGGTACGCTGCTTTTTAGCCTTCGTATGCGGCTCTACTATATGCGTCCTTGCTTTCGGGGGATCGGTCATTGATATGTGGATCAGCGGAGTGTGTGCCTTCGTCTTGCAATACCTAGGCCTTAACACCGCGACAAAGAGCGCAACGTACGCGAACGTCTACGAGTAAGCGATTTTTCCCTTTTGTGTTCACTTAATTTAGTAAAATGATCAGGATATCAATTGCCATCATTGTGTCCTTCGTGGCTCGGGCACTCAGTGGCATACCAGGCAGGTTGTTCTGCTACAATGCCATAGCGTCTGCCGGAGTGGTGTTAATTCTCCCAGGATTTACTATCCGTAAGTGGCTGACTTGTGTTATCCACCACTCACTGCGACGATTCAGATATCAGTCATCAGCGCGCTAGAGCTCACTTCCAGGAATATTCTATGTGGATCTGTAAGAATGGTCTATGCGATCATCTACACTTTGTTCCTGGTACGTCCAATTCGCGATTTTGTTTTTTGTAACTTCTCAAATCTACATTTAGGGTTTCGGCCTGACGATAGGCTCCGATCTTTATCTTGTACTCAACAAACATGCCCGACATAATTTAGATAAGACCGAAGCCGAGAGATATACGATCTATCACGGGACTTTCCACGCTGAGAACGGCACGTCTCCCGTTCCAGGAGGTGCCATCTTCGGGTTTGCTCAAACCAATGATCCTCATATAGTTAATGGTATCAGATTCGATTGTTAAGGTTTCAGCTTATATTGACCCCACCTGAAAGGGTGCTACAGGGAGCCCAGTTGGCCATGGTGGAGGAAGGAACTTCCCTGGTGGACGCTCTTCTTCCTCGTACCAGTGTATTCTCTCTGCTCGTCTTTGTCCAACTTGCAGAGGTTACGCAGCTGGCAGCTTCTGGTCATGGTCGTATTTGCGTGCTGTGCTTTCCTCGCGAATCGACTTTCAAATAACTATCTTCCTGGTAAAAGCGACATCATCTCGGCTTGCGGGGCTTTGGTCATTGGGGTCTTGGGCAACGTGTACTCGCGAGTGATGCGTGGAACCGCTTTTACAGCCATGGTCACTGGTGTCTTGTTCCTCGTCCCGGTAGGTCGTCTTGGAATGTGCTTTGTTCGTGCATTTGACTAATGTCAAACAGTCTGGTATCGGTCAGGGTGGTGGCCTGCTCTCGTCTGATGAGACATCGTCTACTCAGCAGTACTCAGCCGGTCTTCAGCTTGCCATACGGATAATAGAAGTGGCGATTGGAATAACAGTTGGTCTATTTGTCAGTCAGATCTTCGTATATGCCCTGGGAAGAAGAAAGAACGCTGCACACTTTGCTTTTTGATATCTTCCAATTAAACGCCATCTATCTATGTACACACATCATGCTGTAAACACTATCGCAGTAATTTGAATCGATAGCAGACCAAACGAATTGAGATTCGTGAATCGAGGCATTCTAGGGATTACATGAAGTTTGTTATGAGTAATGAATTAGTACAGGTATTCCAAGAGTGTTCCAAAAAAAGCAAAGAAACAATAAACCTGAAAGGTTTATATAAGTTATGCGGCGAAGAGCTGATTCAGCTCTTCCATGCGCCGTTGCAGCATGTCGGCTTTGCTGAAGTTCTGACCCAGAGTCATGTTGGCCAGCTCAGTCTTCTTGCGCTGCACTTCCAGAAGACGATCTTCGATGGAATTCTCAATAATGAGCTTGACCGTTGTCACAGGGCGTGTCTGCCCTAAGCGATGCTGTGACGAAATCAGTGGACTGCAACAGAAGGCGTGAACATGACTCACAATCCTGTCCACTGCTTGATTCTCGACTGCGGGATTCCTGCGACAAGCTTGAGCAACACTGATCACAGGAATTATAAGAATAAACGTTACCAATATGGGTCCATCAAGTATACACGTTGGGCAGCAGTCAAGTTTAAACCTACTCCTCCGGCCTTCAAACTGACTAGAAGGACTTCACAACCAGGGTCATGTTTCAATGCTTCCATGGCACGGGTACGGTCATCACGTTTCATTGTACCATCGAGACGATCATAGCGAATGCCAGCAGTCTCCAGCGCGTCTTCAATCCTAAAATCGGGTGAGACAACATACAACTTTGCGAAATTGTAAATGACATACTTATCTAGCATTGTTGTCCATTGGGAGCTGTAATACAAAAATAAACTGTCGGATCCATCAAATGAGAATTAGACACATACAAGACAACAGTCTTGATTACACCATCATCAAGTTTATTGCCTTCGTTATCCACCATTTCCACCTCAATTGAATCGGGGTCATAGTTGACAGAGTGTGGGTTTGCCCGGGAGAATTGCATAAGGTCCCCGAGTAAGGCTTTGACTTTAGTAGATGGATGAAAGTTCTCGAGTGCAACACCTTTGGTCCGCTTTTCTCGCTTGACCGGCTTTTTCTTGATGCTAAAGTCAACTGGCGAGCAATCAGGTCGAACTCGAACTGCATCTTGCGGTAAAAGACCAGTCTGGCAAGCCGAGCAGGAACGGCGGACATCGGTAGGAACGTCTGGCCAACCAGGGCATACACATTGACGGTAGCATCCCAGGCAAAACAGATGCTGACACCGGGTGAGGACGAGTGATTGAGCTGATGGACTACTAGCTCGCGTAGGGGCACGGGAACCGGAACCTTTAGTCTTCCTTCCTCGCTTCGGTGCCGACGGACCATCCATATCCATGGCACCACCAGCGTCCATCTGCCCCTGCTGATCCGAGGAGATACACAACTCCTCTCCACATTCAACGCATTGAGTTGTAGCTGCCTCCCGTAGCAAAGCAACGATCGCAGCTGCACGACTAGGATTGAGACCTTCCTTCCCAATGGCAGCGGCAATGTCTTCGTAGCTGGTGAGGTCCATGTTTTGCATATCTCCTAGTGGTCCTTTACCCTCCACGAGCTCGAAGTGGTCGCAGATCTGTCGGAGACGTAAAATTTTCTGAAGGATGCCAACGTAGTTCTTCATAACTTCATTTTTGTTGGAAAGCTCATTGAACTCGGCTTTGGACTCCGAGAAGAATTGGTCGTAAATGGTCTGCTCATGCGGATCAAATTTCAGATATCGGAGTTCATCACGACGTGGAGGTAGATGGAGTATTCGACGGCCATCAGATGCCTTTGACTCCTTTGTTCGCCTCAAGGTAATGCACTTCATGATTGTCTGAAGACGTGCAACACCCAACGACTGCCCATACTTGACCGGAGTGCCGATGAACTCCGTCCAGATGTTCTTGTCATCAAAAGGCTCCAAGCGCAAGAACTTGATAAGAGCATACACATCGTCGAGCTTGTTCTGAACAGGAGTGCCAGTGAGGCATAATCGGCGGTCTGCCATTAAGTCGCAAGAGGCACGACTGCCAACAGTCTGAGTTTCCTTGATCGAACTGGATATGACGGTGTTAATCGCGATACGCGAGCAAAATATGCAAGAACGTACTGAGCCTCATCAAGCACGACACGAAACCAGTGTATAGTCTGCAAAGCACTAGACGCCTCAGACGCACCAAAGCTTGAACAAGATTTTTTCCTCTTCATTCCTGCTCGCTTTTGTTTCGGCAGTTTGAGTACTTGATTACCGCGTTCGTCAATGTCGACCCCACCGTACCCGTCACTGCTACCATCGTCGTCATCCTCGGCTTCTACATTTGCCATCTTACGATTTTGCTTTGAGTATTCCGATGCTAAGGTCGCGTACGTAGTAATGACAGCATCAAAGTCTGCGAGAAATGCTGCGTCTGGTCGTCGAGAATTTCCATGGTATACGTAGACACGAAGAGGTCGACCTTCGCGTTTTCGACGAGGTGGCTTCGTTTCCACTTTGGTTTCAGCCTGAGAAGATGGAGGAGAATTATTCTGTAAGGAAGACAACGTGGCAGCCGAACAACTCATCCCACCGCCACCGACCACAGTGACTTCTCCTCGCCAATGCTCGCGAAACTGATCTTCCCAATTCGACACGGTCGAAAGAGGGCATATAATCAACGTCGCCCGACTTTTCGCCTTGATACGACACGCTCTAGCGTATTCAGCTTCGGCCTTATCCTGGGCCTTTGCTGCTTTTCCCTTGCCCTTGGCGGAAAATGATGGTGAATCAACTTCCGATATTCCCCATACACTCCCCGCAAAATGAGCAGCATTCAAGGGATCCTCCAGCATGCTCCGTTCCGGAGGAGGTGCGGGTGGAGGCGGTAAAGGCGTAGTAGCAAATGCGTGTGCAGAATCGAGTGTTGCTGCAATAAGAGAAACGCAAGTGATCGTTTTTCCGAGACCCATCTAGTCGGGAGACAAGGCACTATTTGTCAGATAGGGCAGAGATCAGGGCAAAGGGCAAACTGACATCATCCGCAAGAATAGCACCTTTGGCTTCTTGGGGTTCTTGAAAGACCTCTTTCTGGGTAACAATATGAAACCAAGATGATTGACCTGTATGGAGATCGTTCCGTGGCTGCCACAACGATGAGTAACGACCATCTGCGCAGCGTTTCTCCCGCTCCCGCTCGAGTAGAAAGGTGACCGCCTTCTTTTGATGAGGATACAACGTCGTTCCTATGTCATTAGCTTTCGAAGCCAGTCAGATGAAGACGAGGACCACCGAAAACAATACAATACTAACTAGGCTCTGTCTCTGCTAAGTCGTCTCCACTTTTTAGACTCTTGAAGAGCTCATCAATTTGACTTCGTTGTACTTCTAATGTTTTGCCAGAAACCATGGGGGCATTCCAACGAGGGCTATTTCCACCTGGACCAGCATATCCAGATCTCGAAGGAAGCATAGAACGATGCCCCCCGGGCGGTGGAGCATGCGGGTTACAATAGTGATAGTTCATGAGGCGCGAGATATCATACGGGCCAGAAGGATGGTCAAGCATCAGACCACATGATTGCAGATAATTGCCAACCACAGCGATATTGCCTTTCGGTGTATAAACCAGTATCTGGAGAGGCAGTATAGGAAGCTTGGCAGAGCGAATGAGCGAATGTGAGGTTCGTCAGAAAGAAAGGAATATCACTTACGTTTGGCGAACCGCGCCGCACCTTTGCATCTAAGCGGATCAAGCCCTTACCTAGCATGGGGCCAAGATCTGTAGCGACCTTTTGTTCAACCACACCAAAAGCCTCCCCTTGAGATGGTTCGCCTGACGATGTTTTACTACTAGGCGTCTTGATATGTATCGTCTCAGTTGCACCTGCTCTCTGAGGATTGTGTTCATACTGCAAGCGGACGTTTGCCCACTCAGTATCATGAGTTGAATCCTGGCCTTGTAGATAGGACACGGGGTATAGCACAAGTGCGGTGACTGTGAGCTGTCCTATGCAAACCGGAGTCTTGGGATGTAGATCATCGGGTAACGCAGAAGACATGGGCTGTTGGCGAGGCCGAGGACTAGGAGGAGGTGACGGAGAGTCGGTGAGATCAATGACTTGATGATTTGAAGGCGGAGCAGATGAAGATGGTCGAGTTGGAACAAGAGGAGGCAATGTGCGAGCACTGCCTGTGATTGGCAGTTGAGCAGACGTATTCCGTGGTGCTTGCGATGGACCAACAAAAACGGGACGATAGCTGGAAGATTGTGGGTGAAGCGGTGGCGGCGACGAATTAAAAGATGTTTGCTCAAGTGGTGAAAATATGCTGGGCTTCATTGGAGGAGAATGATACGCGAGCGGCAGTTGATTTGGAAGAGAGTATTTAGGATAAGATTGGTGGTGTTCAGCTGAATGTACTGGATCGTAGAACATACTCTGCCTGGGCGGAGGGGAATGATAATCGGTTGTTGGGCGCTTTAGGCTGCCAGAATTGAAAACGCTCTCAGAAGAATTGGGTTCATCGTCATCTAGGGTAAGGTCAATATGATTTGACTGGCTATATGAGTCAAGTGATAAAGTCTGAATATTAGGCGATGATCCCGATGGTGCATGCGTCGCCATTGTGCATGACAATGAGGAAGAAAGCGTTCCGGACGTCACGGACGACGAGTAAAACAGTAAGCGCGAAAGAAGCTGTCCAGTTTAAAGATCATGTCGCAAGAACACGTGACATGATCAATTCAGTCATCCTTTCTCACGCTCACCATGCCTCGGGCTATTATGAGTCAGCTGCCGGTATCTTCCGTACTTTCTGACGCGAACAAGGTAATAATTAGATTCCATCTCCTATGGTCACGTTGGTCCCTACTACGTAATGCTCCTACAGATAATCCTCTGTACTTGATTTAGCGTAGTCCGTCCACGGCAAAAAAAACTATGGAAAAGAATCAATACCTGTTCGCCACTCCGTTCCTACAAAACTGTCAGAACGCAGGACATCAGACAAGTCATATATCTTATAATAGTGCTGTCCGGGCACACAGCCATATGCTCCGGTAAGAGTCCGTAGTTGGAACTTGCCCGAATAGCACTGCTATGAGAAACGCCTAGTACCCCTGCATCTCATGGCGCTAGCCTCCTGTAATAAGAGAGAAACTGAGGTCGAACATCAACCAATCAAAAAATTCACACTTACGAGGTGCCCATCCCATCTCGTAGTAAGCTTGTCTTGCAGCTTGTTCTTTAGCTTGTTGCTTAGTATCGCTGCATCCTTTACCCTTCTCGATCCCATCAACTAATCCCAAATTCGACTATTAAACACTATAAGGAATAAGATAACGTTACACAAACTTACCAACGCAAGTCACGTTCCATTTTCCGGCATGAGGAGGGCCCACTAGTGATGCTTGGTAATTGAC